TTATTATCCGCTCAATATTTTGTCTTGTTAATGTCAATTTGTGTAAATATGACATTTCACTCAGCATGCTCGTTTTCTAATACTAGATAAGCTATTTACCGTATAACAAATAAATAAAATAAAATAAATAAATAAATAAATGATTCCTCTTTTTTGCGCATATTCTTTATGTACAAGCATTTGTTGATTATATATTTCATTTTGATCTGCTATAGTTAATTTCTAAAAAAGATATACTTATATAAGAAAGCTTATTTCTTCCCTTTTCGCAAATAACCATTCCGCTGTTTATGAATTTTAAATATATTAAAGTAGAGATTGGATTAATCCTTTCCATATCTTTTGTAACCATGGAAAAAAATTAACCACCATAGCTAAAGCTTTTAGCTGTCTCTATATTACAACCTGAAATTTAGTTATCATACCTAAATTTCAGCTATGGTATAACTATATAATATTTTTAGCTATAATTAAACGGAGAATTCTATAGCTAAAAATATTAGCCATCATAGCTAAAATTTAAGCACGATAACTAAATTTCACGTGTAATACAGAGTCAGCTAAAAAGCTATAGCTAATTTTTTTTCGCGAATAGAAGTGAGCTTTTCTATAAAACTTTTCTGGAAAATGATACGCTGTACACAAATTGGCACGTTTTCACATCTATGGTAGCAGACTTTTCCGGTGATACATCGTTGGCCGATGTAACAGAGCGCTTTTAAATTTGCATACGCCGACGTCCCCAGGCCATTAAACGTCCACGTAAAGTTAGTAGTGCCCTTCTTCTGCGCACGACATCGTGCACGCGCACGTTCTTAGCGCGCGTGAGCCGCTTCATCGTATCCCCGGGCTATGATCACCTTAACGCATGTGCGCGAATTTATACGTTTTGCAGCGTGTCGATGGTAGCTCGCTCACGTATGCGTATCAGAACTGTATCTGGGTAAGAGGCCTCCGCGATGGCCTCGGGTAATAACGCGAATATCACGGTGTCGTTGCGGACGACGTCTTCGCGACTTGCATTTACCTTCCCCGCCATCTCTTACCCTTCTAATTCGCCTTCCTTTCTAATTTGACGTTCGAAAGGCGACGACGTTGCATCTTCACGCCTGGCTTTTCGCCTTTGCGACGTCGGACGCGTGCCTATCCAAGCTGTTAGCTTATTAAAGCTTGTATTTTTTCACTTTCCACATACAGTTGTCATTAAACTAACACGCGGATACATTAACTTATGGCCTGTCAATGCTTGCACCTGCTGCATAAATTTATAGACAGTTCTTATTATTGATTTCGCATATTTAGATATACATAATTCTTAGAAACGTCGCATTGAAGAATATTTTTAATTTAATGCTTTTCAGTAGTAATCTACGTTCATATAGTGATAATTTTTTAAAGTAAACTTTGATCAAAATTAAGCGTTGCAAATAAATATAATGAAATTTTCTTTCTTGGTTGATTTTAAAACAAATTTTATTTCTTAAGAAATTAAATACTTAAAAAATTTAATACTTATAATGACCCATCTCTAACATTTTTTGTTAAGAAAAAAAATAAGAGTTTGAATTTTTCAAAACTCTTTCTTTAAAATATTTGTGGATGAACGTAAAATGTTCCTATACCGTAAACTATTCTCTTTCAGTAGCAATATTACATTCTAAAATACATATAAAATATTGCGTGTTTATTTTATCAATTTATTCACGAAGTATTTATTGTGCTATGATAATAATTTTTATTACGTATCGAATCTGCATGAACAGAGATCTTTATCACAAGCCGTAGTATCCGCTTGAGGATTACTCGAATATCGTCGTACGTAAAGCCAATTTATTAACGAAGAAGTCGTACACGAGCAATTGTGCAGATAATACACAATAATTATGTATTCTCTGTCTCTCCCCACTTTATCCCGTTGGCGTATACGGATGTATGCATGTAATAAAACTATCTGCGTATATATGAGATACAATTGGCTCGAGGCATCGCCACGTCGCAATAGATGTTATTGCGGATATTGTTACGACACATTCGTCTCTTCTGGGTTCCATATTCCGGGATTTCTTTTCTAAATTCGCGAACGCGCGCGATTTATCTACGCGCAAAGTAGCATGTTCGATTTAATTGAACATGGTTTAAATCTTATCAAGAGAATATAACTGCATAGCGTGCCAAGTTATTTAAATTATTTCTACAAACGCAAATAGTAATTTCTATGGGTATTGAAATATGGTGTTGAATTAATATTATCGATTTTACGTATGTAATTATGCATAATATTAATCGTCGAGCGGCCTCAGTACATCGACCGTAATGTACATTCGTATACCAACTAATCGCCCCGAGGCGTCTGAACGACCATGATGATCATCGCTATTGTTGTAGCTGTATCGTTCTTCAGATTCTTCTTTCGTCGAATCATTTCAACGTTGTGTTATGAGTATACCTGATAACCGTTTTAATAAGGCTCGAATCGAAGTATCCTTATCAGTGATAAAAAGGTATCAAAATTAATTTTCTGCCTTATATACATTTCTCTATTTAATTTACGTATTATCGAGATAAAATGATATATAAAATGATACAGAAAAATCTGTGACAGCAATTTTTTAAAGAAGGAAAAATGTTGTGTAATAAAATAATTAATGACACGATGTTACTTTCCCGATTTAATCCGACGAGGACGACGACGGCGAGTGATTTTTCATCACGCCCACATCTCTGACATTCAACTTTCAAACGTAGAGATTATTGATTGAAATATGCCGTCAAAACTCATTAATTACGCCGCGATATACATATACATAGCATCGGTGTGCAACCATTTCGGCGACACGTGTTTTCCCGCGCGACAATGATCGATCTCTCATCGACGTTAAAGATCGCAACAATAATGCGCGTTAATTATGCAAGTATGCGTCTCTCTATACTCGTAAATGCATAGCCCCACATAAATCTCGCGATTAGCCCGCGGCGTCAGCGCGGCCGTGATGGCCGTTGTTGCCCTCTTCTCTCTCCTTTTCCTCTGGTCCTGCCTCTGCCACGGTGCTGCGCCGCACCACCTCTCTTGCTCTATTCCTTAACTCGATGTCCGACCTGCGACGTCCACCGTTCCTTCAGGTAGAGAGAAGCATCGCCCGGCGACCTCTCGCAGTCAGCGCGCGGCCGAGAAAAGGCGCTGCAGCAGCCTGCATCTCCCGCAGCGATGCACCGCAACGGTGCGGATTCGATGTGGGCGAGGGTGGGTGGTAGATGGAAGAGAGAGAGAACCGGTACCCTCTCTCCTTCCTTCTTGCTCTCCCGCGTGTCCTGTCTTCTGACCGCCGCGAATTCTTTGCCGGACGATGGAAAACAAGTGTTAACGCGACGCTATAAACGCGTCTCTTCCTTTCTTACTTTTTTTCATTTTGTGATTGTCACAAGATTTTTCAAGATAAAACGCCGCAATTTTTTCATTAATTTCTAAATCCCTTCTAGAGACACATTAATTTATATATTATGTAATATGGCACGTTTTTAGTGCAGTCTTCTTCTTTTATCTATATTTATATAGATTTCGATCTGAAGTTTTAGAAACTCTTTCAAATATTTGAGTGACATACGAATTATTTGCCCATATAAAATTATATAAATTTTGTTAACTCTAATTTTATTATTTTTTATTGGCTTTCTTTAAGCAAGAAAATTAATGCTCCTTTCTCCTTCCTTCTTATTCTCCAGTATGTCCTGTCTTCTGACCGCCGCGAATTCTTTGTCAGACGATGAAAAACGTGTTAACGCGACACTATAAACGCGTCTCTTCCTTCTTGCCTTTTTAATTTTATGATTGTCACGAGATTTTTCAAGATAAAACGCTGCAATTTTTTCGTCAATTTTTAAATTGACTTCTGGATATATTAATTTATATATTAATATGGCACGTTTTTTAATGTCTTCTCCTTTTGTCTATTTAGTATATCTGTATTTCGATCTGGAGTTTCAGAAATTCTTTCAACTATTTGACTGTGACATAAGAGTTATTTCCACATTTAAAATTATATAAGTTTTTTTAGCTCTAATTTTATTATTTTTTATCGACATTCTTTAAGCAAGAAAATTAATACCCTTAGTTGCGCCTAAAAACCACGCATTATATAGAAGCTATGAAAAGCAAGCCTCAGGATAATAGCTAATAATGAGCTGGCCTTTCACGAGCACATAGTAATGAAAATTCGAGGGTGTACCTTTAACTCGTGGACCAAACAGACCCTCCCTTTCCGCTGGAAACGCGTTTAAAAGAATACCCTTGAACGGCTGGTACGCTAACGCCTACCAAATATTGTTTCACCGCTAATTGCCTTATTAATGCATACGAGAATTTCGCGTTAATGTTCCAGGCTCTCAGCCTATTCAGCATTGGCGATGTTTGACCAAAAACAATGAGTCGTTAAACTAGTATTATCGTCATCCAAAACCAGCCGTGATCGATACGCTAAATCGACACCTATGTTACACAGATAAAACACATAAGTGCTGAATGCATGAAAAAGATGTTGGATTCAGTTTTTAATGTCAATAATTAATTTATAGTAAACGTTACATAAATATTAACTTAATTGGAGAAATAAATGAATATTTTAAATAATTGTAAAAATATCAAAACAATGAAAATTTTAATTGAGACCAAAAAATAGATACACTTGATAAAATTTAATTTTTTTTGTTGGTTCACACACACACACATATATTGCTATATAAAAAAATAATTATCTGCACTAATAATTGATAAAATATTTATATTATATATATATTTAAATTGATATATCGACATAAGAAAAAATAATGCATAAAAATGGACATATGTTAAATTACGTTAATCATTGTAAATGAAAGGACATAGATATAATCGATCTATCTCTTGCTCGTGTATTTTAAATTTTAGCTCACTATTATATTTACTATTAATTTATTTTTAATTAACAAAGTATATAAATAATGTTTACGTTATTTTTTAATTCCAGACGGAAATGTGAGGCCGATGGGAAGGAGGCGAAGACAGAGTTGACGGCGCAACGCAATATGTTCCCTAGCGCTCAAATTAAAATGAGGTAAATAAGATTTCACTCCGAGTGTTTCAATTTAAATTTACAATTGTCCTAGAATGTGTCCTAGAGTAAAATCTGAGAAAGAGTTTATGATTCAATGAAATTCTCTCTGCAAATATCACTTAATTTTATTAAATACATCATAAAATCATACATAAGGTTCACTATTTTATAGTTTATTTTAGTTTTTTTTATTTCAAGTTACGTTTATAGTTAAGGCAACATTAGAATTAAAATTGCGCAATTTGGAAAGATTTGATCCACCTAATTTATATTTATAAACAATTGCATTCAGAATGTCAAAAATATTATCAAGAATTTTAACATATATCGTGATTTTGATTAATAATTTAATAATTAAAATTTAAAGTTATTTGTAAATTTAATTATTTTAATTATTAGAATTAGTAAGAATGGTGGTTTTTATATTTATTGAGCATGAAACTCACATGATGTGATGCAAGATTTCAAAAGATCGTAATTAGCCAAAGCCATATGCCACAACTTTATGATGCTTAATATCAAAAGTATTTCTCAGATTGCTGTCGCCAAGCAGTTCGCGCGGCCACCTCGCCCACAATGTCGAATTCCTCGTCGCCAACACCACCGACACCGGCGGCCCCGGCTTACAATCAAAAGATGACCGGTATTCCTTGTGTGGCGGCCGCTTCGAGATACACCGCACCGGTTCACATCGATGTCGGTGGCACGATTATACACATCCTCCCTCGAGACTTTAACAAAGTAAGTACCGATGTACCTTAATCCCTAATGATACGAGATAGGCCGAGAGTCCTGATATCGTTTCCAAAATAATTCTACACGCCTATAATTTGCATTAATTTGTGTTAAACATTAACGATTCGAAAACCAAAGCTCGTAAATAGAATATTTTATGCCATTGATCTTTATTAGGACTTTGCAAATTTAAATAAAGCAAAAAATTTATATTACTTTGAACAATTTTATACACGTTCGCGAAAAGACAGTATTTTCGATGTAACAAAGGAAAGATAAAACAAAGGAGATTTTTAATAGGGGTTTATGTTAGAAATGGGAATGGGATTTATCTTTTGTTGGAGATACATCCTTCCGCGAAAGCATACGGAGTGTGACTTTTAAACAGCATGAAGAGATTCTAACGAGTGAGAGAGTAGAAAGGGAGCGTGATGTCCGGATCGCGGAAACGTGACCATCGACAACGCTCCAGGATGTTCGTACCGAGCAATATCTCTGAGAACATATCGCTCGCAATCAGGCACACCGTTACCGTGCCCGGCAGTGTCCAAAGGCTATTTGCGGTTTGCCCGTGCACTTTATGCATAAAAGAGACGTAACGTGAAAGCACAACTGCACTTTGCTTATAGAGAGGCTTTTAATCTCCTCGAAGTATCACCCTGCAGGTATCCTCTTTGCTCGGACGAAAGAAAAAATTCATGAGTATTATATTCTCCACAAAGTTTCAACTGATATATGTATAAAATAATGTTTCTGGCAATGAATAAATCTAATAATATTGATATGCAATTGGATGCAGATTAGAATCGTGATGTATATGTAAATATAATTAGATTTATATAACCAATGCAAATGTACTATTGCTTATAAATTTATAGTAATTCATACTATCACTAAATTATTTTTTTTTTTTTGTATTACATAAAGAATAAATATAAATCTAATTATATATATATATAATATTAATAATTTGAGTGCTTGCACAACACATCAAATTTTTCAAATTGGTACGATGCACGGCAATGCGTCTTAACAATTACAAAACATAGTAGCTATATTGCTAAATGTCATCGTGATCTTCGTATTTCGAGCGATGCTTGCTACGCGAATTTAATACGCTATCTTCAACGTGGATGAATATCCAGCGCGCTTAGCGCTGAAGAAAATCAATCCTTTCACAGGAGATCACGAATGCATAGCGTCAGACTACAGTATACATAAATGCAGAATCGGTAGACCGGTGCATCCGTGAGAAAGCTGATTATAATTGACAGGTGGCCTTATCGTTCACCGGTCGCGTCTCGTTAACTGAATAGGCAAACTCCCTACGCGAAGATATTTCTATCTAGACTATCTATAATGAATGAGCGAGAAAATTGTAATGGATGCTTTCATACTCTCCTTGATATTAATATCAAGTCCTCTTATCAAATCAGGACAAATAAGAAAAGATAAATAAGCTATGAAAATAGCAAAAGTCGTATATAAGTTACCTTGAAAATATATGTAATAATACGCAATAAAAATTATTAGGAGATATCATTTTATGATACATCTTATTATTTAAAAAAAATATTTTTTCTTACGCGTTTCTATAGGTATCAAAGAGCTTAAAATGGATTTTACATTAAAATGTGTCATGAGAAATTAAATTAGAGAAAGAGGAATGTTAAAATAAAAAATAAATAATATAAATTCTGCGCAGTGATAAATATATGCAAGTTATTTGTCCGTAATCAGCGTTTCTCGATGACAGATATTATTTATTAGCACATTAGCTCTGCAAATTATTGGAGAGATTGGTGCGCAACGAAACTAAGCTAAAACTAATAACAGCACAAGGCAAATTTACACGCGAGGCACGGATTATCGTTAGTTGAGTTAGTGGAGCGCAAGTCCGTTTTCTATGAACCGTTACAGCGTCCATCGCGAGAGCGTGGCCGTGATTTAATCTATAGAAATGTCGACAGGATAAGTGTCGCCGACGTGTCGAGCATGAGCACAAAATGAATATCACATGGAATTACGAGATACTGCCATCCCTATCGCATCACGCTTGAGTTGCACCGTCCTCCCTCATTACACGATACGACCTTATTGCTTTGTCGAATGTATCGATTGCATCGTGCGTCGCAAACGCGCAAAAATTTTACAGCTAAGCCTGTATGATATTGAATGAAAATAATGTCATTGGACAACGAATCTTTTCTATCAAATATACATAAATCAATTTAAAAAAATTTATTTCCGCTACAAAGTCATATATCTTTTTCAGTTTAGTTTAAAAATGTTTTATTTTCTTCTACTTATTCGATATAAATTCAAATTCTATATAACTCATGTTGTGTGAGAATTTTATTATTGTTTTCTCTCACGCAAAATATGTAAAATTATGGCACAACCTCTGTCATTACTTTCTATCGATAATGATACATTATCAGAACATATTACAGGGGTAATATTAAAAAGACTACCATTCGACAAAGTAAATTTGCAATATGTTATTTCATTCACATGATCATTGTGTCATATTGCTTATCCATTAGCATGAATTTAATTATTTCGTAATGGAATAAGATAATTTGAAATAAATTAATTAGATAATTTTCCCTCGCATTAAAATGATATTAAAATCGTGCCAAGAGAGAGAGAAAATATTCTATACTTTTCATGCTGCAGCGTTGCAACTCGTGCAATTGACTTACAGCGGCTAAATCATCGCAATCGCCTAACGGCATTGACGCAGTTTGTACTTAGGATAATCATTTCTAGCATCGAGGCTTGTGCTGATATTTATGTGCGCGGACTAACGTATCAGTTAACGACGCTCTAGAAACATGTGACAAGAAGATAACAATAATAAGTACGATACGAAACAATCGCCGGAAGAGATATCCTCGAGCTAAAGCAACAGTGCACGTTGAGGAAAACACGCAATGATTGAATAAACGCAATAAATATATGCATTGTTAATATATTGTAAAGAAAAATAACAAAACTAATTTTTTATATTATAAAAGTAATATAAATGATAAGGTAATTAAATCTGCAATTTATCAATTTGAAATTTTGAAAACACTTGTACAGCTTTGAGAAAATTATGTATGATTTGATCCATTCAAGAAGGTACATTTTAAATAAAAATTTTTACTTTTGTAAAAATATTATAAACAAGGATATCTTTTGAAAATATTAGATCCTGACTATTGTTAATAGAAAATGCTACATAATTAAAGAATAAAATATTGGTTAGGTTGTAATATACATTTATCGAGAAGGCGAGAGTGTTTAAAACGCGGCGTGTTAATTATTCGCGATTAAATATTCAGGATTGATTTGCATTAATTAAACGTGAGGGGTGGAGAGAACAGTGCGAATAGTTTCTATTAGACCGCGCATATTTAGGTACTTTGTTTGTACTGTACGACGTTATAGATGAAGCAAACAGGTCAAATATAATGCGTATGGATCATAAATTCATACCTCTGATTAATTTAGTTCAATCATTGGTGTATAATCGGCAATTTCAAAATAACGCTAAACGTTTATTATCCCGTAACAACCAACCAACCTAGCGCGATGTTAATTAGCAAATGTCTATTTATGCGATATAACCCGCAGCTCCGATTTATACGTCAAAAACATAATACGCATTTAATACAAGCTCACTTACGAATATGTTTTCAGAAGAAAACAGATTTTACTCTGTATTACACATTGTACAATATTATGCACTTAATCCAATGTGATAACATAATAGATCAAATATTATTGATTTTGAATATAATTGCATTGCTAATATTGTTTTAATCTATTATTTTTCGAATTTTAATCAGTCAAATTGACTATTTCAATTAAATTATCTTAGCAAAATAAATTATTTGTGGAACATATGAATTAATGTCAATTATCAATTTTAAATTTAATATTAAATAGGACGGAGTAAAATATTTATAATTTGTTGTAATTTTTTATGTATAAATTACAATGTTATGAAAATTTTACTATGAAGACATACGTTATTATTAATATTATTATCGACATTTATAAATAGGGACTTATGATTTGTGAATAAAGTATTTCTAGAGAAAGAATTCCAATTAAGAACATTCAATAATTAATTTGACATATCATTACGTATTCTTAGTTTATGCAATGTCATTAATAATATTGATCAAAGACAGATTACAGCAAAATTCCACCTTGCCTTACAGAAGATTAATCGTTCCGTATCGACATTTTCTACCAAGCGTTTACAGAAATGACGTAATAGTCGATCATTAGTCCACGCTTCCGGTATCACATAATCCCTAAAACATCGTCGATCATCCTGCCGGTTGAGGAGGCCGCATAGGGCCTCGAGGGTATCCTATGGTGAAGTACTAAGTCGTCATTTCCGCACCCCCTAGTCCGACACGTGCAATTTAGCGGGATCTAACGGAATGTCTTGGCGGACGTGTCTCTCGTTCTCGAGCTCACACGTATGTCCTGCATATACAACGATTGCCACACACGATTGCATTCGAAAATATTTACTCTCGCGCATGAGATGCGACGCAAAATGATATATAAAATGTTTTTATCGAGCAAAAATGTTCTTTATTCGCCAAAAATAACGATGATTAGACGCGTAAAAATGTAATGAAAGTTTTTTTATTCGTAATAAATTTCTCAAGTGATTTTCACAAATTTAAACAAAAATTAACTTTGTTAAAATGAAATCTATATCTGTTCACTTATAAGAAGCTGCTTTGGAGTTGACATTCTCTTACTTTTTCATACAGATTTTGCTTATTAATTTATCTATATTATAAATGAATATTTATAACAAAGTTTTGCATATTTTCAAGGAAATGTCAGTTGAAAATTTGAATCAAGAAATTTGTGATGTAGAGAACACGCAACTTTGGATACATCCTGTATATAAAGCAGAGCGGAATCTGAGTGATGTGAGCCGATCGTTTAGCGTTTTCCCATAGCGAACGGATCTGACCCGGGATCGAACCTCTTGGTTGGTCGGTGAGCTCAAGAAATCGCCGCGGGTAATCACGGTACTCGTTCTCCGCCCCTGGTACCGTTTCCTCCCCTTGTATCACCCCTCTTCGGTTGCCTCGACCTCCACAAACATAGCTGGCCCTTGGCCTAGCGCGTCTTCTTCACGCTTCTCGAGACTTGATGGTATCACTTTCGCACTTTCTCTCTTATTTTCTGTTTCTTAACGCGGATTACGTAAGCTCTGTCTATTCTCCATTTCCATTTCCCTTAGCATACTAGCACTTAGCAAATTAAATTTATTATTTTAATTTTTTATTTCGAGCTTTAAGTCTTTCGAAAAAATTATTGCGTCAAATACATTAATTAAACCTGATGAAAGGAGTTCATGGTTGTGCCCTGAATGAAAAAAAAAAATTAATAAAACGAGAAAGAAACATAATATCCATTTAAATAGAAAGTATACCATTTTCACGTCTTCACTGACCGAAATTACAGTGTGAATTTTATCATACCTGCGGCAATCGCGACGAAGAAAGAGAACGAGTTTGTACGCCGAGGAAGAGTGAAGTTTCCCTTACAATAACTCGTTTCGATATTCCATGGAAAATTAACTATACCGTATAAAATTTCGCGCACGCTTTGAGGTAAAATTCAGCGATTTTCATTTCCTCATCCTGACAACGTTGCGAATCTCTCTCTCTATCCTTTTGGACCAAGGTAGGTAGGTATCCAGTGGGAAGTCGATAGAAAGCGAGATTGGGAGAGAGAAGAAGAAGAAAGAGATTCGCAAAGGATGAAAAAGGAAGAAGGAAAAAGAGAGAGAGAAAGAGAGCCAATATATCTGTATATGTATATACACCTTCGTATCTACCCTGCAGTATCTTCTCTTCTCTCTTCCTCGCTAAAGTCAGATCGCCCACAGGCTCCACGAGCCCGACGTTATTATATGTTATCGCCGTGGAAGGTATGGGAACCGGCCTGAGGGAGCACCGAGTACCTATACCTCGGTATTTCCCCCTCGTTGTGCCATAACGCACCGAGGAGAACCAACTCTCCCTCTACAGTCCTCAGAGTCACCCGCGTATCTCCTATCCATCCTCTTCCCCACGTTCGCCCTTTCTTTTCTTTTACCTCGTCCTTTTCCCAGAGTATTCGTCTATTATATGCTAAATTACGATAACCTTCGACTATGCACACGGGGCACGGCGTACTGTCCGTGAATACGCAAATGCATACGTGAAGCTGATTGACACGGATTTCACGAGGGCAATTTGTTTCAATGTTTTCGAAATCGTAACATTATTAACTCTTCGTTACATGTTGCACAAAGTGAGTCATAAGTTTTCCGATTTTGACACTATTAGTTTTATCTACATTGAAGAAATTTTAAGCTTACGATTAGATGTACAGGGTATATCTTGACTCAGTCCCAAAACTGATACAGCAGCTTTAGCACATGAGAACAAGTCGAAAATGTTAATAAAAACATGTCCGAATCTGAACGGTTTTGAAGTTATAGAGTAACAAAGTTGCTTTTATAAGATAATATAAATTGAAATAAATGTTATTTTATATTTTTTATTTTACAAAAATTCCTCTGTTGATTTCGACACACTTTCTAGCACGACTTAATAAATTATTTCGAGATTTTTGAAATTTCATGACTAGGTATATTTCAGAAAGCTCAAAATGATTTATTAATTCGTGCTAGAAAGTGTGTTGACAGAAGAATTTTTTTGCATCTTTTGTAAAGATTTAAACAGAATAAAAACATGTTAAATAACATTTATTTCTATGTATAATGTCTTAAGAAAGCAACTTTAATATAACTCCGAAACAGAGTTCGGATTCGATATGTTTATTAACATTTTCGACTTGTTTTCATATATTAAAGTTGCTATATCAGTTTTTTGGCACTAAGTTCAGGGACGCTGTCTAAGAAGTTTACTAATCTTTGAAATGCACGTAAATAATGCATGTAAAAATGTATAATCGAAAGTATACATTTTAGCAAATTAAAACAATATTTGATATCAAATCAATTAATCATATCTGTCAGGCTGATAGAAAATATCTGAGAAATACATCTGGGTTATACCAAATGGGTTTTAACAAATTACAAATGAACGAATGAGATATCTAGTGAACACTTTTTTATACTAATTTTAATGTATCTTGTTATATTATGATTGATGATAAGATATTCTCAGAAAATTTAAAATTTATTTATCTTTTGCGAAAATAAATAAGACTTGCAATCTTGCTCATTTCCCTTGATTTAATTTATGGTGATATTAAACGCGTAACAAAACATATCATTATTCTCCAGATATAATTCTACGCCAGATATATCTCAACGGTAGCGTCAAGATATGTAATAAGATTAGTTGCAGCCTACTTTGAACGATGTTGTGCTCGCAAACGTGTACTGTGAAACATGCTTGAAAATGTCACGGGCACTTTCTAAAGAAGCCGGAAAAGGTGACATGTACGATGCAATGGATCCACTCGCGTGCATCTGCATATCTATTAAAGCGCAATTCATGCGCATGTTATTATCCTAAGTCGGAAAACAGCCTGTTGTTACATCCTCATTCGCGTAACAATTTTATATACGATTCTGTATCTCTTTTCTATTTCGTTATTTATAAATAATAACTAAATAATATAACTAATTGATTTTATTAATAATTCAATTTTATTTTGACCGAGAAAAAATATGGGGGATTCCTGATATCATATTCTTCCTTTTTCTACTTACACATAATTCTATATAGATATTTATTAATATTTCTGTGTAATTGATGTTTTACGTAGGGAAAAACATATTATATATCATAAATAAGTTATTTCTAGCTATACTGAAAGTTCTGTATCTAAGATGACAGTATATTATGATATGTTTTACTCGCTTCTTTGTAACGATTAATAACATTGTAGAGTGTATAGTGTTAAATTTAACCAATCAACGCGTGCGCACTGAGTTGGAATTTATTCAATGAACAGCTGCTTGTACTAAACCATTATTTGAAGCAACAAGCTACCTGAAGCGATTTCGGCAGGTGACCACAGTATCAGCACCTGCCAACACTCAGTAACTGTTCGATAACGCTTCTCGATAACGAATTCTCACGTCATTACATTCAATACATGAAGAGCAAATCTCTACCTAACAATATCAAATTCTCTTGACTTTGAATATTGATGCAATATTTCATCTTCAGCTTAATCATTATATTAAATAATATGATATACGATAATATATTAATCTATTTTGGAAGTTAAATTTGCAAAATTTTCTTTTTCGAGTGCATTTCAAACTACCGAGTCGATGCTCATGGGCTATAAAAAATTGCGACAATAATTGCGACTTTTATATGTGATAATTTTATATAAAAAAATATTTTTTCAGGTATCCAGAATCTAGACTAGCAAAATTGTTTAATGGCAGCATTCCTATCGTTCTGGATTCGCTAAAACAACATTACTTCATCGATAGAGACGGCGGCATGTTCCGGCACATACTCAATTTTATGCGAAATTCTCGACTATTGATACCCGACAACTTCGCCGATCTCGATTTGCTATTGGAAGAAGCACGATACTTTGATATTGCGCGTAAGTTATTATTCAATTAATTCCTTTTTCATTGTTTAACTTTATTCATTTGTGTGACATTTAAAAATTTTTTAAATGTCACAGAGAAAATTTTCTCTTAGAATTTATCCTGAAAATTATGGTAATCATGAGATAATATGGTACTGGAAGAATTTTATGAGTTTCTCTGATTCATACTTACTGCAATAAGAAACAATATACATAGGAAATAAAATAGAATATAGAAATAATAAATAGACCACGATTACCATAATTTTCAGGGTAAATTCTAAGAGAAAATTCTCTCCGCCTACATATTTACTTCTCTTTAATCCTATGTCATGTCAGAATAGCACAATATATTTTCTTTGTGTACATATCGTACGAAAAAAATCTCAATCGTAAAATATTGAAAGAATTAAAGATTCCATGGCGAACTGAGAGATTACTCGAGAAAGTTAATATATAAATCGCAATATCACATAACAATATATCATATCTCTTCTCATTTTCTCGACTGACTTCCAATCGCGCAATGCGTAGCTCTCTGTAATAGAATAGCAATAACAAACTCAGAAGTAGTTGTTTACTAGATTACAAGGAGTAATATAGAACTTTGAGTGCTATAAAAAGATAGAAATAAGGAAATTGTTCCTTCGGCACAGTATAATCAGTATACACACTTAATTTCAATAAAAATCTGGCTTTACGTAGAAAATTTTTCAAAACCGTTCGTATCAATTTATCAAATATATTTATGTCCGAGAAATAAAATGTGCAATATTATTATTAAAATATTATTCAGAGAAGAAACATTAAATTAACTGCCAATATCGCGAAATAATATCCTCATAAACCCAGAAGCAATCCTATTAAATAACGATTAACTCTTCTTCGTAAAATCGTCCTCCTTGTAAACGCATCTTCCTTTTTAGCGATGTGCAGGCAATTGGAGCAGATGAAGAAGGAGCGCATAAAAAACGGCTCGACAATGATGATGACAACATCTTCGCCGAGTCCACCGCCTTCCGGTCAGCTCGGTTCCGGTCGCGGCATCACAGCTTGCACCACCACGCCTTGCAACCGCGATTCCGAGAAGATGCGCGGTAACGACACGAATTGCAGCTACGAATGCGTGGCGTTGCACGTGAGTCCAGATCTGGGCGAGCGGGTGATGCTTTCGGGCGGTCGGGCGCTCCTGGACGAGGTGTTCCCGGAGACGACGCAGGCGGTGATCGACGCGCGATCCGGCGTCGCCTGGCATCAGCAGGACGCGCGCCACGTAATCAGGTTTCCGCTGAACGGCTATTGCAAGCTCAACTCGGTCCAGGCGATCACCAGACTGCTGAACGCCGGTTTCCGGGTGGTCGCGAGCAACGGCGGCGGCGTCGAGGGCCAGCAGTTCTCGGAGTACCTGTTCGTCAGGCAATCCGTCAACACCTGACGGAGTACGGCGCATCAGCGCAAAACGATCACCAGGTCGATCCGTTGCCTGCAGCGCGATTACGATCCGGAATGAGAATCTCTCAAGACTGCGTCGCGGATAATATGATTATTCTGACAAAATACACGAAGCATCTTCTGATAGAAGGCTGACAGTCGCAACCGCAGTTTGGTGCCAATGTATGAAAGTCTTTGAAAGGTATTTTGAAGTTTCTCTCAACACTTACGCCAAATATCTTGGACAATAAGGAAACACCGAGGAAATGTGCGGATAAGTTTTATGATTTACATCGATTTTTACATTCATTACATATTAAATTAGCTTTATAAAACAGCGATGATCTTGTTTGCGTGCATCTAAATTATAGAAATGGTTTGTATGTATTATATTTTTGGATGTTATAATTTAAGATAAAATAATTATTCGATCATTTTAATCAATAAAATCATAATTGATCACGCAAATAAAATTGACATTACAATTTAAATGTATTAATAAATTTGTAATATATAAATTTAATTTATATATAAAATTAAAAATTAAAAAATAGATTAGTAACGTATCTGAGAAAGATTGAGATCAATGCTATTTTGCAACAAATTCAATGTTTACCTGCAGTTGCGACGATTACAAGGCGTTACAATAGTTATTCAATAAGCTAGATGTGATTTAGATAGATCGTTGTTGATCGAGATAAAAATTATATAAATTTTTGCATATATGTTTAAAAATAAATAATAATTAGGTAGACATTATTCGATATATTTTCCGATAACGACGATCACATCTAAAAAGCAATGACCAAACAGGAAGCCTAATAATGGCAACAATGTATCGTGTGATTCACAGCAAAGAGCCTAAGCTAATACGTAATATATTAATCGTATATACGCTGTTCCATGTTCTTTTTTTTATTCATTGTGTAAAAAGTGCACGTTTCACTGAAATGAAAAAGACATAGCCATAATGCAGCTTGAAAAAGTGAATCAACAATATGTTATATACATTGTGTCCTTTGCACGCTTTTAACGCTATTTAGGAATGAAACGCGTAATTGTAAACATCATCGTTTCATTCCTCGTGTTACAATCTGCGACTTTGCGTTTGAGAATATCAGATGCGTCAATTTTTAACATTGTTATTATTTAATAAAGTGTATCTATATGTATTTAAATGCCATATTAATTATTGTAAATATCGCGAATAAACATGTATATACATACATATATATAGACATAAGTATGCTTGTATGTATAAGTATGATATTCTATTTGAAATGCATTATTCATATTATACTCTAAAGAGAAATCAATAACGAAACGACACACATTGTGTATCGCATAAAAGTCAGCTAAATTAAGTTTTCGAGATAATCTAATATAATTCAATAAACGAAAAGAGAGCAGCAAAAAAAATATCAAATCTTTCCGAAGTATAAGCCTCGAGGAGAAAGTACAGATACCTATATGTTCTTTAAATAACATTTTGATGAAGAATTAAGAAACACGAACTACCTATTTAATTGCTCTAAGAAACTTTCTTATATAAAAATATCATTCTATAATAATTAATCTAATAAAATGTTTATTTTATATTTCAAGAAAGTACAGCGATTTTATTGTTTCATCGATCTCCTACAACATTCAAGAGAGATTAGAGTAAAATATATATACATTATTTTCATTTTGTACAACATATACCGCGCGAGTTATATGTAGTTTAATTACCACTACTCTCTGACGGAAAAATTGCAGTGTCATTAAAGAGAAGTAATTTAGATTTTTCTCTAGAAAATAAAGAGACAATAAATTTGCTATTCGAGAAACGAGTAAAAGTATAGACCGCGAAATTATTGTCACTCGCAATCAATTCGCGATTGCTATGGACGTTGCGTCGCGCCCGAAGCAAAAGAATTTTGCTCCGTACAATAAAATTATTAGTCAAACAAAATCGCTGGCATAATATGGAGATCAGAGAAATTTATTACAAGATGGAGAGTAAGATTCTTTCAATTCTTTACTCATTATCCTTTTTAGTTCAATTGTTCTTTACGTAGTTAATCTTGCGTAAGAAATTTTTCTATTGTCCAATAAAATCACTTGAAATGTTGCATAAATGTAAATTATTTAACGTATCAATAACTTTGATCACAGAATGCAACGAAAAAGTTACTCTGTAAAAATAGATACTAAAAAATGTTTCAAAAAAGAATTACTCGTAAAGAATTGCAATTTTCTTCGAAATTAAAAATTAATTTTACATTAACAAAATACAGCTGCTATAAGAAAATATCTAAGATATTTTTGTTTATGTATAAATGATTTTTCTACGAATTTATTTTTATATAATTATCAAATATATTTATATTATCAAGATTGATGATAATAATTATAAAATATATAAGGCATACTATAAATACTGATATTATTTAATTAATATCCTAATTAATTGCATAATTATTTTATATATAAAAATAAATACGTGCAAGAGAGAAAGACCAGGTGTACAAAAAAGTATCGACCAATCTGATGATGATTATGCAAGGAAGAGAAACGCATACGCGAGAAGCGAAGTAAGAGAGCTCATTGGGACTGCGTTCATCACGTAACCACGGGAATAAGGGATAAAGCGTACAAACGTCGTGCCCTTGGGCCCCGTTTCCATGGTTACTGTGAACTCAATATCCACGTCACCCGAGGGTTTCACAGCCCGGGGCTGTCATCCCTCGAATCCATCCGGCAGAACGCTCTTCGTCCTCCCTCTCTCTCTCTCTCTCCCTCTTATATTCTCTCACCCTTTCGCACTACCCTTGCCGTTCCGCGCTTCGTCTTCCTTTCTCTCTGTCCTCTCCACGTCGGGCTGATTATATTCCATTTCTGGATCGCCCTGGTCACCTTGATGCCGCGTCCTTCGATACACGACATGAAGCGGAATAGCCGTCGGCTACGCGGAAGGCTTGAAATTCGAGGATATCCTCAGACAAAATCCCATCGTTATTGTCCGTATAAAAATCGAGGCTAAGGTTGATATTTTACTTTGCGTTTGATTTTATTGTATATATATGTTTTCTTCGTCTTCCATTTGGCTTTGTCTTCTTATTCTCGTAGAAGGTACAAAAATAATTCAACCTCAACCACACATGATGAAGAAATGATAGCTAGACATTTTGATAGGTGTAATAAACACGGATCTTATTTGTATAAATTGAAATAAAAATTACATTATTAGAGAAAGCTGTGCCGAAGGATAATTATTATATATTTTTAAATCAATCTTCGTCTTTAACATTTAGTTATCTAGTTCTCGTTTTCTCTAATATACTTTCTCCACGAGGCTTTGCAAGCAATGAATAAAATATATTACTACTTTTTACCCTATTTTAATCTCAAAAAATAATTAATATTATCTTAGTATTCTTTATTATGTCTTGAAAGAAAGTAGATAATAAAAAATTTATTTAATTTAGATTTAAATATCATGGAAAAAAAGAGAAAAAAATTACTCTAAATAGCATATCTTTCCTCCTTTTTAATAGTAAAAAATATCGTGATTAATAATAAAATATTTTACAAATTATTATTTAATGAGTTAATATAAATACAATACATTTATCATAATATATCTGATTTAAGAAAGAAGAATACAGTTATAAAATCATATAAAAAATCTTTGTTTCTTTTTCTCAACACTGATGAATATATCCAAATAATTTTTTCTTTCACATATTTAGCTGTTTACTATTTAAATAAACTCTATCTGAATTTTTATTATAATTGAAATAAAGTCAATTGTTTTGACATCTTGTGATTATTTGTAACTGATTATTAATAATTAATTTTTCATGAAAATATAATTTTTAAATTTGATCGCAAACGATCAAATCATAGTTTATTTATTTCTAAGCAGAAATAAAAATACTAAGAAGAAGTAATGGTTTCTGAGAAAAAAGTACAGGTAAGATCGAAAATAATTTTATAGAAGAAAGATTTTATAGAAGAGATGTCATTCTTATACATATACATATATGTACAATATTGTTCAGATATGTATTTACAATCTTTTTTCAAAGAATTAAAAAAAATATTTTAATTATTTTTTTAATTGCAAATATCTTTAATTATCTTTTTAAATATAATCTCTTTTTAAAGAATTAAAAAAAATATTTTAATTATCTTTTTAAATACACTTATTCTCTTTCTTAAGTAAATATGCGCGATTACTTTGTAAGGAATTAGAGATATGAAAAAATTATTCATTAAAAAATTATTTTGCATGGATAGTAATATTATGTGATATAATTAGTTTTTTGTAAATAAAAAAGACTTGAAAATTAACTTTGTTTTATTATTATATTATGCTATATTAAATATATTAAGATATAACATACCGTGTTAAAAAATAAATTATTACATCTTCTCTATATATATTCTTCCACTTACACAAAAATTAATCAAATCATATGTCACCAAACAAAATAACTTTTAAAATAATTGTTTTGTATCTTTAATTACTTACAAAATGTCCATTTAAATCATCAAACATACTGTGTGTATTAAAATTGCATTTCTATAATATTATGATATCTAAAATATATATAAATTATTCATTACTAGATTACTTGGAAATACGCAACGAATAAATACATTCTGATAATAGCAATAGATAACTATAACTACACGTTTTAAGTATGTGATTTACTCTTTACTGAAGATATCGATATATTTATCAATTCTCTTTCATCGTTAGTATTCGACATAAGATGTAGAGTAAAATTAATCATTTGCATATTAAAAGCAAGAGAGGTATGTGATATTGCGATATACATATTTCAAATCCTAAAATGTTTTTAACATACTTAACATATAATTTTCTAAACTTTGTTAAATCTTTAGAGATAGCAAATTGTGTGTGATATTTCTTTAAATGGTTAGATTGTGAGTATTTATAAAATCGTATAAAACCTTACATAAAAGATTTTTAATTTCAATCAATAATAAAATTTAATTGCAGATAAGAGCACTTTTTGATCAAATACAAAGCGATTGACAGTGGCTAATGACATCGATCCATATTAAGACCCACCTTAATCATACGGAAAATGACTGAACATTTACAATCATATACGCAAATAAGTAAAATTATTTTATTTGATAAAGAAAAAAGGAAAAAAAGAGAAAATCTCATAGAGAATCACAAGCAAGAATTATTATAAGCCAAACAATATTTGCTTCGATGAATAATCGTCACATAGCTTCGTCAAAATTCATCACTGACATTCCGCTTCGCGAAAATTCATTAATCACGGAAATTAATTAATAATCGTGAAAATTAATATTTATATCATCGGAAATAATAGGGTTTAATATTTTCCAGTATTTATCCGATCACTTTGAAAGAGTGAGGGAGTAATGAGATGTAATATACCTAAAGTAACACATAGTTATTTGCCCACCCGAGTTTTATCATTGCATGAATGACAATATAAATAACAATATCGTATATAAATACATCGCAATGCGATGCGTCTTCAAAAGTTATTTAATTATGCGAGCAAGACTCACCCATTGTAATTGTAATAGTAAAATATGTAACAAATTATATACGAATACATAAAAAACTATTATTAACAAAGCCAAATAAACAATATAAATGAATAACTTTTATATAAAAAATTAGAATATTAATAATTGATAAATTAAAAGAATAAATTATTATAATTATACAATCATTTATTCAGTTTCTAATTACAACACACAATTATTGTTGACATATTCTTTATAAAAAATAATGAATTTAAAAAATTGAATTAGATTAATTTTTATACATTATATAAATTGTCTTTCTTAAATTGAAATATTTATCTTAATTATTGTTATTCATTCATTTTGAGGTAACGGACTATCTACAATCTACAGCCTACAATCTACAATCTACGTTTTAAATCTACATCTCTACAATCAAATATTTATTGAAATCGTTACCTCGTAATAACATAAGTTTATCACTCACCAATCGATGCGCAAATAGCGGAGTTGACTGCATTAATCGAAGCTGCGTTGATCTGTAACATACAAATAGAATATAAATTATAGTAACATTTTAAATAATTAATATCTAAAAGTTAGCTTATTTTGGACATTAAAATAGTCGACGTTTCTAATAATCAGTAGATATATAAGTGAATAATTTTATAAATTTTATAAAGATTATTTTTTTAATATAAACTTATAATATTTATAAAGAGTATCTAAATTTTTCTTTATATAAATCATTGAAATATATGTATAAATAGAATTAATTATATATATGCGTAAAAAAATACGTGATTTATAACAAATCAAATATTTTATATATATATATATATATATATATATATATATATTATGTAAATATTATATAAGTATTATATATATATTTATATTCAAAAATATATAAATAATAAATACTTACCACAAAGTTGCTCGGCTGGCGCCCGATGCCTCCCAGGCCTGCTCCTCCTCTCAGGTCAAATTGGTCAGGATTGCCAAAGTCTGTTCACTTAAACGCGCGATACTTTTCACGACACTCCCGCACTTGAACGTTTTTGACACTTTCGCAATTAAACGCACGATACTTTTCACGACATTTCGCACTTGCACGTGCGACACTCCCGCACTTAAACGCGCGACATTCTCTTCAATGTTGTCAAATGTGTCTTATTGTTAGACACTCGCCTTATGTCGATCAATTTGCTTAATTTTATGGCGAAGTTAAGCACATTATATGTGCTTTATTAATCATGTAATAACCGCGCCATTTGTTAATAATTAGTATTTTATATCTCTCATTTTCAATTAAAATAAATTATATGCTAATTTAATAAAAATTAATATTAATATTAATAAATTAATATTATATACAAAAAAATTGTGTACGTTCTTTATTACGAATTTGTGAAAACGCAATAATCAACTTTAATCTATTCGCGACTTGCAATTAACATGACTTGTATTTATTTCCGATTTATTACATTAAAAAAAAATAAATAAAATAATATATAATTTGTAAATTTGTTCCGCAAATTTTATATATATAATTGTTACTTTTTCTTTTAGTTTAAAATTATTATATATTTTTCAAAATATCCACAAAATATATATGATACGTGTATTATTTTAAAATATATATTAGTTTTACTAACGTAAACTCAACTTATGAATCAACATGAATGAATGGAGTACAAAATATTATATAATATAATATGTATAAAATTTAAATATTATAATATTAATAAATAATTATAAAACAATTTAATCATTTAGAACTTATATACAATTAATAATTGTTAATATGTTCTTTTAAAATAAATTTAATTAAATATATTATACACTCTAAAAATATTTATTCTCCTTTTCTTAAACTATAATATTCATAATATATAATTTTTATAATATTTTTAATCTTTATTTAGTAATCCATTCATTTTAAGGTAACGGAACTAATATCTACAAACTCTACAGTCTACACAATCTACAATCTAAATCTACACATTTTTCCACACAATCTAATCTCTACAAAACCGTTACCTTTTGTAATAAAATTTACCACTCACTTATCGATGCGTAACAGTGCAGTTAACTGCGTTAAGGATACGTGTTGATCTGTAACATATAAATAAAATACAAATGATAGAAGCGCTCAAATAATTAATATTTTAGAAAATAATATAATTAGATATGCAATTATATAATTAATTAATTTTATAAATTTTTATTTAATATAATAATTGAATTAATATAAACCAAGCAATAAATACCAAATAATAAATATAGTTGCTCTACTAGTGCCTGATGTCTCTTCCAGATCTTCTCCTCTCAGATTGCCAAGATCGTTACGTTGATCTGTAATATGCAAATAAAATTCTAATTATAGCAACGCCCAAATTAATTAATATTTTTGAAAATTATTACTATACGCATTGGATTTTATTTTCCATGCGTAAAATATCAAGCAAAAACATAGTTAAATAATTGTATAAATTTTTATTTAATATATAAATATTTTTTATTTAATTTATAATAATTTTATTAAATTTTATTTTATTTTATTTTATAATTTTTTCAAATAATAAACTGCTTATAAATTTTTATTTAGTAATTAAATTTAATAAGTCAATAAAAATACTCACTCCATAGTTGTTCTACTGATGTCTCAATGTCTCTTTCAAACCTTATCTCTTCTTAAATTAATTGTCAAGATTGTCAGTTGTGTTGATCTGTAACATATATTAATAAAGTTTAAATTGTAGCAACACACAAAATAATTTTAGAAAAGTATTATGATATATGTTAAATTTTATTTTGGATGCATATAATATCAAACAAAAATATAGTTAAATTTGTATAAATTTTTATTTTAATAGTAATTGAACTAATTAGCCAAAAATATTTACCCTATGGTTAATTATTTCGTCAGTGCTCGATGTCTTTCTTAGATCTGCTTCACCTCTCAAATTGTCAATAAGATCGTGTTATATTGATCTGTAATTGTACAAATAAAATTCAAATTATAGCAGCATTAATTAAAATAATTAATATTTTAGAAAATTATTGCTGTACGCATTAGATTTTATTTTCCATGCGTATAATATCAAATAGAAAGTTGAATAATTATATAAATTTTTATTTAATGAATAAATGTTAATTAAACTAATACACAAATAATGACTACTAACCTGCTTATTGTTCCATCGACGTCTCGACCTCCTCTTTCGCTCTAATTTCACCATTGCGTCGCTCCTTCTCAGCACTCACTAGAGAAAACAATTAATTACAATAAGCGCACACTAGCGAAAACAAATAATTACATACGATCACGCGCGCACTTATCATACTCGAATAATTAAAGAGCGCACAACATTTTCGACACTAATGGCGGGCGATACACTCGATTATGGCGGGAAAATAACGCGGAAGAAGCGCGCGAGCTCACGACAGCGACATTTCGATATCTCGACATCTCGATATCTCGACATCTCGATAGCTCGATAGCCTAACTTTGCGCCGTACAAATAGCGGAGGTTATTTTCGATTATTTTGTTCATTTAAACGAAACAATCGAAAATGATTAAAATATGATTTACTTATCAATTAAATATATTTAGAATTGATACGTCCCATGTTCACGATTTTGTTACTTATGATGTTAGCTTTACATTATCAATACGATGCGTTAATATATATTGTCACGCGAATAAAGCGAGCAAAATATTTGCTTCGACAAAAACAATAAACGTTTCGCAATAATAAAACATACTTACGAGTTACTTAATCGTAGAAAATGAATAATGCGCAAAATGACATTTACTCAGAGAATAATTCCATAATACTTCTCGCAATATCGCGGCTCGAAAAATAATAGGTAACTGTATACAGAACGTGGCGTATCGCTGCTTACCTATTTGAGGTTGAATGACAACAATATGACCGCGTAAATAGTGATATATCGCACGTCGCCGAACGCCAAGCTTACATAGTGAACTATCTAGAGTTATACAAATATGATTCCAATTATGATTTGCTCACCAATTAAATCATGATACAGGATCCAGCTGCATGCCCCACGCGTTTACGGTAGTGTTTCGCTATAAACTCTGGACTCCGGAACGACGTCATCGGCGTCACGTTGGTTATAGATTACAGCAAGAAAAACGCGCGAAGTTTAAATACGATATTTGCGATTTCTAGAGACTAATTTCACATGCGCATGAACAGGAATTTTTACAAATTATCGATCGTACAAAAACGTCGTATTTATACGCTATGCAGTTGAAAATAATTAAACTATACTTTCAATATTTGACAAATAATTGGGAAATATAGAAATAAAATATAATATCGCGTATAATACATTTCAAACGCATAAATTCCATGCATATTATTAATAAAAATATTCGATATACGTTACATTTTTAATATATAATTCTATTTTGTGTCACATCGAATATTTACTTTATTTTATGCAAATAAATAAGAACGCGAAATATCTCTCTTTAATAGACATTTTAATAGATAATAGAAACTAATGATAAAATCTAATTAGAAAATGAAAAATGTAACTTATATTTCAACGAGAGGTTCGTTTCTGTATTTTATTATATTACGTTTGCTGTGCTTATCCAGTACAATTTATAAAAATATTATAACGTACCACAAAATTATGTAATGTACTGCTATATTTTTATATATTTTTCTTTATATATATATATTAATATTCTATCTACTGGCAGTAAAGAGAACGTTATGATTTATGCGTGGTTTTACGTTTTGCTTCCAGTTTATAAAAAACGATATAATCGCAAAGAACGGTGAAAACTTCTTATATAATAATCTTGGTAAAGATTAATGACGGTTTGCATATTTTTCAAATAAAATATAGTTATTAAAACGACTTATTTACACAGAATATACATTGTCATTATTTCTGTCATAACAAGATGATGACGTGGATATATTAATTAAAATATTAATTTTGAGCATTTAGTTTCATTTCATTTTATATAAATGTTGAATTGTCAATCATAATCATTTTTTTCGAAAATAATTAAATCAATCGCAATGAGAAAAAATAAATACGAAACATTTTATTTACACATACGCACACACACGCACATACACACAGAGTATGTATTAATGAAATGTTAAATAAGATTCTATTTAACACAATGTATCATTTTTCCAACTACACAAATCTGGTGCAGAATTATTATATTCTAATGTCTCTAAAGAGAAGAGAGAAGAGAAAGTTACGATAATTCATAATTTCAAACATATCTATATCTTTCCTACACACTATATTCATTCAATCCTTTTTTTACATAAAACCAATTGAAAAGGCAATTAGGTATCATGTGTAATCAATAATTACGACAATTGCATATATTTATTGTTTATTCTGATAAATATCTAAAAGCCGAGAAACATATGTCATCATATGTCATAATATATTATTAAAGAAATACAGAAAATGTGTCTTTCTTTTAATTTTTACTGTGCCTTCTCTTTTAATCAATAATGTTATGAATACATTGAGAGTATTCGAAAGTAGATGATTTTACTGTAATAATAAATTTCTTCTTAAAGTAGGACATAAAATATTATGTTAAAAAATAGTAATAAAAATAATATGGAGAAGCAAAATATCTTAATAAAAATATATGTTCAATATAAGAAGAGATACATAAATCTCACAATAAAACACATAACTTTAAAAAAAACTTTAAATGCATTAGTTTATATTGCACAGATAATTTCATATTATATTGTAAATAATGACACGGGTGAGATACAAAAATTAATATTTTAAAGATTAGAAATCGTGTCATATATACATGTAATATTTTCTTAATTGTATTGAAAGAATATACTGTGTGGGCATACAGATAGTATAAAATTATTGACACAATAAAAGAAATAATGAAAATTCGATATTTTAAACATTATTCTCTATGATCTCAGGCACCCACGCATACATATTTGTGGTTATTCTTTTTACATGTAAATCAGGTACTCCTTGAATTTATTTTAATTGATTATGCAAAACATAACTTTCTACGGAAGTTTATCTTATCATTAGCAAAAATCACGCATCAATTTCAAAAAGGAGAAATATAAATAATTAAATTAACATCACTCAAAAGAACATTGGTTATTCTTATTTTTGTAAATATTTCTTTAATAAAAAACGTAACAGCTAATTTTTTTATAAACACTGAAAATGTAGATCGCAATATACAACATAATATACTGATAACAATTCCATTTTCCAGTGGAGAGTAGCTATATTGTGTTGTACCAACATTGAAATTATCACTATTTAGTAATTATATGTAAGATATTGTACAAATTATTCCATACTTTTTGGACAGTGTGCTCATGGTATTATTATTATTACATTATACAGTTTGCAAAAATACGATTTACTATTATAATAAAACCTTCTTATTTTACACTAGCGCTACAGTGTCCAAAAGTATAGGTCAAGTATTACAATGTAGCGAACCTATACATAGCGACAATGTACACTCATTCACTTAATGCATTCAAGCATTCATGTATTCATTATATAACAATGTTTCTACAATGTTGCCTCGTTAAAAAATTATTATTCAGGATCGATCGCTATCCTTTAACGTGAGCACAAACTTATTTACCTTCCAGGAACTGCCTTACAAATCTTGTCAACGGTCGAACGATCTAGACGAACGTGAGACAAGAATATGAGCGAGTAAAATAGAGCATCAGATAAGGCTTGAGCTCGCTCGCTCGAAAAATATGGGAGAAAAAGGGGAAGGATTAACTCGCGTTATCGCATAGCGTGGAGCGAAAAATATTTCTTGTAACGAGGAAGCACTGTATATGGCCAGACACAACGTTCTCCCTTGCCACGAAAAGACTATATAGAGACTAATTGCGAGACATGTGCTCATACACATTGCTCCTTTCATTGATGCGATTTTCGTGTTGAAAAATAAAGAACTATTATGTTACATTTAAAAAATGTATACTACAGTTAAAAAACGTTTCAGTCATTTACAATAAGGAAGCTTAGTATCGACACAGTGGAAATAATTTTATTTTGAATATATGCGGGATTCTCCAAGTCGACTGCCAATGAATCTCATTGCAATATATAATTCGTGATGAAACACTGTACATTACAGCATAAAATAACGTCACGCGATCCATCCAGCCCGGATCGTAAAATACCATGCAGATAGAGCGCCAGATTTCGGGCGGGTCACTAAAGTTCCTGCCCTTGACAGTGCATCACTTCAAGTACGATTTATACAACGTTGTGCTTCTACACGTTTCTTTTTCCTGTTCTAAAAGGAATAACAAATCCCTGAAATTCACTCTTTTTAAACGTGGTCTCATTGGCATTTGTCTATTTAATCCGCTGGCCGATGCGTTTGCGCCAGGAGTTCCGCCTGAACTGTTGGTCGATCCCGCTATATCGAGCTTAGGCTTCTTGCGAGGGCCAATTGCTTGTAAAGCTGTTAAATTTGCTTCTCTTTGTCTTAATTCTTCCATTTCGGCACGTTGCATCTGAAATATTACATGTATTTTAAATAAATTGCAATTAAAGAAAAAATGAAAAAAAAACATTTATCATGCAAAGTTGCATAGGAAATTATATAATTACCTCTTTGGCCTTAGCCTTCAATTTGGCTTGCTCAGGATCTTCTGTTTTTGCACGACTTTTCGCAGCACGTAAAAGTAATTCTCGTTCTTGTTCTTCGTGTTTCCTACGCTCGACTTTATCTAAATCTTCCAAAAATTTTAATTGCGCTCTTACATCTTGTGTTACTTCGTATCTAGGATCAACCTATAAGTAATAAAAAAATGTTGCAAAAAAACAAAGAGAAAAGTATAAAATGCAGTTTTACATATAAAAAGAAAATTATTTCAGTTTGTAATGAGATTCGATTTGTGCTTATATAAATGAACAGAAATACAGAGATTTAAAACAAATAAAATAATCTTTTTAAATCTTACCTTTATAAGATCTATCCTATGTTCTGCAATAACTGCTAATTTTTCTACTAAATTCTTTAACCTTTCTTGCACAGCATGCGAAATTAATGCTGCTACTTCTTGATTTGGTTCTTCCAGATTATGACTGGATACTAAAATATATTTTTTATATACACTCTAACTGTACATATATTTATATTAGTTTATATTAATTTATAATAAAGATAAAACTGAAATTACCAATTTGTTTAATTCTCTGTTGTAATGGTGTCATATGCAAAAATACTTCATCTTTACAAGATCGTATTTGGGTACCAACAAATTCTGTAGAACCAAGTATTCTTTGAGATTCTTCTGCAAGATTAACACCACCCATAGCTGCTACATCATTTATATCGTCATCCGCTCTACAAAATACAATGTTACATTATTATATGTTTATAATAATTATGGTATGCATTTTTAAGTTAATATTGTTTTATCGTTTTTTCATTCATTAGATTTGATAACAATAATTGCTTTTTATATCATTTTTACAAAACAGAACTTACGTATATCCTGCTGATGAAAACGTTTTTTTCTCTTTTTCCTTTGCAGCTGGTTTTTGAACAAGAAAAGGCACTATGGCTTTATTAACAGTGGTGGTTGTATTGACTGTTTTGCCTTGTGTTGTAGTTGTAACCGTTTTTACGACCGTTGTTGTAACTATAGGTGGCTTCTGCACAACAGGAGCAGTAGGACGAACTCCAGTGGTTACTGGTAGTGTCGATTTTACAGTATATGCTGTAGTAGGACTACGAACCACTGTTGTTACTGGTCGAATCTAAAACAATATAATTTTTTGTAACAAAATATCTTGCATAAATTTTAATAAACGTGTATCATTGTAATAAGATACATTATTGTTATTAAACAATAGACATGTACTATTTATAAAAAAAATCTATAAATTTAATTAATCGCAAACTAAATTTACACAACTATTCTGAAATATATTCTTTTATTTTTGGTATCAAGAAAAATATAAATTTTTTTTATATAATCTGATAATATTGTGATATTACAGACATCATAAATGTATATATTAATATTATAACAGATTACAAAAATCTTACAAGTCTTTGTGGAACAGGTTGAGCAGGCCGCGGAACTGTTGTAACTACTGCTGCTGTTGCTGTTGGTGCAGCTGCTGGAACTGCTGCTGTTACTGTTGTTTGAAGTGGTGCCATAACTCTTACTTGTGTCGTTGCTGTTGCAGTTGCTGTTACAGGAACTGTCACTGTAGGTCTATACTGAGTTTGCTATAATAATATAATAAAGTACAGTTGTTAGAAAAAATATGAAACTATTAAATATTAAAATATATAAAAAATATAAAAAATTCTCTCTTTTTTTTCATTACAATTATTACTATTGCATGTTCCCTTAAAATGAGTTATATATATATAAATATAGACTTGATAAAATGTAACAAATTATCAATCTCAGATAAGATTGATTTAAAAAAAAAACATGTGTCTGGATGTATCCTTTTTATAAAAACCCATTTCTCTAGATTTTGATTTGCAAAATTCCAAAATCCTTTCCAAAATTAATACTTTACGAAAACTTATCACATTTTACATATCTCTTGTATGATTAATAGAATTAAATAATTCTACCTGTGTAATAGTTGGAACAACAGCTGGAGCTATGGAGAAAACAACTGGAGGAGGAGGAGGAGTCTCCTCTGGAGGAGGTTTTATTCCATCTATGGATAATTCTTTTGTGGCAAGCGCCTGTCGTAGAAGTGGTAGACTTTTCTTTAAGAATCCAATAAGACATGGTTGCGGTGAAGCACATAATAATTTTTCAAGCCTATCACAAAACTCTTCTGGCTCAACCGTAGCATCAATCAGATCTTGTATCAAAGTTCGGACATTGCGTTCTACCGTTTTAGGTTCTCGACTAGATAACACTAATAAGTTTGCTAAGAATTTACGGCACTTTTCTTTGGTATTATCAACAGCTTGACGCTAAAAAAAAGAAAAAAACATTATTTAAATATATAAAACATTATAAGTTATATTATTTTAAATTTAATTTTATATAAAACATACTGGTGGTACAGATGTTTGAACTGTTTGAACAGTAGGGGTTGTTGGTACAGAAGTTGTAGGTGCTGTAGTCGTTCTTGGAGTTGTAATAGATGTAGTAATAGGTGCAACAGTCTGTAGAAATACATATAAATAATAATTATTCATATATATTACAACAATAATTGCAAATTTATTTAAAAATATATAGTTACTTTTACAATACATAAAGATACTTTATGTCAAAAAATTAAAGTAATAGATGTTTTTAAAAATCTAGATATTATATAATCACTTTTAAACATAATTAACAAAACATAAATTGCATGCAGAAATAATATTGTAAATAATAAGGTAACAATAAAATATGTAAATATCAAAAAAATTAATTCAAGAGAGTGAATCAAAAGTACAAAATTATTTTTTCATATATAATTGAACTTTTTTCATTATTTATTACATGCAACTAGAGGAATTTTGCAAAATTCTATGTTACTACATTACTGATAAATTACAGACATACTACTTTTTCTACATGCATGCCAAAAATAAAAAAATTATCCTATAAAAATTTTTAACTCACTGTTATTGGAGAAAATCATAAATATGTAAATTTTAGTGAGTTCATTTTCCAGATTAACAACTTACTTAGTAAATAATTTAAACAACTTCCTTATATATTAAAGTATATACATATGTATACAATACATATATACAATATCTTACTGATAAATAAAATTAAAAAAAAATATAAAGCTATTTGCTTCTATTGTTTCTCTAAATTTAAGTATAATAACATTGACTTATTCATTACAATATATTCTGTAGACGCACTTGTACCTTGTACAGACTCGTATTTTACAATTTGTTTTGTAATATAAACATACATATGTAAAATATATATTATTTAAAAATAACATATACTAATTAATAATATTTATTTATCATTTTGTAGGATATTATATACAGAATTCCCATCAAATTTTATATTATATATATATATATATTTAAAAAATTTTTAATTTTTAAAATAAATGCAGTACTAATTTCTTAATCAACTATAATATTACATTGTTAGGATTAGATAGAACGAGAAATAATAACAAAATAATTTTTTAAACTTTTTATTATTTTATTATTTCTATTCAAATTTAAAAAAATAGATTTGTAGAAAGTAAATTTAGGCAAATTTGAATAATGTAATCACATGCTTATAATATAAGATATTAAGTATAAGGAAATAGTTTTAATAAATATATGTATAAAATTATAAAAAAAGCAAAAAAGATGTATAAATATCCTCACACTATTATATTCTCCTTTTAGAGAGGATTTATCTTGAATATATGCAGCATTTCCTACATAACACCTTTAACCAATAATTCATGCAATATATTTGATAAAGACATTAAACTGCATTTACTACACTCCATGAAAACATACTACCAAAGAAATGCATCCCAAAAGTAAGCTAATAATGAGATGTTATCAATTATGCAATTTATATAAGTTTGTAGTACAATTAAATCAAAATAATGTTAATTGTGAATAATAAAATTGCTCATAAAATTTTTGCACATTCAGAATATAAAAATATTTAAGATTTGAGAATTTCAAGAAAATTTAAAAATCTATAAATATAATTTTTCTCTCTACATATAGTGCTTATAAAAATCGAAAATAAAAAATAATAAAAATAAATTTTTGTGTCATAAATACCCAAAGTTAAATGTGTTAAATAAAAAATATAAATTGTAAACAGAAAATATATTGGCTTACTGATAACATCATTCCAAAAAAGTTGATGAACTAATAAGACTCTACAGTAGCAACTACATCGAGTCTTGTAAGAGGTATAAGAATGCGTCACCTGAACAGATTTTCTTAGGGTGGCGAGTGGTGGGCCAGTGAACTGAGTATTCAGCCTACTTACAGCTGGCACTGAAGTTAGGCGATAGGTAGTGCCTGGAGATGGTGCAGCAACTACTGCATTGCCAGTTATACTATTCGGTGTAACTGCAGTACCAGTGGCAGTACCTGCAGTCGGAGCTGGACCTACCCTCAACAACTGATACTGTCCATTTTCTGTTTTTAATAATAGATGACCTTGAGTACCAGGTTGAAGACCATGAAGTGCCTGTAATGTTATCTAAAAAAATCAAAAATAATATTTATCAATTATATTGTATCATGATTCTCTGCTATGATAAATAAATCAGAGATTTAACATGCTACAAAGAGTTAAAATAATATACAAGATCAATTTCCATGACTTTTTCTACTTTGTACATGCTGTATATACACATATATAATTTTAAAAAAATGTATTGCTTGTAAAAGTATCTTACCGCTGGAGCTCCTGGTCTCGCTTGTACCAATTGGTGTTGTCCGATGACCACTCTTGGAGTGACTTGCTTATTAGCTTGCTGCCCTGCTACCGGTGTCGCAGGACGCATTGTATTTACATTGAGAATTTGAACATTGCTGGGTACTATCGTCGAAGTAACTCCAGCCTTGGCCTGCAACGCCGTGCTGACCGCATTGTCAGCCACAGAGACTGGTACAGACATTGGAACGGAAACCATGCCACCGGGTGCTACACTAGTCTTAATCACTAAAGCTGCGCCTGTCGGCTTATTCACTGTGGTCACTGTTTGGCTACCTGTCTGACTGACAGAACCGACATTGGGAACAACGTTCGATGTGGTTTGCAACACCGGTTGCGAAGCTATGCCCAGGGTACCGTTCGCTAACTGACCGACAGTTTGTACAGGGAAGGAGATCTTATTATTCGCATTCGCCACTCCCGTAGTTATAACTTGCCCGACACCGGGATATATAATCTTCACCGACTCGTGAGTCTTGGTCAGGCTCGGTATATGCGTGGCCTGGTTGCTCGACACCTGGTTGGTCGTGGACACTTGATTGATATAGGCGGCAGGCGGTATCCCTGACGATTGTTGATGCTGTTGCTGTTGCGTGGTGATGACCTGCGGCGCCACCGCGTTCGAGGTGACCACATTCACCGGCAGCAGGGTGCTCGTGGTGATGGGCTTGCTGACCTCCTGGGTCATCAGACCACTGTTCACGGTGGTCACGCCGCCGCCGTTCGAAACCCCATGTTTCTGCGGCTGTACCGCGGCGATGGTGCCCCCGTTGGAGATCGCGCTGTTCACCTGGTGATTCTGCTGGCTGACCGCTGCGGGACTCGCTTGATGCCCGGCCTGAGTCGGCGTGGACGTCACGAGCTGCGTCTCGAGGGAGCCCACTATCGCGTTCACTGCGGATTCGTCGACATCCGTGCTCAGAGCTTCCTCTAAAAACTTAGCTGACGCCATTTTCTTCCAAGCTCCAACTGTAAACTGATCTGCGCGTGCGCCTGTCGCAAATTATTCCCATGGTGCATTGCCTCCCCACCCTCCCTCCTTTCCTCTTCGAGACACCGATTATTAGCGCAGCGGAAAATTGTACGCGGCGAGTCCGTTGTTTACCATCGAGCGATATAAACGCCGATTTCTCGCCATTCTGCGCTGCGCACCGAGAACTCGGTCGATTTTTCGACGATCGCGTTTTTCTCTCCCGCACGCACCTTTTCACACGATCGCGTCAAATTTGCGCCGCGTCCGCCGCGTTATGGCTGTCTGAGCACGCACACGTCACCCGCCAAAATGGCCATCTTCGAACATGCAGTTCATACCGTGTTCGATGCGATTCAGAAAATATGTATCGTCACAATACAGACTTACGTAATATTATACGAGACATTTTTTTGTAAGCTTTTGCCGGAACCGCGGATCTCTTTTTTCGTTTACAAGATCCTTGAAAGCAATCGTGTGCTACAAAACTGAACTCGGTCCTCCGTGGGTTATGTGCGTTCCGAAATCCTCCGAAATAATGATTCTCCTTGCTCCGGCATAGAACCCGTCTCGTGCACACGATATGATCGATTTACAGCTTGTCCGGAAATGCGAAAGCTGATTGGCTGCGATTGACAGCTGCGGATCGACCAATCAGAGCTCACATTCGCTTCTATGTATTTTTTATAATCTATGGGATACGCTCTACAATTGGTCGATTGTCACGGTTGAAAAACAGCAGTACTTCTTTTTTTTTTAATAAAATATTATGAAATCAAGTTTATAACGTTGTAAGTACTTTGTTTAATTTAATTAATTATGACATAAAAAACAAATACTCTTGTCTGTCCTGACTGATCAATCAAATGATTCGAAGCACTTCAATGATTACACAATGAAGATATGTGATTGCCGATATCTAATAATAACATATTATTTTCAATCCTTTAATTATTGATTTTAATTGAAAAAGATCACATACTTCTATATATTATAATATATAGAAGTCTGTAGAAAAAATTCAATTTTTCTTTACATTTGCGTATATTGCTATACATATATATTAAAATATATATTGAATATATCGATCGATATTCTATATATAAAAATATTAACCTATATCAATATTTGTTTATTGACACAAATATTACAATTTTAATAATGTGAATTATTATTAATATATAAAGTACAAATTTTTGTGTAATGTGAATATAAAAAATGCAACCTTTTATTATTAAATCATTTAATTATATATTTGATTACCTAAATTGCATTATTTAAAAAAACTATAAGCTTTTGTTCATATATCAGAATTTTATCTGGCGATTTTCGCCATCAATTAAAAAAATAGCATACTTTTGATTCTTTTTATAATTTTCATATTTTTTAATGTCATTTTTATATATATATAAAGAATTTTATTTTAACCAAAAGAATATAAGGTATTTGACGCCTTTTTTACATTATAATGTTTAAATTTATATATATATATATATACATCACAGAAAAGATAAATTTTATTCCTACTCAAAATAGATTTAAATATAATTTTTATTAGTGTGTAAACAATTATAATAAATTCGTGAAATTTCCAGAGTCAATTATTATTTTCTAAACTAATCAGAATAATTGTAAAAAATGAATAGATGACAGTCACACGTAATTTAAAGAAAAAAAATTGTATATTTTAAAAAATCACGTTTCTTTCTTTTCTTTAACAATAATAACTTTCATGCTATCATGTTAAGGAGTAGGTGACCAATGTGGCCATGTCTTAATTATACTATATAAAGCATCTCCAGGACTTAAAGTTTTCGAAACTTGTCGATGACCTAACAATTTATAATCAGGCGCAATTTTGCCAGCTTTGACACCGAGTTCTATAATTTTTTGCGCAGCATGCAATTGCACTTTTGGCGGTATGACCGCGTTGAATGTGCCGATGAAGGAGATGCCGATGCTTTTGCTGTTGAAACCGAAGGAATGAGCGCCGACGTAATCCCAGCTTCTGCCGACATATGCGAGGCCGTCGCCTCCGACGAGGAAATTATAAGCGATGTCCGACCATTTTCTAGACTCGATGTGAAAAGTCTGAGCAAATCTCACGTGGAATGTACATTGCGATTGCGTGTCGCAGAAGTCCGTGGCTGTATGGCTAATAATCACGTATGGTACCGGTAACTTCATTTTTGTCAGAGGTTCCGAGGGCGGTTGCGCACCCCATTCGTTTCTCTCGACGAAACGTACTGAAGGTACTGTTACACCTGTGAAAGTTATCAAAACAATATTTATATATAGAATATTCAAAATATACCGCACAACAGGTAAATTAGAAACTTATTAATTTAACTTAATTGAATATATAAATTAATATTTTTTAAATATCTTATTAATGCATATTTTAACATTGAAATCCAATACACTTTTAAATGGGAATACGAAATGTTGTAATAGTGATCGACTATATGTATATTTATGCTATAATCGCGAAACAAAAACATTTTCTAAGTATAAAATGAATGAATGTAATAATTGCAAATATATATTCCACACAGCAAGCATATCCAACAGAAGATATCCTGAAGATATCTTAAGGCTGTAAGATATCTTTAGAATATCTTCTGAACGACTTTTGGATATGCATGCTGTGGGATAAAGAATATAAAAGATAATTAGAGCGATTTTTTGCAAGCATATAGTGTGATTATTTATGTTGCGTTGTGCCTGCAAAATGTAAAAATTTTCCATATAATTACCTTCGAGCGATGAGTCTGGAATTTCCGGGAAAACTGGCGTAGGCGGTGTATCCGTATGACGAGTGAAATGTACAATAGCGATCACTATAGCAGTTAGAAATATTAAGGCCAGAGTGCACGATAAAAACGCACATCTCCACGTCCACAGCCATTGCGTCACTAAACAAATAATTACAAAAGCTATATAGATTAAACACAATAACAATAACAGATCTATTAAATATATACTTATAGCGCAAAAAGAAAATTATTCCTACCTTTATTTAATTCAGTATTTTGTGAAAAAATAGGTTTGCCGGCGACCCCGTCATCCTTGTTCGTCGACAAGTCCGAAACGTTGGCGTCGGAGACACGAGTATCCTCGAATTTGCCTACCTCCTGTATCGAAGTGGGATTCGTGTAAACGAACTGCTTGATGGTAACCGGACCCTTGTAGAAGGTCTTATTACCTAGATGCACGTTCGTCGAGTTCTTCACGCATACATCGCCGAAGTTCGACGGATCAGCATTCGGGAGGACAACGTCGCCATTCGCGGTGGCGACCGCTTGATGCTGCTGAACGATGGTCGACGATATCGGCAGATTCGTCATCCAACCACCCTGTTCAACCTCCGTCTCCTCTTCCTCATCATCGTCGTCGTCGTCGTCGTCATCTACGTCACTGCACTGCGTAGAGGAATCTCCAACGCTGCCATTCCTTGGAACTACTACCGCGGTTTCCCTCGCCGACTCTGCAGCCTCGCCGTGGAACTTGTCGACTACGTGATGACTTTCGACTGATACAACAGTACCGTTTGCGCGATCCTGTTCCTTCTGATATTGATGATTATCGTCGGACGTCTGTTGCTGCTGCTGTTGCACCAATGTCACCATGCCCCTGCACTACGCGGAGAGAATAATGCACTTTCTTTATGCTCTTGCATCTTTGTAATTTTTTATTATTTTCTACATTATTATTTTAAAAATAGTTATATCATACATTTGTTAGTAATACTATTATTATATATTATTAGCAATAATTTTTTAAACTTTATTTTTAGAGATTTATGGAAATCTACGTCGATCATCGCAACGAGATAATAAAAAGATGAGTGTCCTTTACTATAAAATTAAAAAAGAATCTATGACGAATTGATCTCTTAGTCAAGTATGTATAATTATGAATATCGGGATAGCACGTGGACTACTCGTTAGTTGTAATATCATTTATTTATCGCTATAAGGAGAGTATATATCGCGAAACAGGGGAAGTTTTTAATTAATCATATTTTTAATTAATTCAAGTTTATATGCTATGATTTCAACATGTAATTTTCTGCTATGTATATCTTTTAATAAATTACATATCGATTATAGGAACAAAGTTCACTGTGGATAGAAGTAGACATCGTGCATGCAACATGCATCAAATGTGATCATCTTCAAACATTTGCGATCGTTATCCACCGAAGCGACGCAACCGGTCAACAACAATCCGCATTATTCGTTAAATTAAGAATGAGATTGACTCATACTGGAGATTACCTCGGGCAAATCATCGTTCCTGCTGATGGTGGTCACTTTGTCAACACCAAGCCCATCATCAATCTATGAGGACATCTAAGACATCATCGTCGTGGAAGATGCAGAAAGGTAAACTTCATTCAACCCTGAGTTTTTGCACCGTTTCGCAGGAACAGAATATTATCCGGACTCACGTGCACTTAGATCGAACTACCATCGGTAGTATTTATATCTTCGTTGATCCTACGACACTGTCAGAGAGATATTAATGTGGACGATGACGCCATGCGACTGCTGAAGGACGACGCGTCTTGGTGATGGAAATGCTCGGTCTCGCAGAAGTCGTAAGAATATGTAAAGCAAAACGAAGAAAAGAAGCACGAAAACTGGTATAGCGCGTCCCTCAACAGCCTCTCATCGCGCAATGTCCTCGCTAATTATGTTAATATATATATAATAACGCCGTGGATTTTCCTGTCGATACGCGAATGATACCACGTCACGCGCAATTTACGTCACTGTTGCAAGTCGCACTGCGTATTATAAGTTACCATAACACAAGAAAGTGAGAAACTTTATTTTATACATGTATGTAGTATTCGCAGTTCGTTTTTACCGAAAGGAATAGATATTGTGGTCCTAAAACGTTTCGATGCTCATTAGCGCTGGCTGATGATTAGCTTGTTGAAATTAAAATATTAGAATAATGACGGCATCATCTCCATTCCGTTGATACGACGCGTCACAGACTGATATGCTGTTGCGCTGTCGAACATCCTCGGAAATTCATTGGCCCCACTCTGCCTCTTTCTCTCGACAAACTGTTAACGATATAAATGCGTGACTCGCATGTCTCTGTATGATAACGCCGCTTATTTACGCGAATCTTGGGTTTTTTCACGAAGCAATTTCGAATGAATCGTCTTCTATTCGGGTCAAAGCTACATTTCTATCACATCTCACAAGTACAAAATTTATCTTTCATATTTTTATTTTTATCGTCTAATTTTTTTAATTATTTTTAATTACGAAGCTATATATTTTTAAAAAATTTAAAGATAGAGAATATATGGTACAAGGAAGAAAAAGAAATCCTTTTATTTCGAAATAAATTTTATATTTAATTATACGATGTCGTAAAACACAAATTGTATTCTCTCTAAAAAGACACATTTTAATAAACAATCTTTCATATCTTTGAAAAAATATAATAGTATGAACTGTAGATAACATATAATTTTTTCTGAGTAAAATTACGAATTAAAATAGATATATTACCAAATCAATGTCGACATATTGGATGTAACACAAATTCTATTTCGGTTTCTATTTTACTAAAAAATATATTGTACAATATATAATTATTAAACTTATATACGCGAATTTAACATAACAAACCAACAATGAAAGTGCATGATTAAATATACACATTATTATTGATTTCGCAATACATTTCGCATATATTTAAATATATATATAATACGAAATATATACAAATACGCACACATACACACACACATACATATAAAATAATAATTTCTATAGCCTCAATCGGTATTTTTTTAAGCCATTCATTGATAGAAATTTTTGTGTTATATTGAGCTTAAATGCATTGTCGCATCAACTTTATAGTTATATAAAGTTAGAATTTGGCTAAAATCGTGATATAATCGGATTTTTTGTATAACAATCAAATTTTTTTTAGGAAAAGCAGAAAATTGATAAAAATATTTTTAAAAGTAAAACTAAACATATCTATTCTTTATACAATTTATGTAAAGAACATGAGTTTTGTGTAAAAATCTGGATCCAAGAGAGAGCAAGAGAAATAGAGGAAGGAGGGATGGAAGGGAAAGAAAGAAAGAGACAGATCTGGAAAGGAGACTTTGTTGAGCAAGAGTTAATACTTGTTTGCAATTTGATTCGTTTAAATAAAGCCAAGTAAAACAATTATTAGTGTGTACATACACTACAACAAATTAATTATTAGAAAGATTAAAAGTTATTAAGAAATTTGATATCACATTATTAAATCATTAAAATTATCAAGTTTTATTGAAGATAACACAGTGAAAGTAATTATTAGAATGTGTAGCAAATGTAATATCGATTATATGTATGTATGCAGCAATAACAATATTCATTTTGTGTTGTCTTCTAAGTATATATTACATGATTATTTTTTAACATCTAAAAATCTTTTTAATTTGTATGATTATTATTTAACACCTAAATCTTTTTAATTTGCCGTAACAGGAGAGAAAAATTTTATATATTAATATCTTAATATTAAATAATTAATACATTCTGTCTGTGTCTCTCTTTCTAGCATTAAAACTGACCCCTGCAATAATAGTTTCATAACTATAATACGTATTTTTTTTTTTTTACTATCTGCAACATTGTAATAATTTATAATTAAACAACTCACAGTTTACATTAATTCTATATCTGGTGTAGTAAGTAGGTTGTAGCCTTGTCTTTTTTAAAATTATTATGCAACTAATTTCCTATTATATTGTGAAATCACTATATACTATAGTTTGCAAAATTCTATTAATTTAATGCATCAGTTTCAATTTAAATGTTATCCCACTTGGTCCAACAATTTTTCCATGTTGACGAGGTGATCAGATCTTTAAATGATCTTCCATGTTAGACACTGTCATCTAGTAAATAGAAAAATACAATATCTTTGTTTTAAAGTTATTTTGTAATTATCTGATATACATATATTATAACGATATTACTTCTCTAACAAATTAAATCATGATGCAGCATCCCAGATACTAATAGTCATTATACATAATAATACATAAAATAATTCTTTTCTTACCATGATACCACCATTTTGTTTTTTTCGGATTCTTGTTGCATGTTCTAACATAAAATGTATTGTCAGGTGGCCTTTTCTGTAAAGAAAAAAAATTATTTATAATTTTATAGATAAATATTATAAGATTTATATATATATATATATATATATATATATATATATATATATTTCTAAAATTTTGTTTTTAATTACCATTATTGATTTCATATATTAATAAATCAATTTTTGTCATATTTGTCTGATTAATATTGTATAATTTAGATATTTTAGCGCATATATATATATATGCGCTAAAATATCTAAATTATATATATATATATATATTTACCTACTAAATATGTAAATATATATATATATATATTTACATATTTAGTAGCTAAATCATACCTTCTCTTTACAACTGCTTAACATGGAAATAATACTCAGGCAGATGCTCTGAACACTGAGAGCAGGAGACCAATCCTCTGTTAATATCGACAAACAAATATGACCATTGCTATAAACATGTGGATGTATAGGGATATTTCCACCAATAAAAGTCACTTCTGGTGAATCGAATGGATATTTAGAACTGAATTTAAATTGAAGCTGAAATTGTTCTCCTTCGTAGAGTGTGCCTTTAGCACCTTCCATATGAACGATCCATTGTGTCAAATTCTGTCCAGCCAACTCTCCATCTACATGTACACCTGGTGGTGGCTCGCGTATTAAAGACATCAATTCCTTCTGGAGTCTTCGCTAGAATATAAATGTATTTAATGTAACATTTTTAAATAATTTATAAAAGTTTTATTTAAATAGAAATATTTCTTTGTTCAAAAAAATATATTACATATTTTTTCAATGCACTTTTTGATCTAACTTTTAAAATAATTATTTTATTTTAGGCGCATTTACACATATTTTAATATATGCTAAAATATCTAAATTATACAGTATTAATCAGACAAATATGACATAAATTGATTTATTAATATATGAAATCAATAATAGTAATTAAAAACAAAATTTTAGAAATTTTTCAAAGTATATACATATTTTAACATAAATATTCATAATGAATATAAAATGCTTGGCTAATAATCATATATCTCTCGCTTTTGATGGAAATATAATTACTAACTCGAATTATTTGCAACTAATAATACAATTGTTGATAAAAAACGAATATTTTGTCACCAAGATCATACATTTTTCGCAATGTCCATTACAGAGCTATATGCTCAGCTGTTCACACCGAAAAAGATTACGAAGATATTTTTATTGATATTTTTTATTACAGATATCGAGAATGTATTCGCGACATGCTGCCTCGATCGTTTCGGGACGAGGATCGTTACAAAAAAAATTAAAACGGACGTACCTTCGACGGGGATGTTGCTGCCATTGTCGTTAAACAGCTCTCCATCGAAAAACATAACCGTGGCTTATCGCGGAATAGCGGAATTGGCTCGCTTATTCCTGTGTACCTTTCTCTCTCGGAAGAAAAAAATGCGTCCGGTCCGAAAGATTGGGCGTCTCACATTTTTTTCACGAAATCTTCCCGTCTTGTGTATTCCCGCGGTCAAGGTGAAAGAGCGGCTGGAAGTTGTAAGGACGGCAAAGGACGATGACAGCTTTCGGCTATGGCTGTGACAGCGTTGACAGCTGCAGTACGACGAACCACGGCGAACAGTCGCGAGGTGCGAGAAGCGCACGATCGTCATGCACCCACACACATACATAAATATTGTACATATATATATATATATATATATAAATATATATGTATATGTATGTATACGTGTACAGACAACGGTATATTTCTATAGCGATAAGAATACGATACTAGCAGAACCGGGCAAATGAGATAAGCGATTATCACAATCGGTTTTGATGTACGTACAGACGTGATCTCCGCCGTCCGGAAATGTTTGTGTGAAATTTAATATAGCAGATATAGCTGAAACGAGGACTGGGAATGTAAATAAAATATTACGCAATAGAGCGGAAAATTAGCCGATCTCTTCGAACATATTATTATTATCATCAAGGCGCGGCATATGGTATGCCTGGTATGTCAAATGTCAAACGTCAAACTTTGTTTCAATATAATTGACAGATAAATTTTTTTCTGGGAATGAGGGAAGAATCTGCATTTTTTTACAGAAAAAAAAAGAAAATATTTATACGCATCAACGACTTAAAAAAAAAAAATACTATGCCCCTTCACTGATGTTGGTAATCTTGAGTTAAGGTGAGTTTTTAATCCTAGTAACATTAGTCGCACACGTAACGAAGCAGCGAGTGCGACGCACAATTATCCTCTCGCTCGTTTATGGTTATAGTCGAAAAATATTTTTACGGATGACGTTTGTACGGCAAAATTGGCGGAGAAACGTTACGCTACGGTTATTATTACGCGACTGACGTGCACGTCGCATTCGGCGGACGGATATTGTGCAATGGAGAGTATATTCCACGAGAAGGTAAACACACGCCCCGAGATACGCGGTATATAATTAAGTCCCCCTCGATGTTCTCCGCGGAAGATAGAGCGATCGCGCTTATACGCTTCTGGCAATGTTTCGCAGCAAGAGGGATATCTGTGCGCCCAGCATTGCCTGAACGCGCTGCTGCAAGGTCCCTACTTTAACGCCGTGGATCTGGCGAGTTTCGGTCATCAGATGGACGAGGAGGAGAGAATTCGGATGGCCGAGTCGGGCGTCGACAGTGAAGATTACAAACTGTTTCTGGAGGTATGTGTATGAAATGCAACGTCATGAGCGAAGTTTTTTCTTCACCTGTCACATATTTGTACCTGAATGGTCTGTACAAACTTTGGGAATAAGTTCCAGGGACCAAAACAAGCGGAAAATGTCATGAACAAGGAGTCAAAAACGCTTACTTATATAGAGTTATGACAGTTCAGACACAGGCTTTCTTAGAATTAAATGAAGGCCATTTTGAACATTTAGGTATAGCAAGTGACAAAACAGTAGTCCTGTTATATCCGTAGGAAAAAATATAAATACTGTTTGCAACTTCTATACAATTTAATGTGATAATTTTTTCTACTACAAGAAAACTTCAAACCGTTATGACTCTAGAAAGAAGCATTTTTGATTCCATGTTTATAAGATATTTTCTGCTTGTTTTGGTCCCTAGAACATGTCCTGAAAATTTTTACAGACCATTATATATAAATATTGCAGTACTTATACAGTACATATATAAAGGCACCATTATATCCAACGTATACTTTAAGTTATCGAGAAGATGTCATTCTTATTTCCTTCAAAAATTTTCACAATGTTATAGATATAAAAATGCTTGGTGTTACTATTATTTTACACCAAGAGCCAAGCAAATGCATTTGTAATAATAGCTTCTTGTGTTTAGCAACCATCAGGAAACATGGACGACAGTGGATACTTTTCAGTTCAAGTTATTAGCAGTGCTTTGAAAGTTTGGGGTTTAGAACTAATTCCATATAACAGCACGGAACCGACCGCTTTACTGGCACAGAATGATCCTTCGTAGGTTTTTGATAATTTGTTCCAGTCTATTTGTGTTTTGTTTTGAGATATTTTGTTCTATTGCACTTGCAAAAACACTTTCAAATATAATATTTCATAGAATATTTATTATAATGATGTAACAAATAGATATATAAATAAATCATTATGAATAATCTGAAATTATATATCAATGAATTATTATAATAATATATGATATGAATCATTGTGAATAATAATTCTTATGAGTATGGACATATTTGAATATATTGTTTAAAAATATGAAACAATTCTATAAGTTTAAATTTTATAAGCTTTTATGAAATAATACATGAAGCAATGTACTTTTCAGACGAATGAGGGCATATATTTGTAATTATAAAGGACATTGGTTTACGATAAGGAAGCTTGGAAACCAGTGGTTCAATTTAAATTCAATGCTCAGTGGGCCACAGCTAATATCGGACACTTATCTCGCAATGTATCTAGCTCAATTGTTACAAGAAGGTAAATATAAAATAATAGTAATATCATGCATAAAAATATCAATCTCATTACTCCTTTGCTTATAGGTTATTCTATCTTTATTGTTATTGGTACACTTCCACAATGCCCTGCTGAAGATGTTCTTCTCAAAAATCCTATAGTTGTCACAAAAAATAACTCGGAATCAAAGACTCCACCCAAAGGTTATCGTTTAGGTACTAAGGCAGAAGATGACATCTTGAAAGCTGCACTTGCGATGGGAGAAGTGAAGGTTCCACAGACATCCTGTGCATCTAGAAGTGCATCCTCACTTTTACATAAATCTGAATTATCCACAGACAAACTTCGCGAAAGGATAATTCCCATAAAAGTCGAAGGTAGAGAAGAGGAAAGTGAAGAGGAAGAAGAGGAAGAAGAGGAAGATGAAAATGTGCAATTAGCAAGGGCTCTACAGATGAGCTTGCAAAACGACGAGGACGATGTAGATAAGAGCTTGAAGTTAAGATTAGATCTTCACACTGACGATAAAACAACGCATTTAACAAACTCTACGGCAAGTGATGCGGACGAGGATGACGAGCTTAGACGAGCACTGCAATTGAGTCTCGAATGTGTGACTGCCCCACCCACGCCGGATCCTGAAGACGTCCGCTGGCGTCGATTGAATCACTTTGGTATTTATTCGAGAACGCCAAACAGCGAGCCTCCGGCAAAATTAAATACTTAACAATAAGCATAAATTTCCTGCACAAAATGTCTTATTATTACTAAACGGATACATTGTAAATTATATGATTGAGTAGCTGAATTCAAAAGGTATGTGTGTATATATACATATATATAGATATATAAATGTGTGTATATATACATATATACACACACATGACCATATATATATTATATACACAATCATATATGTATATATACGTATATAAATATAAATATATATATATACACATACATACACACATAATATATATGTATATATATTATATGTCACTTTGTATACTAATGTTATAATGATAAAAGAGAGAGAAAGAAAGTGTGTGTGTGTGTGTGTGTGTGAGAGAGAAAATAAGCGTATTACTTTGAATATAAAATTGACTAAAGGTATATTTTCGGTTCCTGAGCGCAAATTTTGTTGATTGTCTTTTTCCCCTCTCAACTTTGTTATACTAATCCTTCTCGAAATAAAAAAATATTTGAGCAAGGATTTTTGTTATTACACTAATTAATATCAAACTAATGATAATCAATGCATAGTATATTTAGCAATAGAGATCCATTGCAAGTAGTCATTACAATTGCACGTGTTATATATTTAGAGCGCGTCTAAAAATTTATTAATTAAAAATTAAATTGGAAATTGGAGAATGCATATTTTTTTATTAGACGTAGAAGCATTTCCCAAATAAATTGGAACATAACATACAGCTTAGAAGCCCCCCCCCCTCTATAAAACCCTGTGCACAATAGAAGAATAAATATTAGGAATAATAAACTATTTTCAAAAAAATAAAATAAAGTGATATACAAATATTAATTTGAGTATAAATAAGAGATCTTACTAGTTTTTATTAGCACTTATTAGACCTTTATATCCGAATTTGTATTTTTATATTAGTCTTCCCACACATTTATTATTTTAAAATAATTCTTATTCTTAAATATTTAATATATTTGTAGATATATTAAATGTGTATTTAATATTTATAGATATATTAAATATATATTTTATAATGTGTATATTAAAATATATATTAAATATTATATTTCTCTATTTGCACGCAGGGCCTAAAGGTGCGTTTCCATCATGATATGATGCGTATTACGAATTTGGACCGAGCGCGCTCAATCTATATATATATGTCGGTCGCTTCTCTGTCGGATGTGTGTGAACGCTGAATGTTGACATTCAACATGGCGGCATGTCGTCAGTGCTGTGCTGTGTCGTGGTGAGTCTCGTAAAGCGATTTAATTGCCGTACGATTGCGAGCTTTCTGTAGCAGTGCATGCCGTTTGAATCCTCGGCCGATCCTCGCCGATTCCGTCTACGCGAATTGATTCCGCGACGCGACAAGCCGCGTGCGGGAGACCGCGCCGAGATCTAGCCGCAGGCGAGAGAGAAAGAGAGAGAGAAAGAAAGAGAGAAAGAAAGAGAGAGAAAGAAAGAGAGAGACCGCGACGAGATAAGACGACCTCATAAAAAAATTAGAACTTGGCTAAAATCGCGACGTGATAATGCCCCGGCTGCTCCGAGATGAAAGGGATTTTTTCTCCCAGGGAGAGACGTGGACGGGGACACTCGGATGCGCGCACAAATCGTCTATGAGGATCGTATTTGTCACTTTTATATACCACGCGATCGCGTACCAGTTCTTTCGAATTTCATAAACATTTCGCATATAATCGTGCATGGTAATATTAGATACGAGGAGTCGTGTAAATGTCTGATGTAAAGGATTCGTGATCGTGATTCACGTATGATTCCGTGACACGTATCGCAAATATCTATCTGTCTTTTAAACGCAATTTTCAACAATCATGTGGGGAACACCTAATGATAAAACAGCACGTTTCGCACCGAGTACACCGAGTCAATGTCAAATTACTGGATGATTAGGAAGAAACGTGTTTGTTCCGTTGTAGAGAGTTATGAGGATACATAAATGTTTTATTTATATATATTTTTTTTCGTTATTTCTCTTACTCAGGTAATTTGGATAAATATTTTATTTTTCTGCTTTTGGCCTCTGCAGAGAAAGTAATGTATATATGTATAATGTGTTCATACAATTCAATAATCTGCATTTAAAATTCGTTCGTTAAATTTTCGTGGAATATTTTCAGTAATTTTAAATTAATTGTTGTCAATAAAACTCATATTTTATTGCTATATTACAACATAGAGAATCTATATTATCTTTTTTTTTAATTAACATTTTTTATAGCATGTGTGTTGTGCTATATACAGTGATTTATTTTTCTATTTTTGTTTTAATTTGAATGATACTATTTATAAAATTGATTTCTTTATTTTATGTATTATTTAATTAGAATTTTGAAATTTTTATAAAATATTTACTTTGTATAAATATTTAATTATATCTTAAAATATTGTAGAATAATACTGTAAATATTTTGTATATTTTAATGCTTAGATACAAAGAGCTCGCAATCTTTAAATGAAAAATACCATATTTTTTAATATGTGTTTTTAACTTTCATAATGTTTCTTTCATACTATTTCTTCTCTTTTTCTTTGCAGCTTGTGTCATTGTTAGTTTAGGACACTTCTGAAACTAAGGCTCACTGTAAATTTCACATTTAAAAGCTGAAGAAGGAAACGCTATTATAGAAATATTGGAAGAGAACACAACCAGACTCAGCACGCATTGAAGACATCTGAGGATTTTCAAGTCAACATTTATCCTTTAAATCTCCTATGTTTTTGATTTACTTCTTTTATAAAGAATGACTGATGTTTAAAAAGAAAACACAGTTGTTCTAGTGCACGCTAAATTGAGTATTTATCAAACAGTTGTTATAATATTCAAACATATACGTATGGAAAGTATTGACAGTATATGGTGTGCTAAGATTTTGTACTTGTATTAAGTCATAAATCAACAATTAACTGCATCGTTCATTTGTATATTGTATACACAACAAGCTTTGTAAGCAAGAAATAGGTGAGCTAATATAATAGTGACCGTGATTGCGATTGCGGCTGAGATTGTGCTACTCTGCTTGGTTGATAGAACATCTTTATCTGCGTTTATAAGGAGTGCCAAGTTTGTGTCGAGCTACTGCGGTACTCTCTATTAAATAATTGATGATATATGTGTTAAAATACTTTGAAGAGACCTCACTTTCACTTCCTGGTCACAAAGGAGTCTGTATTTCTGCAGCATTTCAAAGAGCCATTCTTCCTCTTCATTAAGTTCTTATAACATTATAATAGTGAACAAAGATATAAGGTACCAAGAACCGTTCTGTGATATCTATGTTAACACTTAAATAATTGAAAAAAGACTAAAAATTTCTAAATATAAGTATATATATAAATATATATATATATATATACATATATATTGTGGTGAAACAGAAGTGTGAACATAAAAGGAATTAAGTAATTGTTTCAAGAGAAGAAGAGCAAAATTATACGTAAATATTATATATAATACACACTGCGCAAATTGAGAAGACAATGTCCAACAATCCTCAGTGGAAAACGTTCCAGCCGCCAATCATGAACTCTGACCCAGCAATACTTGATTACAAGTCTATGGCTATACCAAGTCCTAAAGCCATAACAGGATCTCATCAACCGACAACTAACAACTATCGTAATGGTACCAATTACAGTGGTGATCATTATATGGGTTCACCTCCTGAATGCGGTAAAAATTCCAACTATGGAAATTATCCTGGTGCACAATCGTCGCCCCGCAATGGCGCTACGAGATTTTCATTTGAATTCACGAGCATAGAAACAAATGCTGGTTACACTAGTGAACCTGCTACCAATAATTCTACCTATCAAGATCAATCTGCGAATCAAGGAACACGGGAAACTGGCATAATTGAGAAATTATTAGTGAGTTTTGTGAATGATATTAAACTCGATTATTTTTATAGGATATATGACTCATTTTTACATGAATGAAACTTTTATTCAACAGCATTCTTATGGATTCATACAATGCTGCGAAAGACAGGCGAGACTGTTTTTTCATTTTAGCCAATTTAGTGGTAATATTGAACATTTGAAGATTGGAGATCCTGTGGAGTTTGAAATGACTTATGATCGGCGAACAGGCAAGCCTATCGCAAGCACCGTTAGTAAAATTGCTCCAGTGGTTAGTACAATAATAATATTGATGATGATAATAATATAATAAAAGCATGAGACAGATTGATGAAAAATAATAGTGTAACAAACTTAAAATATAATAATTTGTTTAAGGCATTGGGTGATCAACGATGCATTGGTAATGTAACAACGGAGTTACAAGCGAGTGGTGATTCACAAGGACGTATCAGTTACGAAAATCGTGGAGAATGTTTTTTTCTGCCATATACCAAAGATGATGTCGAAGGAAACGTTACTTTGCGTGCTGGTGACAAAGTTTCATTTCAAATTGCTACTAATCAACGGTATGATATATATATATATATATTTTAATTTTTTTTAGATAATAAAATATACGAAATATTGTAATGATTAATTTTTTATATGTATAAACGCATATTACAGAGGAAATCTGGGTGCGTGTAATGTGAGATTGGAGAATCCAGCGCATCCAGTTCGATATCGCGGTGTGGTGTGTTCTATGAAAGAAAATTTTGGTTTTATCGAGCGTGCTGATGTAGTCAAAGAAATATTCTTCCACTTTAGTGAAGCTAAGTCTATGAAAGAAGAACTTAGACTAGGAGATGATGTGGAATTCATAATACAAACACGCAATGTAAGTGAAAAATTGTTAAAACAGATTTTTTAATCAAAATCTACAGACGCATAAATATTATAATGACGTAAAATGACGATTTGAATAATAAATCTAATATTTTGCCATTGCAGGGAAAGGAGGTGGCTTGCAACATCACAAAATTACCACCTGGTTCAATTATATTTGAGGAAGTCAGTAATGAAGTTGTGAAAGGACAAGTGTTGAAGCCTTTGGAGAGAGGTACTGCTGCTCGTCATCAAAATGATCCCTTACCTGGACGAATTCGATACAGAGACAGTAATCATTCTGAAGTGGAAGTACCATTTGGTGACAAAGATCAAAAAGGCGACTTCACCCTTAGGTAATAAATATAAATTATTTAAAAAATATGAATTTTTTTCTTTCATTCTTGCATATGTAAACACACATTCATATATTGCAATTCAATTTTTTCAGGCATGGAGACTGGGTTCAATTTCGTATTGCGACGGACACTAGAGATCAACTTAAAAGAGCTACAGAGATAATGTTATTACCAGAATCTTTCACTGTATCAGGTGAAAAACGAGAGCAAGGTGTTATACAATCTCTCAAAGATGGATTTGGCTTTATTCGTTGCGTAGAAAGAGAACTCAGGCTTTTCTTTCACTTTAATGAAGTTCTTGATGTTGATAGAGAAATTAGTGTAGGAGATGAGGTCGAATTTACAGTCATACAAGTGAGTATATAATTTAATTAATAATAATTTATAATATAATATTTAACAATTAACATAATTTCTTGTTACAAATTAGTTATCAATTTTTATCTTATAATTTTTTTTCATAAGGATCCTTCGTCATCATTTTCTAATAATCGACAAAGTGCTATTAGATTGAAACATTTGACGATGGGTACTGTATCGTTTCAAACTATTATAGAAAAGGATATATTAGGTACTGTAATACAAGATACAAATTCAATGGAACCTGGCCTTATTGGTTATGGCCAACAGAAAAGCATTATTTTCTTCTCGAAAGATTGTGACCCTAAGCATATTCCAAAATTGGGCGATAAGGTAAATTTATATATAAAATTATACTAATTATATTAAATTTTACTAATTATATGAAACTTTGATTTTTTTAAATCCATTTTCTATTTTACGACTTTTCTATACATTCTATAATTTTTACTCAATCTGTGTAGGTGATGTTCAATATTGTTCAAGTAAAACGAAATAAAGAGCTTGTAGCCGAAGACATATTTTTAGTAAATGCTGCTGGTGAAAAAATTCAAAATGTTAACAAAAAATCAAATGGACAAGTTTGTCAAGGTTTTATAGCTGCTCTTAAAGATGGATTTGGCTTTATCGAAACAGTAAATCATGATAGAGAAATATTTTTTCACTTCAGGTAAAGGTTGCGCCTGTGTGTACTTTAATTTTTATATTTTATTATGCTATATTTTATAATTATAAATTATAACAATTTCATGACGTATGTATAAAATGACATTTAATTTAATTTTTATTTGCAGTAATTTTGAAGGAGATGCTAATACATTGGAATTGGGAGCCGATATCGAATTTACAATTGGTAGTTCTAGTAATGGAAGAGGATCCGGTGGTTGTGTAGCTGCCGATCATGTTAAACTGGTACCACGCGGAAGTATTCCGAGGCCTACGGCAATTAGCGAGGTCCTAGATGGTACTGTGATACGACCATTACGAAGTGCAAATCCCGAGCAGATTGAGTACGCTGGTTTGATCAAAATTAATCCATCTAACGAGGACGAGGAAACGCCGGAATACGAATTCGGACTTATGGGACTTTCTAACAAGCGGGAGCTATTACAAGCTGGTGATCCTGTGCAACTACAAGTTGATTCAGACGGTCATGCTTGCAATATCGTAGCCGTCAGAAAAAAAAGAAGAGCAACCGTGGATGCGGTGAAAGGTCCCTTCGGTTTTCTCGCTTATGAAGTCGATGAGGGTAAGAAGTTATTCTTCCATATAAGCGAGGTTCGGGACCACGCTACGTTGCAACCGGGTGATCAGGTGGAATTCGTTTTGGTTACTAATCAACGCACTGGCAAATCATCGGCGTGCAACGTGACTCGTTTAAGGTAAAATGAAGAAAACATTTTTTTTAAGTCTCCTGGCTCCTCGCCGACTATGTTGGAATTGTGACGTTAGGAGCCAAGAGCCTTAAATATGCGTAATGTTTTTTTTTGTTTTTCATGCAAACATTATAGTTTTGCGAATTATTAATAGTGATGCTGTTCAACAACGACCCGAGCGTTTGATAAGCCGATTGCGTACTATATCGTTGGAAGACTCAGGTCCAAAATTAACTGTGGTCAGACAACCAAGAGGTCCCGATGGCACGCGCGGATTTAGCCAGGAAAGATGCCAACACACTCCTGGTGCCATAGAAGAGTAATGCGCTGTGAGACATTTATTGATTATTCAAATTGTAATCTACAATTTGTTTTTTAGTTCATACACTTCGATACCAAGATTACTATTTTAAGCATGGTCATAAAAGTTTGCCAAATTCAGACTAATGCAACAACAATAATTATGAGATAGTGATCTGGAATTGGATGGTGGTGAATGAGGGCCAGAATAATATAAAAGTAAAAAAAAAGAAAGAAAAGAACAACGACTTATTTTATCACCTCATAATGGAAGAAAACGAAAGGCAGTTTGTCTTATTCTTAAGATAACATTAGAATTTCAATACGTAATTGGTTTATCTCTTTAATTTCCCGCGTCTTCATGAATTTATTACTAAGCTATATTCGATGTTAATTTTCTAAACATAATCAATAGTTTATAGGATTCATCGAAATTTTTTATTAGTATGTTTATTTTCATAGACGTTCGGCCAACATATATCAATTCGTTTTGTTATTTTGAAAAATAATGGAGTATAGTATCCCAGAGTATATACTTAGATGTTGAGCTGCTGACTACCTATTTGTATACTCTAAGACGATATCTTATCTCTGCCTTTATATAAAAATATATTCTTACACATTAATACAATCTTTATTTGCATGATTTTCTTCGAACTTGTTTTACTTATTATGTACTTTATACGCATGGTATATATGTGCAATAAGTAAAAAAAGAAAATATTTGAAAAAATTATATGCAAATGCAAAGAATATATACGAGATTTAATTGTAAAATTGAGGGAAAATAATCTGTACTATATAATTCATTGGGATTAATTGTATCATTTTATCACGTCAGAAGCTATATGGTTTGTTATAACGAATTATAATACTGAGTGTCACTCTGTTGAAACATCTATACGAATATCAACAAGCAAAAGAGAGTTTATTAAGACCTAAACGCAGACAAGTATAATAAGCTTTCTGTACCAGGAAATAAAAACAAAATTTAGGTTCTGCTTGCTTAAAAATCGTAAATGAGCAAATCTTGAAGATGATTTGAAACTAAAATAGTAAAAATAATATTTAACAAAAAAAGAATAATTTGCTCACCACGTTTTTTCTACCGCGCTTAACTCTTAATTAGCTTCTTATTTGCTTGTGGATATTACAATGTCGAAGCCTTCTACTTCAATTTTATCTATAAATTTGGAAAAAAGGAAGTTATGACTGGCTAATTATCTTAGATAATATATATAAATAAATATAATTATATATATATATATATATATATATATATATATATAATTTTATATGTATATTATATATTATGCATATTATATATAAATATATACATATATATAATATAAATATATTTATATACATATGTATATATATATTTATATATATTTAACATACATATTGTTATAAGTTCCTCTAATGCAGTCTCGTGTTGTAAAATCAAATTAGTATTACGAATTCTGTGGTCATACAACAATGGAAGTTACAAAAAAATACCTATGTAAAGAATAAGAAGTCACATTTTATAAGTTTTGCCACCTCTGAAACGGAAAGCGAGATACATGTGGCATTATTGTAGAGAGATATGTGAAAGAAATAATGTAAAATATAAGGTAAAGTACGTAACACAAGCACGATACAAACTAAGCGCTTGTTCCGAAACCCGTGGATCCAACACATCGTGTGCATACATATTGTAAAATTATTGATGAATAAACAGTGGAAGTATCAAAGATATATATCTATATACTTTGTATAAAATCTAAAATTCTCTTTTAAAATCGCAGTTATTTTGCGGCATAATATTTTAAAAATATTCTGCTCACTTTAATGTTTTATTCTGCTACCGTATTATACTTTTAATATTAAAAAAATTGCACGATTACAAAAAGTTTGAAGTAAAACATAAATTTCCTAAATATATGTGGTATCATACGGTAAATAAAACGACATATTGTATGTTAATATTTATTATGTATGTACAAAGATGTGTAAATATGTCTTATGAGATACATTTCTTTTTTTGTACGTATGTATCATATTAAGACGAATTTGGATCATGATGAAAGAATAAGAAGAAGAACGATTTAAATTATAACACATTCGTAAGGGAATTGCCCTTGGAAAAGTAAATTGTCCGCTTGTGGACAACCTGTAACATATAATTGTTCATATTAATTTTCTTTTTTTTTTCTTATATGTCATAATATCATGTTGAAAAAAAACTCAAAAAATGCGAAGGTTTCTCAATATTAAATAACATCTAATTTTTTTCTTTCACCGAAATATCCTTTGTTTACTAATCCTATTCACTTTCAATATGCGAAGAGGCACAATATTCACTATATAAAATTGAAATTGCGAAAATTAAATTGCTGTTATTGGAATTACTAACGTGTCTCGCAATAAGTGCCGTAGAATCCAGTTCCTTCGCAGCGGCATTTAAATCCGGGCTCCGATGATATTTGGGAACATGAGCCTTCGTTCAGACAAGGCTTCGATCGAGAACATATGTCGCTACGTCCTCCTGCAGAGATAAGTTAAGTAATTCTTACACGAGTGTTAAACAATCAACTAAAATGTGTGAGTACCTAATATATATAATATACTTCCTTTTCTTTATTCTTCGTAATATGATAAAATGTTCAAAGAATATGGAAAGTACATCCTCAACACATAATTGATTATATATGTATATTATAGATTTAACAGATTACCTTTCAGCGCTAGCTTGCAATCATCATTGTTATTATATCTGTATTCAGATTTGCAGCCGTAGCCGCAACTGCATTGTGCATTGTAGATGCGACATCCGTATCGCATCTGATCCAACTCGCATCCCTCGGACAATATAACTGCTGGCAAAAAGCTTGGTATTAATCACACCGCATTGAATAAGCTTATTTCAACTATTTAAATGAAGAGACACATATATAAGTTAGTATTTATACAAGATATTCTTTAAATCAATTTGTGATATCATATTTTTCATTAGATTTTTCAATGAAATCGGTATATTTCTTTAATAAAAATGCTAAATATAATTTTAAAATTAATAAATAATTAAAAATAAGAAGCTTGTAGTGGAAAAAATAAAAATACAATATTTCTTATATAAGCTAATTTTAATTTTAAATTTATGGTTACACAAAAAGATAGACAATGCACTATACGTTGAAATATAGATGCAATAAATAAAAATTCTTTTGATATTTCCTCTAAGAAAATTACTCAATGAAGCTGTGATAAAGTGGACAGTTTGGTTCTGATATATAGAAGAATAATGAGACTTGTGATATCTATGTATTTATTAATAACTGTTTTAACGTACATATATTGCCAGAATTAATAGACACGACAATCTATGTGCGTCTGCATTCTATATTTATTAATTATCTGCATTATTTTTAGGTGAATGTATTACAGACGCAATAGAAGTATCTGTAGTTTATTTATCCCAGAAGAGGAGATAGTGATACGTTAGCAGAGGCAAATGTTTGCACCGGATGTGGCTGACTGTACTTCCCACTTGTCTAAATTGATAAGTGTTTCACGAGAGGATACCTCGCGTGCGTGGGTTAATCGATTTTTAGATTATCACTTTTCTTATCACGCGTGCGATAGCGATTTCTTTATTCTGTCCAATGTATGGATATATTGCAGCGACATATATATATATATATATATATATATATATATATACTGTAATTTTTATTAATTTAAGTAAACACTTCGCGCGTGCATTTCTTCAGTCGCGTTTATTCAAGAGTTAAATTGTTAATTACGAACGATACGGTTTATTGTGACGGTATAATCAGAAAAAAAGAAAAAAAGGCGTATGCGGGATGTTAAGCATTGAGTGCCATTCACTATCATTATGACGGGTTTATCGTCTGATTACTCGAAAGTAAACTGAGAATGCGTCTCATACATTGTTGCTGTTTATTCTATAAGATTAATTTCATTAAGGGTATTGTAATACTTTTAAAAATTATTACATACCGCATTAAATTAAAAAAATAGTTGTGTGCATATTTAAAACTACTATCTCGGAAAAGCTGACGAAGATAAAGAAAATTTTTGTATTAATTATCGAGAGAAGACAATAAGAAAGGAAATTTGTAACTTATTGAAGTGATAGCTAAAAAAAGAATTTTAAGAGGAAATGTTGCCTCGATATATATTTCGAATCTAATCAGACAAGTATATCAGTTGTGCTTTTTGAGCAAACGATATTGAAAATATTGTCATATTTTGAATGCGCCACTTTATATATAATTTTGAAACAATATCATTAATTATATATAATTAGTATATAATAAATTATATATAATTAATTATATTTATAATCGCCGGCAATTAATTATACATTTAATCAATCACTTATTAAAATCTCTGTGAAATTTATAAATTAAAAAAAAATTTATTAATCACACTTAACAATAGCCTGCATATGTAACAACTATAATAATAATAATGTATTGTTTGAATATTATAACAAGTCTTACCTATTGTTAAGAGGAACAGAGCAGTCGACAGCGTCAATCTCGGTAGCATGATGTTCTCAGCTGAGGGGAGACGAGAGAAACGTCAAGGAGTATCGTGGACGGTAATAATCTAGAAGAGCTCGGAGCTCGAAGGGGAAGATCGTCGACCGCTCGGCGCCTGCTGGTAGGCTTTCGTCGCGAGACCGATGTCAAAGGTCGGGCGGCTCTCACACAAAGGGGATACGAGATCAGTGCGGTTCTCCTCGTCGGCGCCACGAGGGGCTATGATGAGGCTGCGCTGCAACGGTGGGAAGCGCTCCAGGACGATGCAGCGGCCGAGTCGACCAAACCCGTCGACTCGTGGCAACTAACTGTCGACTGGTGGATCACTAAGCTAAGATGCGATCGCATGCAGATGAAACGCGCCGAGAAATTATGCGTGGGATGCACGCGAGTCACAATGTCTAACAGAGATTTGTATATGCAAAATATTTATATATATTATATTTATTTTATTTAGTTTTCATTCGCGAATCTATTGTAAATTTTAGAGATTTTCTATTACTGACATTCATCATTTCTCATTGTCAGTCACATATTTGTTTATACAATACAATATTTGCTCTTGCACAGAAAATAGTATTAAATAATATAAAATAAATAATAAATTATTTTAAGCTATATTACAAATAATTTAAGATAACAAAAGAAAATTATTTAGTTATTACATTTTCATTGAACATTTGTTTATTATTAGTTTACTTTATTAAGCAAAACGTAGTGTAATGCTTTGGTTCAATTTGTAGATATTAAAATTAAAAAGAAATATGTTCTCTAATTTAATCAAATTATTTCCATTTTAAAATCGTGTACGTGAAATTCTTTTCTGTGAATATGATTAACTCTATCGAGCAAAATTTAAATTAACGGATTTGACGACATATATTGTAGTAACATGCTATCGCCTTTCAGAATTCGATAACATTTGACACTGGTGACTCTAAGTCCGGAAATTGATGAAATGTATGTCATGGAGAATCATAAAATTTACTGTGTTCTTGACAAAGCAGTAAAATTTAATAAAAATTTCCACGAGATCAAGATCGATATGTCAAGAGTGCATCACGTGTTATCATTGCAGAGATAAAAATATACGCGACTTATGATTATAATATCAAGGAAATAGACACCCACACGCGCGTGTCATGTTAATTAATATATATATGATATTTTAAAATAATAATTTATTATAAAACAGATTTTTTTTGATAGATTACAGAGAATTTAAAATATGTTGTTCACTTATATTGTGTGACTATATTTAGATAATATAATCATATACCATTAAAGTAAATATCTTACAACTTTAATATAAAATATCAAATAAGGAAGCAATGAAGTTATTTTAATATAGAATATCAAATATATTTATATTTTTAAATTATATCCCATGGTATTATAAAATCTATTGTATCTAAAACATGACATTTTGTCTATTTTTAAAACATTCCACTGTAAGGTGTCTGATATATTAATTAGCAATGTTGACAATTGAATTGATTCTATAAATATGATACTTAGAAAATAAAAGTATCTAGAACATCAGTGGACTGCATTAGTTTGGAAATTCGTTTTACTTTTATTCTATTTAAAGCTTATCATTTGTGTGACACGGTTCCAAAGCTTGACATATTTATATTCTGAAAAGGATATTTTCAATAAAATTAAATATAATTTTATTCTACCTCTCAATGATAATTAATTTAAATACTATTAGTACCTTACATGAACGTTTGATCGTGTTGTTCATGAATCATTGTTGCTCTTCGAGATTGAATCAATCCAGACTGTCTACTGTACAATTCCCTAACAAGACTGTCTTTTTCTTGCTCAAGTAATGCTATTCGTTGGCTTTTTTTGCTAACTTCCTGTTTTGATTTTACATAAAAAAATAATCTGAATTAAATTGCATGAATTTTTTAGTGTGATTTTAAAATCAATATAATGCATTACCTCATTTAATCTATGATTTTGTTGTTTAAGCCGTGATAACATATCCTGTTGAAGCTGGGCTGAAGTCGGAGTACTCAAGAAAGCGAGATTCATATGAAGAGGAAGTCCTCCACGTTCCCAAGTACTTATCAAGGCAGCTAGATGCCGATTTACTTCTAAAACTCGTGCACGTTGTAGTTCTAAACGCTCTTGCTGTGCCTCTGTCCATTGCTCCTATAACAAATAAAATATTATAGTTGTATGTACATACATAGCACAGTTTTATATAAGAGAAAGAATTAGATTTCTTTACCACATGAGAGCCCATTCGTCCAAGATGTTTAATCTTCTCTTGCGTAGCAGAAATTTGTTTCAAGTACCATTCTCTGGCTTTATCAACAGCAGTTAGACCTTGAAGTAGTACATCTTTTTCTTGTTCAATCTGTTTCATTCTTTTCATCTAAAAGTATAATATATAAATGTATCCTTTTAAAATATGAAAAATACAAAGGATTCCTAACTATTATATAAAAAAATTATATTAAATTCAAAATAATAAAAGTAATTACAAATTTTACATTTTTAAGAGATTGCGTATCGAGGTTAATAATTAATCAAGCATACCCAGAACCAATCACCAAGTGTTAGTTGGGAGTCCTAGAGGAGAACATCTTTACCATATTGTAATCAATACCATTCTGCAACGTATGCCGTCTAGGTTCTCTGCGACGACCCGACGGTTTCTTGGCTTGAAGACCAAGTTGAGTAGTCTGTATATCGACTGCTTTACCATCACCCAGGACTCTGGCCGGTCTCAACAACGTCCTAGCATCCGGTCTATAATTTACAGCCTGCAACTGACGTTTCTCCTTCTCATCGTTCATCATGAGACCCATTTGCCAATTCTGCAGAGCAGTTCTAATCTCAGACTTGTCAAAGTTACGCTCAGAACCCATCATTCTACCTTCTAACGCAGCGCCTGTCCTTGGTGGCTTTGGTGGGCCGTACACTTTAGTGATCTTTGGCTCCCCAAGGTTTCTCCCATCCATTAATTCCAATTGCGCATTCATATCTTTGCGATTGGCCAGTAACTGCGGCATACTCAGAGTGCGTTGCTGAGATATGGCATTGTTGGGCCTTATAGTGGCGGTGTTGGGAGAGGTCCAAGGTGCCTTGTTTTGATTGTCAGGGATAAGTATCGGTGCAGAAGGGGGCCTGTTTAGCTGACTCTCGTGCTTCTTGGAGTCTGCCTCCGTCTGTATTTGCAGTAGACAGATCTGCAAACCCGCGCAGAATCTCTCGAATGACAGCAAACCGTTCGACGGTGTCACCTTCTTTAAGCTGTCGAGGATACCTTTGGGCAGACCCTGGGTGCCGTCGTCCTGCCATCGACCCTCTATGTCAGTGAACTTGACGAAACCGGTGCTCTGATCGTCCATTATGTCGAACAACGTACGCATCGCGTTGACGAAGTGCTTCGGCAATCCGTCCGCAGTCGACGCTTGTATTTGTGCCATATTTATTTACTTACGTAGGGTTTAACTTCGATTAAATTGTGCGTTATCTTCCAGGTAACGGCAGAAACATCATTAACGGCACTCAGAGGATTGTGTATACTTTACTTCTCACATATATTATCCCACCTGGATTGTTTTTCCTGTGCAATTTTTTAATACATTTATTGAGAAATAATCATTGGTTTCTCTTATTGTTTAAATACAGTGAAAAAAAAACGGTTTCACTGTGATCTCATGATTTCGCCACACAAATTGTTTTCCTTGCAGATTAATTTTTCGGACGGCCATATGCAATCACATCAGAAGAATAATCTAGTGATAAATCTAGATTGTGTTCGAAAATCTGTCAGTCAAAGTTCAGAATTTGACCAACCGGAGAGCGAGGATCTCTTTGTCTTGATTGGTCAATCTCACCCTAGATGAGTACACTTTCGAACATATTTAGTGTTGCCATCCAATGCTCTTTCGCATTGTTCATGGTCAACATTCCCATGCTCATCCTCAAATTTAAATTTAAATTCAGTCATGTTATAATATCATCAATCAAACATCTTTGATTAAATTTATTTAAATTTTATTAATTGTTACACATAGTTAATTAATGGAAATAGAGAAATTATATCGATTTTCTTAAGTCAATTATTAATGGAAGAGATTCGCATTAAATTTGCTATATTTAATCGTCAATTATATACTTTTTAATTGTGTCTGCTCATATCAATTGTCAATTGAATTGTCTTTGATTGAATCTGTTTTTTCAATCGTCTATTAAAGTACTTCTAATTAAAATTAACTCATATTAATCGTTTAATTGAAAAACTTTCAATTAAATTAGCTATTAATCGTTTAATCGATCGCTCTCCGATTAATTTCGTTTATATCAATTGTCAATTAAATAACCTTCAATTGACTTCGATCATATTAATTGTTAATTAAGCAATCTTCGATTAATCTAGCTTATATCAATCGTCATTGTAACGATCTCTAATTAATCTTTCTAAAATTAATCGTCAATTCAAAATATTTTAATTACATCTGATTACATCTGTTTGTAATTGAATGTCATAATTAATTTAAAAAGTAATTAATTAATCAGCATCTCTGTAGCAAATAATGATCGTACGTTACTCTCTAAAACTTTCTCGCAAGTTGGAAATATTTAGCAAAGAGCGAAAAGTACATATATTAATTATATTATCGGAACGCGATAAATTGCGAATGTATACGGTGTTCAAAAAACGATGATATTCTTGTTTTGCGCCGGATTTTCGCTCGAGAAGTTACAGATCTATGGTATTGTGTCGTGGTTGTTTTCGGGTATGATTAGTGCGCCTAATCGTAATTAATATTAATTAATATTAATATAATATAATATTAATATTAATATAATATTATATTTGTGCGAATTTGCATTTGCTTAATTATAAATAATTATTTTTTCTAGTGACGAGAAGAAAGGAGAAAGGCATTCAAAATGGCACCAAGTGACGGTAGAGAATTTGAAACAATCACGAGGTAAATAACTTATTTATAGATTTATTATAACTTTGCATTTATTTTTAATTTAATTACGATACATTGATGGCATTCTTTATATAACATTCTGCCTATACATTTAACAGAAATAGGGAAAATCAAATCAGCATACTGCATTATGCTGATTAATCAAAATTTTATATTTTTCAATTTCATTAACTTTGCATTTATATGATTCTTTTTCTGTTCCCTGTTAACCTGAGAGGGAAAATTCTGTGTGTGTGTGTATGTGTGATTCAATATATCATTTTATTTCACATATCGCACACATATATTATTAAATTTAAATCTAGTTGTTTACTCTAAAGTGTACTCTCTAAAGTTAGGTGAGTAAAATGAGAATTCTTTTCCATTCATTCTATTTTATGCAGCCTCTCTTTTTTTCTCTTTCTCTTTTTGTGTATCGATTAACTTTTCAAAACAATATTACATTAATTTTCTATGAGATAGAAGTCATATATCTCTATACGTTCGCAAGAGCATTTATTTCTGAAGCTTCGTGTCGATTTTCTCAAATATTCTCAAAAATTTAACGAGCATGCAATCAGTAACGATACCAATCGCTTAATCTTCCATAACGACTACATCATTATTATCGCAATGAGACTGGTCTTCTTGAGGATGAGCTTCCTCGACATTAGGACTGTCATCGCTGTCCGAGGACGAGCTGTCTTGCGGTATCTCGATACCGTGAGTCAACAAGCTGGTTATCCTCTCAACGTCGACAGTATCGTCCTGTTCGTGTATCTTCTTCAGGGCATTTGAGACTATGCAAAGGTCGCCTCGTAATTCGCTGACTACAGCCGTGATCTTCTGGGCATCTGTCAACACCTCTACTGACTGGGTATACGGATTGTAGCGTATCCCGAATGGTCGTTGAATCTGATTGGCAAATGAACTGGAAAAAGTATAGAATAATATAATCACAATTGTTCTTACTTGATTTAAAAAAGGAACACGCGTTTGAACAAAAAAATCAAGCAAGTTATATCCCAGACAGCACATGGATGTCCTCTGGAAATTTAAAAGATATCCAATATGGATATAACAGATATCCTATATCCTATTTTAATCCTAAGATCTCCTCCGGTCCTAAGGAAGAGCAAATAATCGCTCATTTTTTATCCTTTAATCATCCTCGGGATATTGTGTGGAATATTCCAAGGACTTTTATACGATATGAAAAGGATGTTTATTTATACTAATTTTTATATCGGAAAAAAGTTTACTTATACAAAAAAGTATAAGCATATGAAAAAAATGCTAATATAACAATAATTCTTCAATAATGTATTATTGAAGAACTATTATTATATCGGTAGTTTTTCGTATTCTTGTAGTTTTTCGTAATTCGAAAAAATACATATATGCTCGCGATAGTTATCAAAATTAAAAAATTTGAAGATAAAACAATTTTAAATTGTGTAGCATATAATTTATTTTGCATAACAAAAATAATTATATATGGATATTAAATTTTCATAAAATATATTGATAATATAATATCTTAAAACATTCTACAAATATCTTGGATCATCCGAGACATTTTCAGGATAATCCTGAGGATGTCTTGTGCTGTCTAAGATATAACGTCGCAAAGAAAGACACTTGCCGCATTTTCTCTTTTGCTTCCTCTATGCTGTCCGTATAATAATATGCATTCTGAAATGCGGTGATAATGCATTCCTGTTTGCACGTGACATCCGGTTCGAATCTCATGGTTTTTTCGGGCGCGGATACCGCGTGTCTCAATTCCGCCACCGACGAGAGCAAGCCGGCTCCATAAACGCGATACATACCATCTTGTTTACACAATCCAAACTCCACGGTGAAGAAGTATAGCTGGAAAGATAAAGGTCAAGCACAAATATAATAAAAAATAAATTATCTGCATATTCAAAGACTTACAGTTGCCAATTTATCTATGTCTTCATCCGATGCACCAAGAGAAGCCAGACCAAGTTCTTGAGAAAATTGCGCGAAGCTTGGATTTGCAAGTAGAGGCATGTGGCCCAGCAATTCATGACAACAATCTCTGCAAATTGCGGAGTTAATTATTTGTTAATTATTTTTCATTATTTGATATTAATCATATAATGCGCAAAAATCATAATTAGAAAAATTTATATATATTTCATTATAAATATTTATTTTGCATATTACTTGCACTTTTATAAAACAAATGTCACGTATACTTACGGTTCCGGTGTGTAAAATGGATCGGAAGAGTGTCGTATATATTGGGTGCAATGGAATACGCGAAAAGCAAGTCCAGAAAGGAAATCTCGCGGAGTGAGATAACCCGCGACCGGACGAAGTTGAAATCCCGTTGTTCCTATAAATATCGGTCTTCGTTTATAGAAACGTCATTCTTATTTTTGTAGAACATGATAATATAATTATACAGCGATTTCTTATACTCACGCTTTAGAAAAACGGTTACATCTTGTAGTTGCGGTATATTGTTCTCTCTATATAAGAAAGACAAGATTAAAAAATATTTTCATATTTTTCTTATTCTTATTATTTTTTTTATCTATTTTTTATATCTTTATTTTTTTTCTTATATTTCTTATAAGAAGCTATTTTTAAATTGCACGATATACTTACATATTTTTTAAAATAAAATAATACGTAAATATAAAGTAGCAATTATATAAAATATAAAAGACTGTAATTTTTGTAAATGGATAACTATTTATTTTTAAGGAAATTATTTAAATGGTTTAAATTTTAAATAGATTTTATGTAAATTATTTTTTTTATATACCTGTATCCGCAATACTTGACTAACTTCGGCCAATTTTCCAAATATTCTTTGCATGCGTATTTTTGATAGAGTTGATGTAGTTCACGAAAAACAGTTCCCCTAAGACAAAGGTTTAAGTAATTAAGTTGTTATAGGTATTACATATATTATAGGTTTTTTTATTATATAGATATAATACGCGCGCGCGCGTGTGTGTGTATAGTTTTTTTATCACATTACATATTATTGTATGTATATTATTTTTAATGTTTTATATTATATTTTTAATCTGTTGCGACACATTTTGCATGATGTTTCTTAAGCATTATTAGACAAATTAATTATTACTATCAAATTATCCGAATATTTGACTTCTGCCGAAAAGCTCTCTCGTTTTGATTAAGTTTGTCGAAGTTGCAATATTTGTTTCGTACATCGTTGCATTTGAGTCAGAGAAATTGCATTAACCGAGTTGCTACTTGATACCGTGTCGAGGATAAATCAAATTGACGCAATTAAGGGTGCATTCAGCGTGCCAATCTTACTTCGATTCGCGCTACAATAAGACGTAGGAAGAGCGAGAGAACGAGAGAGAAAGAGAAAGAGAGAGAGAGAAAAGAGAGACAGATTTTATCTTCTCTCAGTGGAAGATAAGATCGAAGATATCGAACAAGTGTGTATAACTTAAATTTATCGAGAAATCATTTCTTTTATTCATACTAATTGCCTTCATGTACGCGAAAACACGTTCGCAGTTTCATTTGTAGTTTCACGAGAAAAAGTTGTAAGCCGTATCTCGAAAGATGACTTCAATTAATTCACGACTTATATGTTACAAATAATTTTTAATGTGTTGACAAAGGAGATTTTTCGCGATTAAATAAAATATATATTTTTAAAACTTAAAAATTATATAATTTTTGCGTGAAAGAACGTACCAGGTTTTGATTTCTTCTGGTGTATATTGCACCCTGGGTATCGGTTGACCACTAAAATATTTGTAAAATGTCATTTGTAATTAGAAAGTGCGCTTACGTATAAAAACCATTACTTTACTTACTGCCTATAATTATAAGCGATGTCGGCAAATTCCTCGCGACGTTTACGATACACGGGATCTTTGAAACCCTGCAATTGTAGATTATTTTTTTTTGTGAAAGCAAGCATGAATTTGAGAAGAAGTTACTGTAGTAACAGGATTTCGCATGCAGAAAATCATATAAAAAACGTACGGGATGATCCGCGTCCAATTCTGAGCCATACATAAGAACTTTCTGCGCACGATCGAGGTCCGATATCTTTCGCGGGAACCAGGGCATGTCTACTTCGCTAAAATCTATAAAATCGGAATTCTATTGCATTTTAGTACACGCGATAAGATATTCTATTATCAAATGTCTCGGAGAAGACAGAAACAATAAAAGTGTCGTATACAGTAAACTTTGATACAAACATTACACTTTCAAATCTTCACTAAAAATTAACACACTCCTAGTAAATTGTGATAATTTAAATTATAGTATTTGCAAAATAATCAACTCTTTTTACTCTGAATTATAATTAAATGTATTGACGCATATTAAGTAGATGATAATGATATTAAGTAGATGACAAAAGCACTTTTAACAAATATTTAATTTAAAGTTTAATTTAAAATTATTTATTCAAATATTTAACAAGTTACTAAATTATTAGATAATTATTGAACTAATTATGTCTTTTAATTTAAATAATCTTAATTATCACAATAGAGCGAAAATAAATCTGATTATCATATCGGAGCTTTGTTGGATCAAATTATAGATGCAATAACATATATGTAAGAAACAATACACGAACATTAGCATTGCATTTAATTATATTTCAAAATAACGAAAAATAAAAAAAATTATTGATATTCTTTACTGCGCACTACTGGAGACTCACCGAAACTTGTCGCGGCCGAGAGAGAGGGTGCGCGTGGAATACTTCCGATTTGTTCATAATGGGCAAGATTAATAGCTGCTACTTCGCGGCTTAACATTTTCATTAACTGTTCCATCCTCTTTGAATCGCATTCGACATCCACAAGAATATCATATTCGGAACCGCGGCGCACAGATTTTCTCGATTCGATATGCACGACGTTTATACCTAGATCCTTTGCATGACAAGAAAAATATATCTTTTCTCAATATTCTTTATAAACTGGCTTTTTAATATATACGGTACTTGATTCCTCAGAATTTGGAGAACGATTTTTTTTCTCTGTGCATTACATTCTCTCTGTGCGTTCTAAATTTATAAATAATTTATCTGATATAATAAAAGTTGCTTTTATATTTAAAAGGCTGCCTTAACAAGATTGTTCACATTGCTTGCAATTTTCGCAACATGTTGCAACATGTTGCATTTGTTCATCGCCTGATTATTCATTTAGATTCGCCGAATAATTTAAAATATTTGAGGAGAATATGACAATTTTGTTTAGATTTATAGACACATACTGAGAACGAAACATACAGAAACATACCTGAAATACTTGAAGAGCTCGCGCCAAACCACCGATTTGATTTTTCAGAGAAAATATCACAGAATTCTTATTATCGTTAGCTTGATTACTTTCATCCATAGGAAGCTGAATGAACGAGATGATACATCTTATTAAGATATTTGTTTCAACTTGCTCATCATGTTTCTTAAGTATGATGAATTCAATTTTAAAACACTTTTATTTTTAGGATATTTAAACTTCATAAAATACAAAAGACTAAATTAATTATTTAAGTGATTTGAGAAATTAAGCAATAGAAGATATTTATCATTTATTATAAATTAACCGCATGACTCTCTTTAATTGTGTAAAAATTACTAACTTATTGACAACAAAATTAAAATTTGTCTTTTTTTATATCATCTGCGTTTGATTAGATGATAACATACATTGCGCGATTTATGTAGCGGACTTCCTTCTTTGACAGCCCAACTTTCGCCTCTTCTGTATAGCCACACCCCGAGAAGACTCTTTCCTGATCCACTCATGATGATTTTTATAATAGAATTTGCGAAACAATGTAACGGAAGAAATATTTTTTTCAATAATTTTGTTTATCAATGGAATTAATTTTTCAATATCTTGCGCGATATATACGGATTAACTTGTGACCGATTGACGATTCACTGTCTTTCAGGACACGAGCAACAATGTGCTGGTACCATCCTTAACAGGTCCTCTTAAAACCTCGGTCTCCCCCGTTTGCTTTCGTCCTTCTCAATGACGATCTGGCCGTGATTGGGCGGTGCACAGCAGCACCAGCGATTCCCATTGGTCGGATAAAACTTTTCATGGGGTTGAAGACAAGTGTTGGCTCACCCCGTTTAATGGCAAGTGATGCTGGTCCTCGAATGTATTTCCTACGAGTGACGTCACCAGAGCGGATAATACAAGCCCCGATAATGAAGAACGCGAGCAAGAATTGCAAGATCTTCAATAACCATGATGCAACAGGTATAAAGTTTTTTTATTTTTACAATAAATTTTTACTTGAGAAATGAGACGCAATGTTTTTTTCTAAAAAAAGAAAACTGAAGAAAAAGGGTTGAGAGAGAAAAATATATTATTTCAGTTTACTTTACGTTAATTAAATCCGGAAAAAATTTAATTTGATTAAAATAAAATATTAGACAATAAAAAACAATTATTTGTAAGTGAATAGATTTTATTATAATTTCAGTAGTTGTGCATTAAAATATTCGTAAAGTTATTCTGCTTTAAGTATTATGTAATTATTATTAATAGATATATTATAGATATACATTTCAGTTATAAATTGATATATAAAACATTTTTGTTATTATATCTTATTTTATAATTCTATTATTATGAATTATTAATTATATATTTTCTCTTTTTTCTTTTTCTCTTTCTTGTCTTCATAATCGTTAATCATTACATTGAATATTTTTTAGAAATACTTAGATTATATTACAGAAATGTAATATCAACTAAAGTTTTTAATTTTATAAAATTGTTACGGAATAGAATGCATTTTTCTTTTACAAAATACTTAGTTCAAACAATGTATAATTAAGTATGTATTCTACGATTGCAAATATCAAACATCAAAACGAAAAAAACGGTCAGTCGAGAAAACGACTTCCTTTTCGAAGGGGAGAACTTCTTCAACGAGGCGGTGATTTTTCGTTCCCGTCCTACTCTGAAACAAAGACACCATTTAATAAAAGTTCGAACGCCCGAGGAGTTCGCCTACTCCTAAGAAAAGTAGATGCAGCACATTACCAGTGTCCATCACTTACCACTATCAGCTGCCGTAGCTCTACCCTTGCTAAATTATACCGAGTGTTTCTCCGACATTAAGCGAGATTGAGAGTATCGTTCGATCCTCGATACTTTTACCTTATCGGGATGCATTCTGAAGACGGTGGATTTTCAAGGGTGTCTCTTGCGAATAATTCTGACTATTCTGATCATAGTCAAGAATAAGTTAATTATTTATTCAATCAATTTAATTTGCTATTAATTTTGTTATTTCTGTTGCCGACTGCAATATGAAAGTTTTAAATCTCTTACATTATGAAAACAGCATCAAGGATTTAAATTAAAGAGCTATAGGAAAATACATCTTTAAGGATTAATATTTAAAAAAGTATTAAAAAATAAATTAAAAAAGTCGAAAATTAAAAAAGAAAGATATTAAGAAAAATAATTGAGAGATTCAATAATTTAGACTTTTCGGAATTATAGGAAGATCCTGTGCATACATTGTGCAATCGTGTATGCACCCGCATTGGTGGATCTATTCTTTCATATGTCAGTGACATGAGACATCAGTTTCTACTATGATACACTGATAAAGTTGAGAGACTACAGTAATTATCGTGGCGAAATAAGAAGTTGACATTGAGACCAAAAGGGGAGGATAAGACACGTTGGAGAACACGAATTTAGCTTCTGTCTTCTATCCCACAAAGGCCACTAGGTCAGACGCAATTCGATACCAGCAATTCCTTTCGCTTCGTGTGAATTTTGCTCGAGGTTACACTAACGAGATTCTTCTTTGTCGTACAATAAAAATGCGTTTAATTGATGCATCTATCTCGTATAAACATTGATTTCTATTTTTTAACATTTATAATTCTCAAATGCAAATGAAAATAAATTTAATTAAAAAGAGAGATATAATTATATATTTTTTTAAAAATAATATTTGACAATTTCTTTTTTTAAAAAAATTATAATTTTTATTCTTTATATTTATGCAATCTATATACATATTTTATATTTTTTTTGTATTTAACTTATATTGCTTATTGCAGTTTCGCCTGTTGCTTCGATATCATGCGTTCTTTCTTAAAGCTTTTTAAGTAGTCTCGAGTGAAAAAAAATTTAATCGATCGGAGTGACCGAATTGCGCAAAAGGTCCTCGCGACGAAGAAAACTATGACTATCCGTCGACAAATAGAAAAATCCTTTCTGAGTGTTCTCTCAGCACGAAAGAAAAGTATAACCGATGATTGGAAAGACGGGGGTGGATGTGAGAAAGAGTTACCGGAAGACAAAATGTAAGAAATGCCTTCTATGTCACTGACAGAATTGTGAATAGATATTTTTAAAATATACGATTGTATTCTCATAATTTATAAATGATTTATAAAATGTCAACATAAATTTATAGCCACCAAAATATTTATAAAGACTAATAAAATGATTAACAATATTATTATGATATTTGCATTATGCGAGATAAATGCTTAATAAGAATCTCAATGTTAAAAATATTATTCCAAAATTAAAGAAAAATGGGCTATATACATCAATGGGTTTTGTATACAGGAGGAATTTGACATCTAATTTATTAAATCTGATTTATTCAAAATTATCATTTAATGGATTAATTTTCTATATAAGTCTGTACTAATATTAATTAATACAATTTTCGAGATTTAATCTCTGTTGTTTAATTTTTTAGCCTTGGTTGATTAATTTGTTTTATAAAAATTGTCTTTTGGAAAACGAGATCAAAAACCAGATTGTTTAAAAATTTTTAATTAAAATTTTCATGTTGATTGATATCAGAGAAATTGAGTTTAGTTCGTGAAAAAAGTGATTGTATATTTACGTCCAATTCGCAATCTTTTCACAAGCACGTTGCTTGATAATATATCGCAAGTTAGGAAATTTTCGATGAGTCAGCATTGGAATATGAAGAAGATAAATCTACTGTTGCAGCACCAGTGTATGAGTGCAAAAGATCGATTGCAGAGCGGCTGTAAAATATTTAACCATCTCTCTGGAATTTTATATCGTAACATCGCACCGTTCTCCGCCGCGAATTCTAAGCTACTTCGAAAAATACGACTGTAAACTCCTGGGAGTTTATGCTCCCTACTGATAAATGTTTCATTGCGTAGTAGTAGTATATCGACTAGTAATGCGCTGGATCCACAAATGTTTGAACAGAGACCCGTTCTGGTCCATATTTTCTCGAAGCGTATATATATAGTCGTTCCCTATTGTTTTTCTATAATATCTCTAAAAATATACCTGAAAATTATATAATAGAAATTTGAATAAAAATTGATCTGATGCATCAATAAAATTATATTACTTTATAATAAAATTTTGATTTTAGAAATAAAATATTAATTATGAATTAATTTATGCTCTCGTAGATAGTTACGCTATCCTAATTTAAACATAGCAACTGAGTTAAATTTCTCAGAGGGATTCAAGGTAGACAATAGCGCGTATTCATGGTGTTCATTTAACGCCATATGCAATCACTGAATTTGTCTCTTGATAGACGTATTCGATGTTATCATCGTTCTTAATAGTCACTGTATTTAAGGCTAAATACCGAGATAATAGGATGAGAATACGCAGCCAAACATTCACCCTAGAATGGTAGCTCTCGTTTTATTCTTCTCTCTCCCTTTCTGTTCCCTTTAGTCAAGAACCAACCCCTGCCCACCCTCGCGAATGAGCAGGCGCACGACGTTCACCACGCAGGAATCAATAGGAGTTGCGTCCCGTTCGCACGGCGTCGAAGCAACGTCGGCGACCAACGTCAGCGACATCTTCTCACCCCGTACGTTTCCTGGGGGTCGACGAGCAGCTCTCCTTCAGGCCGCTACGGCCGCCCTCGGAACCGACCCCTGCCTTGTATTTTGCTCACCCTGCGAAAGCGACGATGGCTGACAGCGAATTCGAGGAGTTCCGGCACTACTTCGAGAGGCTGCCCCAACATCTGAAGGCCCCGCTTTCCAACTACACGTGAGTACGCACCCTCGCGACAAATTTGCCTTCGTAACAGATGACACGACGCGACGATACGATAAGAACCTTCGACAGTAACATCGTTTGCGAAAGGCGGTGGCCTGAAATTAAAGAAAGCAGCTACATAATTTAGAGAAGGGAGAGATATAGGAAAGTGTGATGTAGGAATTTACATTAGAAGTTGGAGTAAAATGATGATATATCGCAGGTCATATTACATTGTTGCTAAGTAAAAATATATACAGGGCGATAATATGTATAGGTTGATAGATAATGGACCACGTTGATGAGATCGAAAGTTGAACACGCGCAGATGTGTGGTTGATATATAAAAAAATATTAATAATATGGCCTTGTCTAGATATTTATGAAATTGGCGAAGCTAAAAGTAAATAATTGGATAAAAATTAATATTATGATATTTAAGAAACTATTGTCTATTCTTATGGTCATAATGTTTTAGAATATATAAATAACTATAGAATATATATATATATGCTGCCTTTTGAATTATTCTGACACTATATATACAGAATATTGACTCCCATATAAAAAGAATTATATATTTATAGATAATGGAATAATAAATAATTTTTATAGAATATAAATGAAAAAAACAGTGAGCACAATCTCATTGTTTTATTTCAATGATTTTCATTTCAACTCTTTTGCAATTTATACTTATTAATTTATTTACACTCTGCACTTTGATAAATAAGATTGATAACCAGAATTGACAATTTAAGAAATTGAGCGCTGCGTCATTTTAGTAGGAGTTATGATGACGCACTGATTGCGTTAGCAGTTTAATAGTTAAAACAATACTCTTTAGTAAAATTATCTTTGTATTTTCGTAAAAAATTTCTGTTTAAGAATATCTAAATATAGCTATAATTTATCACGTATAAATTCGAATATTTTTGGACAAATTGTGATATCTATAGATGTATAGAACTAAGAATAAGAAAGTAAAGTTACACACACACACATATATATACAGGCATACATTATGATCTAACTGTTTGACATTTTTATTCGAAACAAAGACAAATTATTACGACACTGTGCATAGTATAATAAAACAGAAAAAGTATAAAGATATGTCTAAAGTCTAACAAATGTGTCACAAGGGAGCTCAAGATAGCTGTAAAATCGTAGTTCAAAATCGCTGAAAGACTCGATACATGACTAAAATGTCACGAAAAAACAGTCAAGTCGTATCGACAGCATATCTTTAAAATTATTGATCCTGTAGTATAAGTGATACGAGGATACAAGCGCATGTAACTGCAACGCAACGCGCATACGGAGACAACTTTGGTGATCTACGGCTTTCATTGTGACATATACATATATACATATTGCCTTTATTGTCGCAAATAACCGATGATTTTATTTTCAGAGGAATTCTATGATCTATTGTCAATTTGTGTAATGTGTATGTGCGTGCGTGTGTGTGTCTGTGACGTACAATTTAATTATATAATTTTGCATAGAGCAATTGCCTTCGTAATCGTATGGCAAATGTAAAGTTCGTGTGTAATCATGTATTGATTGTTGATGGCATTAAGGACAAGATTAAGTGAATAAAGATAATTTTTGAAATTCGTTAGCAGACACATTTAATTGATTTTTCATTATATATGTCACATTTACGAATCATGTTTTTATTATAAATTTAAATGTATATGCATATTTTACGATTTTACTGTCAGGCTCGTACATGATGTGATGATCGATGATTCGCCAACGTCTTCGCAAGGAAGCGACGGAGACGTTGGTAGATCCTGTGATGTCGTTACCGGCGACTCCGAGGATGAGGAAGTCGTCGTCATCCATCGACATGATGACCAAAGCGGGCATACTACCCCTGATGACAGCGAGGAGTTGGACCACCACTGTTCGATCATAGCTGATAGCGATTTTAGGTTGGTAACATCGTAAGTGTTTACTTATTATTTATATATTAAATTCTATATTTTATTTATTTATTTGTATCGCATTTTTCTTTGATGTAGAAATTTTATACAATTGATATATCAATGCAATATGTCAATAATACATTAGATAAAACTTGCAATGCTTCAATTATGCATGTTCTTTGACAAAGAATATAAAAATTCAGGAAACAAGAAAATATTATTTTTATTTATAGCAATTTAATGGTAAAATAGCAATATTGGAAATAAAAGAGTAATTATAGATTTATTGCGCAATGGAGAACAATATTTATTATTCGCAATCTTTGAATTTTTTTACATACTTTGAATTATAACATATGCAAAATAAATTTCTTTTGCCAAATATTTTATAATTTTAATAAGCAGTTAAAATTGCGTTGTAATTGTTGTAATTTATGTCGCATCCAAAAGTAATTACATTTTAATATATCTATATATACATACATATAATATCATCCACTCATATACATACAATGACGTACATCATCACATTTACCACAACATCGCAATATAAAAACTCTGATCTTGTTAAAAATAACTCTAGCCTCCGGAAATATTCTCCGGGAGAGTTCGCGACGCATGCAGCGACGCTCATAATTATTAATTAATTGTCATCGTAGTTGGGAAATATAATGTGGACAGTAATCGAGATGTACACTACTATGCAGCATTTTCGATATTTTCCGAGTATTTCAAATATGCGTGGATTTTTGCATCTTCTTTATTTATATTTCTGCAATATTAAATATTTTCAATTTAACATATTCCACGTTACAACGCAATTATCGAAATAATTTTAATTTTACATAATATTACTCTGAAAATATTAAATACTCCATTGCGTTTTTCTTTGACTATTAAAATACAATACATATTGTTGCATGGAAAGAAAATCTACATATAACATATATGCATAATTTTTAGATAATCGTTGCAATTATATAATTTTCCAAGCAATTTTATTAGTAAAAATGTATTATTAATCTTTTTCACAATTTTATTATACATACTTATATGTAAGATAATGACAATATAATACGATGCTATATAATACATTGCAATAAATATTTACTCTATAAGTAAACACGCACAAAAATAATTTGTAAAAAAGATTCATACGTTTATCTTATTGCTAATTGTTTTAATTTGATTATTAAAATTTGAAAAGATTAAAAAATTTATTACTTACATAATGCATATAACAATCTTTTATGATGGCAATTCTCTTTTTAACTCTTGATTGATTTCAAGCATGTTATGCAACGATATAAATTTTTCTTTCAGCAGTCAAGAACGAATTTTTTTATTCGTATATTTTCTAAAGAATTAAAATAGAATAGGCAGCATGGGAATGATAGTGTAGCTCACTGTACAACTATCCTTGAATGACATTAGCCTGTTCGGTGGACTGAGCAGCAGGGGTCGATCAGTAGGCGGTGGTGGACCAGGACCGGGCGGGGGTGGTTCTGCTGTATCCGGCAACGGTGGTCGGGATAGTGTCGTCAGCGATGTCGGCGACTCGTGTTCCAGTTTGAGCTCCTGGCCTACGCCGGAGCACGTGCCGTCGAATCGACCCGGAAGCGGAGGTACAGAGCGCAGACGTCGAAGATTGCCGGAAATTCCGAAAAATAAGAAATGTAAGAGAAACATACCATAATAGATAACAAATAGATAACTCGTTTGATTATGATAAAATAACGAAAAAAATAATGTTTCTCCAATCTTACATTTTTCATTAAAACTATTGGAAGAAGATTCCGTATGAGATAATTATTAATTTAATAACGATTAACATATCAACAAAATCTTTTGCGAAGAAAAAGTCTACTAGAAATTCTTCAGCTTTATATCGTCAAATTATTGTAAATAATCAGAATTTTTCAAATAACTTATAATGAATAGAATGAATAAAATTAGATGTCTTTTGGTACTGATTGCATAATAATATCACTTTTATGATTGGTAAAGCGAGATAAAAGATAATTATTTTATAATTTAGATATTTTATAAAATTATATTTATTATTTTTGTACTTTGTTGCAATATATACTTTTATTATAATACAGTATAACTACTCATAATATCTTTATAGTATATCTATAGTATCAAATAGATGTACAGCATCCAATAGTTATTAGCTGTATTATTTTTCGTCACCATGTTACACGTTTATTTGTATTAATGAAACCAAAAACCAACCGCCAGTGTCAACCACAATAAAAAGAAATCTAATCCATTTGTATATCAGAAGTTCTATAAGAAGCACATTGTAAAACAGTATTTTCCATACGCAACTGATGAATCTTATACGTTCAAATGCATTTATTTAAAAATTATTTCGCAAATGTGAAGAAAATATTTAAATTTTAGTGCATTTCATATTTTTGATATGTGCAAAAATTCAGTGATAAAAATTTCAAAAGTAGATGCAACAGAAAAAATTAGGAAAATTAATAGTTATTCTTTTTCTATTTTCACAGTATATAAGAAAGGTATTTTAACATATATGGATTATTTTTAGGAAAAATTCTGAAATTAAAATGTCTGTGAATATGAGATTAAATTTATATTACAAAGATCATTAATTCGGCAGTATAATTTAATTGGTCAATTATTACGTTAATTATTTATTTTAATTAAATTAAAATTTAAAGAATTTTTCAAATTTATAATTTTTATTTTTTGTTATCTTCTATCCATTGAAATTTTTATTTTTTATTATCTAAAAAATGTAAATGTTGTCATTGAAGATCAATAAATTAATCACTAATTTTTGCTGAAATTTTGCCACTGCTTTAATCAATGATATTTTCAGTTTAAGGGAGTAAAGTTTCAAATAAAAAAGCCTCAAATAAAGTGCCTCGTTTTTCAGCTATGCCCATGTGCCAGACGTCTATGCAGACGTCAACTTCTCTGGCAGATGAACTAAATGCTGCCACCGGCTCAACATCGGCCCGGCCTCATCTTATCCTGAGAAAATGTCATCCCAGACTTCGCCACGAAGACAGTTCTCCTGACAGTGAGAGAATGGCCACCGACAGTGGTCATTCCACCGCTCACTCACCTGAAAACGGACCCAAAAGCGTATCTCCCATACCTTGCAATACCTTGCAAAACACGGATTCGGTATCACCTAGTAGTACCCCAGGTAACTATAATTTTCATCGAAGGATTATTAATTTTTGTCTTCATACTAATTTTAAATTTCTCAAATTATTTCAGTGATTATAACAAATAAGTAAATATCTATATCACATAACTATAGTAAAATATACATTATTTCTTTTAAAAAATACGGAATGTTAGAATTCATACAAAAAGTTACAAATAAAAATATCTTATAATAAATATATACCCAAATGCTAAAAATGATTTTAAAGGCATTTAATTTTTTAAATTTATAATTTTGCACATAATTTTAGAAATAATGTAAAATAATATTTCAATTAATCATATAAATAATTAAAATAATTTCGTAATGGATATATTTTGTTATTTTTAATTATTTATTAAGATTTTTATTTCTACAAATATGTTCTATATATATTAATGCAAAATTTATCTCTATCTGTGGATATATGTGTGAAGAATAAGACTTTATTTTTATCTTTATTTGAATCTTTAAATTTGCATTAATCTTTAATAGACAACTTTGCAATTAAATTTAAGCTGCAATTTTTTTAATAGAAATAAAATTATTTTAAAAAATTTTATACGAACAAATAATTTGAGATTTCTGATGATTTTATGTCTTCTTAAATTTTCTGCGAGAAATTGCAAGTCTGTAGATTCTGTTGTTTTAGTTCGGTAAAGTTTTGAAAGTCAAGAGGAATTATTGTTCATGTTATACATTGCTTTTGAACGGATCAGAATAACTAGGATAAATCAATACCAGTTTGCTTTTTCATTTCCAAGGAAGCGGAGGCGTACCGTTCACCCAACTAGAACTGCTCGAAGCAACGCATCGAGGCCTGCACAAGTTCATACCGCGGCATCACGATGAAATTGATCTTGAAATCGGAGATCCTATATACGTGCAAAAGGAGGCTGATGACCTATGGTGCGAAGGTGCGTAAAAATATCAATTTTGTATCATCCAAGGTATCGAAACTCAATAATAATCTCTCTTTTTATTTATTTCATTTAATCAAATTAATTCCTTTAAACTTCAAACGATGATGATAAATCATTAAACAAATATTCAGAATATGTAAATAAAATCCTAATCGTTCGCCATTCTTTGTATAATTTTTTAATTTAAATATCATCAATTATCAAACGAGTTTAATAGATGTGTGACACAGTAAGAAAAATAATATTAATGTTATACTCAGATTCACACTATTGATAGAATATATTCTTCTGTTCTTCGTATATTATAGGAGTAAATTTGAGGACAGGCCGACAAGGTATCTTTCCATCGGCTTATGCGGTTGACATGGACTACAGTGACTTCGATCCCACCGCACCCAAAGTGAAGAGAGAAAGATATCTTCTGGGTTACCTAGGCTCGGTAGAGACCCTGGCGCACAAGGGTACAGGGGTGGTTTGCCAGGCTGTACGGAGGATCTTACGCAACTCCTTGCAAGATCCACCTATCTCGCAAAGCTGCATCTTGGAAGTATCCGATCAAGGTCTTCGAATGGTCGATAGAAGTAAACCAAGAGTAAGTAATTTCTTGCGATCGAAATTTATTTGTGTATATATGATTTGTGCGAACTGTTAATTTATTTTAATCTTGAGCAAAAATCGTTCATTTTATTAAACTTATATATCATAAAGCTCTTATCTTATCTAAAAAGAATTTATATTAAACAAATTGTAATATATAAATAATTGAAAGAAAATCAGAAAAATTCTAATTGTCGAATATGACTTTGCAGAAAAGTCAAGGTCCTTGTCACGACTATTTCTACTCCCTGAAGAATGTGTCATTCTGTGCGTTTCACCCTCGCGATCATCGCTACCTCGGCTTCATCACAAAGCATCCTACTCTGCAGAGGTTTGCTTGCCACGTGTTCATTGGTCAGGAATCCACGAGACCAGTCGCCGAAGCTGTCGGGTGAGTTATTCTTTATATAATTTTATTATTTTATCACAGAGAAAATTTTTGATCGCATGACATTCTGCATAGATTTGTTAATCTTTAAACTTTTTAATTTATTTAAAATTGATTTTTTTTATTATTATTAATAATATTTATATATTTATCTATATTAATGCGCTTTAGATACTATTGTATCATATTTTTAAAAATCATTATATATATAATTAAAAATTTGATAACATGCATATGTGTTTGAGGATTTTAAATCTTACAAATATTTTAAAAAATAAAAAAGAACCTCGCGTTTTGCGATGATGCATTGTTCACGAGCGATAACTCGAGTTTTTTTTTCTTTCAGACGCGCTTTTCATCGGTTCTACACAAAATTCATCGAGACTGCTTTCCCAATAGAGGACATCTACATTGAATAAATTGCTCTCGGCCTGATATATAACGCGCGGCTGCAGAGAAAATGATAAATCTCACACACACTTCCCTCTTGTCCCATGTACATATCGTCCGCTAATTGTAGATATAAAAATAATAAACGCGAATCAAACACCCAATTTATACATATATTGAATATATGTATATCTATGTGTACTAAGCGTTTTTGAGAAGCGTCGACGGGTTCAATTTTCCATAATAGCATATTCTGTTCTTAAACAATTATACTTTTGTGATTTTAATTTGCTTTGTGTACTGCGCTGAAGAAGATCCAAAAAATTGGGTCGAAACGTTCGCTTTTTTATTTGTATTAACTTTCGAGTTTATTTTTATAATTTTATATTAATTTAAACTTTATTGTTTCTATCAGTATATATTGATTAAATGTAATAAATTAGTTTTTATAACCGTAATATTACTTCTGCTCTTATTAGCCTTTTATATGTGTAATACTTTATTTGAATTAAAGAGCATTTAATTAGTATATTGTTTAAACAATTATATTTTTTATTTCATGCATACGCGATTCAATATGGTTCTACGTATATGTAAAAAAGCGGAAAGAAATGACTTTTGAACAATACTGATGTCAACAAAATTATTTTGATTTTCTATCATAGACGTGTCGGTTGAAATTAATACTATTTTTATACTGAAAGAATTAAACAATATCTGATTTTTTGCGTTATATCGTAATTGTTGAATGAGACATTACATTACTGTTATTATTTTATGAAATCTTTACGAGCGATTTCTTTCCAAATATAAAATTTTATTGTCGGAACGTTTCTGCTAATAAATTTTGCAATACCGCAAAATGATACAAACTTAAAATTGACTAGTGAAGAGTACGTGTTGACGCTTTAACAATTGATAAAAATTGATCTGTTTTCAATTGCGAAAATTTATTTCTAATATCATGCTTTTACAGTTGAAAGCAGAGCAACTTTTGCAAATCATTTTAATCGTTTAATGTTCCTAAAAACATTTTTGGTGTAAATTCGATTAAAATGTTCTTATTTTCTGCTATATTTATGCCTCAAAAAATCTATATTAAGTTTTAAGATGACAAAAATATTTATATTAATATTGCCATAGATACACACACACATATATATATATTGATACAAAATAGATTTTTTAAAAATCTAAATCGCATTCGAGCGGTTTTGATTATTCAAAAGTAAACATGAAGAAATTAGAAATTGTTTAATTTTAGATTGAAAAAGCAGTTTTGGCAATTATAGACAATTAAATATATCACGACCCAATGTAATAGTCGCGTCATGCCTGAAAAAAAAAACAAGTTCGTTAAGGATTCCTTCATAAGCAAAAATTTGATAATTAATAGCTAGAATGCGGATTCCTAAAACCCCAATCCTATATACGACCAAGTTAATATAATTTATTTAGTGATGTATAGAAAAAGGGAACGACAATAGAGCGTTGGATTATTCCGAGTTTAGCGAAAAGAAAATCGTAACAGAAATTGGACGATTTAAGAAAAAATGATACTTAACTCTTTTGGCGTGTATCGGATGTGCTTTTTGCTGATGGCAGTCTTTATCGTAGCAACGAACAATCGTTTAAAACAATCTCCAATTGTATTGTTCTTATTATTGTTAGAGGGCGGCGATCAAATGTGTATATGTGCGCGCTGTTATTAGAATCTCATATATTTTTCTATCTTTCTTTGCGACAGAATTACCGATTATAAAAAGTTTCGTTGTTATTGATGATAAGGCATACAAAGTTTATATTCTTAAATCTCTTCCGATTTCTTCCGACTCTGTGAAAGACGACACTATCGAAACGCACATTGGCCTCTATGTATTTAAAATATTATATAGCGCTGCATTGCAACATTTTTGCTGACTACTTATATATACAATATGAACTAAATTAAAAATATCGTTTCGTTACGGATAATGTGAGAGATAATAAAAGAAATAGAAATGAAAAGTAAAATTACTTGTGCGTGCAATCGACATATATATAAATAGTATTATTATCAATTGATACTTATCGATCTGTCTTTATTCAGTTTGTTTTATACTCCCTTTATCAGTGCATATGCAAAGTGCGCGTATATAGTGTCTCATAATCAGTCGGATAAATTGTTGATCTTGAACTTTTAATATTAAGATGCAGTTAGTAATCGATTCAATCGAAAACACAAAAATTGTATTTACAAATCGTTTTTAAATTATTGCAAATGATGCGACCACTTCTGCGGTTTAATTTAAAATGCGCATGAAGTAAAACAAGATATATTGACAAGAAATTCTTTGAGAAATTTGTTTTTATTCGCAAATATCTAGTTATTTAAAAAAAAACTCGTAGATTCAATGTCATGATACTTCATATCGTTGATATGATATTTCGGTGCTAGAGAGGATTAAAATCGCAATGAATATTTGTACGGTAAAGGAAATCTCGCGATTTCGTAATTGCAACTTTCTGGAGAATCTTATTGATTTATAGATATCTCTTCTCGACAATACAAATTCTGCGCGTTGTTTTATTTAAGAATTAGTGCATGTTAGTTAAGTATATGATTCTTATACACGACAACAAGCACAGACACGTTCAATATAACACGCTTCAATTATACGGCATATTGAATAAAAATTGAGAGACATAAATTACGATGATTAATCATTTTAGGAGACTCTCATCTGGTATGCAAAATGTTTATATACGTGCCTTTGATTGGGATCGCCTCGAAATGCCGTGCCTTTTTGATTATTTTCTCATACAAACTAATATATCATTATCGCGTAGAAATTTATTATTCTGACAATATAATAACTCCTCTCAAATCTTTTCCAGACACATTATCGATAATAAGGGTGCGTGATACAAAGCGTTTTCTCATTGAATTATATAATATATTATATCTATCATCTTCTCGCCTCATTAAACAATTAGATAGCAATAACATAAACATTTAGAAATTTTGATCGACTAATTTTTTATTCTTCTTATCGTAAATAGAAGTTTAAATCAATCGAAGAAGTCATCTCGACAATTGTACGACTTGTATCTGATATGACAAGGTCTTTACAATTTTATGTTTGTGAACCGATCGGTTTTGCAATTATTTTACGAGTCTGTTAATTTAATAAAAAAACATCTGACATTAATATTTTTGAAATGCAGTATACTTTTTTTCAGCACCAGATATAGATTGTAAGCGAAGATAAAAAGAGGTCAAATATAAATCAAACAATAAAAAATCGACACGCTTCCACAATATTCATATAATTTCTACATATATATTTCTTCCAGAGGCAGTATTATTTACAAAAATGTTCCACCTTCTACGAAGTCTTAATAATTCAGTCTTGACACAATAACTATACATGTACATAATCCTCCCCCAACATATTATATTTCTTTATTGGTTACAATTACATATTTTTTCTTTTTCTGCATGTTCTTTTTGTATGCTTGCATATCTTTTTCGCTATAATTTAATATTATTTAGTAACAATTAGCCGAATTCATGCAAGCTATACATTGAGTCATTAATTTGTGTCGCTCCTCGAAGCGAAATATTTATCTGATTAAAAAAATGGTCTTTTATATTTACAAATTTGTTTTGCCAAGTTTTATCATGCTCTGCGCTTAATAATTCCTGCGCCAAATGAACATCAGCACTCTCTTAAGCAACTTGACTGTAAACATTTTTATAAATCTCTGCACGATTTCTCTGACCATTCATAATGTATTTGTGTCTCCATTGATCATTATCTTAGAATTTCTTGGTAAGGAAATCATCCACCTCCGAATATAAAATAAGAAAAAAAACAAGTTACTTTAGTTTTTTTATTATTTTGATAATTATTACGATTCATTCTCTACACGGAGAGAATTTTCTCTTAGAATTTACCAAGAAAATCATGGTAATCGATACGGTGTTGGAAGAATTTTATAATTTCTCTGATTAATATTTTTTACAATAAAAAATACTAATATGTACATAGTAAATTTTACTATGTACATAGTAAAATTAATCGAGTATATTTCATATCTTATTGTGGTAAATATTAATCAGTACACCTCTTAAAAAATTCTTCCAATACCATATTGTCCCACAATTACCATGCTTTTCAGGGTAAATTCTAAGAAAAAATTTTCTCTGTGGAGAAATCAATTCTGAATATATTAAGATATTCTCGGCTTGTATCGACAATATATTAAAATATAAAATAAAAGAATATGTATATATATAACTATAATTGCATTATGTTGTATCATGAGCACGATATATTAATTAAGCTTATTGAAAGCATATGTTATTAAGAAATCGGAAAATTATTTTTTCCGATTTTACAAACTGTTAGGTTTAAATTTTTTCTAGAATATTACTTCGGTTCATACATGTATGTATTTAAAAGTTCTAAACTGAAAAATAGTCACAAATTCACTTGTAATTTTGAAAAGTGTATATACACACATACAAGTCATATATATAATATATGACTTGTTAATATATGTGTGTATGCGTGTTTGTAAAAATATTAGTGTAGCCGAAGCATGTAAAAAATGAAAAATTAGATGCAAGATAAAAATGAGAAAAATATAATAAAATAATTTGTGGCGGTGGATTTCCTACCAAAATCGCGATCGCGATAAATTTTATATCGATGTCGCGGAACGCGAATTACATTCGGCGTTTCTTAACAATTATCGGAATTTACATAGCGCTTAACAGATAGAGAAAAACACTGAGATGACACATTAGAAAATTTTCTATAAACAATTTCGCTCGTACAATTATCGGCCGGCTGAGACTCGTTCAAAATAATAATTCACGTATCCGTATATGGATCGTTTTGTTCGACGTTTAAAATTAATGAGAATATTTATAATATGTATAAGCAAATTGTGGGAGAGGTAAGTATAAATTATTTATTTTTTAATCTTATTTTATTTTAAATAAAAACGCTAGTTCTTTATTATATGCGCGTAATGTTCAACGAACCATATACGTAATCGTGAGAATTTACAATTAGTCGTCTCATCAGTACTTAGTACAAATAATTATCTGGAAATTCAGAATACAAGAAAATTAAATTAAATTTTGCAATCAGGTGTGTGATCGAAGCTTACCTGTCATATTTCTGCACACATATCCTGCTTCGATAAGAGCTTTAAAAGCTTCGCCGTAAACTAATACAAATAAAGGAGGTAGAAAAACGCGTTTGACTCTCGATGTAACGTAATAACATTGTCAGAAAACGTTATGAGAAGACTTTCGCGTTCCAAAAATCTTTGAAATTTTTTCAGAATCAATAACTTGGATTATATACAATTGATACAACTTGAGCTTACGAAAATTCAAAGAGCACCGAAACGCGCCACATTTTACGTTTAATATATGCATAGAGATGATGTACAAGAAGAAGGGGTACACAACCACACTTAATCGCCTTTGTTTTTTTTATAGAAAGAAATCGAAAAGCCTTATATGTGCAAGTATCAGCAGAGTATAAAATATAATAACGCAGTAGATATTTACAACGGTATATATAAAGTTAAACTTTATCTTATAGCATATATAATAAACTGTAGAGCCGTCTGTCTGTGCTGCATTGGTATCCGCTCATTTCCAATATTTCGTATAGTCATTCATTATGTAAAAAGATACATAAAGAAAGGCTCTTAGTTAATTTTAGATAAAGAAGTTTAGAGGAGTAATCTCTTCATCTTTTTTAATTTCATGCTACAAGAATATCGTTTAATATACGCAACTGTAATCAATCACAGACAAATTTTTAATTTCTATCAAGTTATATAAAATAAAATTGTGCAGATATAATTCATCCACTTTGATAACAAAATTTAGGTATCTCTATTCCGTTTCGTGACAACAAATGAAATCTTATATGGCTAGCATAACAATGCAATGTACAAATTGTAGTAACGCTTTTTTTGGTTGTTCCTTGTTGTAATTTATCATCAATAATGTAAAATTGCGCATATTTTTGAAAAATTAACGATTCGATTCTTCACATGATGACAATTGCTTTTGAATTTATTTCTCTCGCAAATAATACCGGACAGAAATATCATGAATAAAGAAAGGATTAAAAGCTGATATTGAAAAAAATCTCTATCGCGCTGTCACACACATTTCCTCTATCGTTATTACTTTTCTGCGTATATTCTGTGATATTTAAATGTACTACTTTAACTGCTTATTTTATGGATTCCTCAGAAACCAAAGTGAACAACTCTCCACTTATTGTAAATTTTAAATTTTTATTTCATAATATCCTGGAGCACACATGATTTAAAAAAAAGTAGCCTGGTACTCTAAAATAAAATTTTCACAAAGAAGAGTTGATCAGTTTGACTTGAAATATGATCAAGACTCGACAACCTCGGCAACCAAGCTGACGTATACTATATCCAAAATTACAAAACATATTAATACAAGTCATCACCGGCATGACTGATGACAGTACGAAGAGATAGAGATAGATATAAAGATAGAGAGATAGAGATAGAGAGATAGAGAGAGAGAGAGAGAGAGAGAGAGAGATGAGGTACACCGAACACAGACAGTTTAGACTTGTTCTTTGTACTATAAGATCACGAGGAAAGTTGGGCATCAAGTGGGACAAGTTTTATAAGTACGACTGGATGCCCGCTTTTACTCGCGATCATCGATTATGCGACATGAGTGTTTCATATATATTATACATAGAAGTCAATAATTAGATAACCCCTTATTTCAGCAGCGGACTTCCGCATAAAAAGAAAAACATATATTTTTATCATTGATGCGCGTGATCGACACACGTGAGGACAGTCAAGCTTTTTCATCGATAACTGACAACAAGAAATGGACTACCTTGAACATCACAATTCCAACACATTGCACTTATGTAACAATCGTATTTATATAGAGGCCTTTATTACCTGATAATCTTGACTTCCTCACTCGACATCAATGTAACATTAAAAACATTTTATATAGTAAATATAATATGTATATACATATATGTATATGTATATATGTATATTTGTATGTATGCATATATGCATATATATGTATGTGCCTATACGTCGTTATATTATAGCTTTTTTTACAAGTTGCAATGAAATTCCAAGTTTTACAGACGATAGACGTACAATAACAGAAACGCAGGAGCATGAAAAACTTACATAATATGTATCGTGTTAATCAAAAAATTTGTTTTAATTTTATCTTATTCTAATGTAACAGTTATGTAAAAAAAAGAACAAATTTCTTGATCAACCTAATACTTAAAAAAGAAACAGCACATTATTGCAAATAACAGATATACGTTCTAGATGCTCGATGAATAAGTAGTGTCTGAGAAAGAAAAGGAAAGTACATCATTTAGGACACTGTTAATCGAAGGAACATCGTTCAACATCTTTATTTACAAGATCAGCCTTATGTTATATATCTGTACACGTATATTAGTTTTTTTTAAGTAAATTGTAGATCTGTTAAGTGCCAGTGCTGAATATGTTCACATAAGTGGACAATTTTTCTCTCTCCCGTTACTCTCTTATATTAATATCATTTACCCTTTAAACATTTTTATGATATACAATATATGGTTATATTCACGCTGACCCGCTGCGTTGTAAGTAGTCGCTTTAAAACACGGTTAATCAATGTGTATTTATATTACTAATTTAATTGACACACATAAGTCAACCATGTAGCTTCCACATCACTATTCGTTATTCATTAATGCGGAGGTCAACTACCAATAAAATAAAAATAGCGTTTATATATGTACACGCGTAGTAACATATTAGATGGATAACAAGGCCAGTGAAACAAGAAAGTTATAAAAAAAAACATGATAGAATTTTGTGTAAAATGTCACTTATATAAATCAATCAAATTATAAATATGTAAGTCTAAATATATTATTTACATTATTGCATTTAATATTTTGTCGTGTTCATATACTGTAAACTTGAAGTATTGAAAAAAATTATCTATTTATTCAATGTATATAATGTAATAAAAAAACATTTAGAAGCATTCTTAGGGTTACCACATTTTAAGAATAGATAATCGGCTATATAATTGTAACAATGTGGGAAGGAATAATCAAGTAAAAGATGAGATCTGTTTTCAATGATTGAATTTATATTTTTATCATCATTTCTTCTAATTCTAACAACACATGATTAGTTCTCAAATGTTATAGAATGTAAATGTGTAGTTCAGGTACATACAGTTGTAAAACCATTGCTCTAAGTAAGATTAATTTAAATCTGGCCTATATAATGTGGCAACCCCGTAAACAAACTCTAAATTTCGTCCTCTTCTACATAAATAGTATGTAATAAAATTTCCATAAGATATGTGATCAATATATCATTTAAAAAATAATTAACAAAATATCATTTGATAAAGTTAACAAATAATTTCTCTTTTCTCGAATTGTTCGTTTTTTGTGTGATATTCATTCACAATTACAAAAAGATAAACAAGTATACTTTAAGCATTATTAATTATTAACACCATTATGTGAGGGGATCCACAATTACAACCAATAAAGTTAACACTAGTTTCGTATCCATCCAATATACATGCGTAATAACATATATATAACCAGAGGTAGTTCAAACTCGATCGGACTTACCGCGAGCGAGTAAATTAGCGCGAGAGCACCGCATGGCGTTAAAATCGAATGTATATACTATATATACAAGTTTACTACCATAAAATTTGAAAACTACCAACTGCGTGTAACACTCGGTCGCTGCAGGAAATCTGCTTGAAAAGCGACTGTTATTTATATAATGAACCGTTCATCGACGGTTTTGCACGATCTTTTGCATGATCGATTAGTGAGCGAAGTGCACGACTTTTTATACAGCAATTCTAAGTCCTTAGTCGCACAGAGTTCAAGAAATGAAAAAAAGAACCATTTATAGACGTCAATCACTTCGACTATTCTCTGTACGAGTTCTTTTTCCTCTCACTTGTTTCTTTTCCATTTTTCATTGAAGAACGTAGGTTGAAGCAGATTGCTTTAGTGATAGATAAATCATCGATATATCTAAGCACATACGTTGCCTTTTCGTGAGCTCAGTAGTTTCACATACAATATATGCATTGATGCACATTTCTGTTCATTGTTTGCATCGATGACTCGGTTATCTAAACATTTTTGCAGTAAATTTGTGTGATATCGGTGATTCACAAAAATAAAGACTTCAGAAACACAATATCAAAATACAAGGAATATTATGCAAATTGCACGTACGTCGATACTTTTGTTTTAATCTTTCACGAAAAGGATGATTTTTAAAGCTTGTTTCTTATTAATTAATACAGTTCCAAGGAGTATTCTATTAAGCTCGTTTTGAACTTCTTTGAAATTGGTTTTCAGCAAAACTCGTGAAATGACTTGGAAAATTATCCTTCGGCATATTTTTTATATTCCAAGATTACCCCTGCTGCTTGGGCATTCACATGTACTTTATGTTCTTGGTCCAAAGCGTCAAGCAGTTGTTTGTTCGTTTTGTGAATAGCCTAGAAAATAATAAGAAATAATTTTGATATTTTTTCATTGATACCTTAATTTTATCAGGTGACATTTTCTCAATCTATGTACCTCTACCTCTTTAAGGGCAGCTTTCATCTGAGCAGCTTTCCTCTGAAGAGTCGGATTTTGTGAATATACATCATTTGAAAACATACAGTCATTTGCCAACATACTAATATCGTATCCTTGCGATGTTATGTTGTTCTTTAATTGATGAAACGTGTGTCTTAACGCGTTATCAATTTGCTGAAAGTGCATTGCATAAATTTAGCACGCCATTCAAAATCTGATCTCTCCAAAAACTATTTTAAATCATCCAGATTTGCATAATAAATTATATGCACGATTGTATACTTACAGGGCTAGGTGTAAGTTGCTGCAGCTTTATTTCATTAAAATGATCTAAAATAATATAAATCAAAATTAATTCGACAAATATACATATATTACAAAAGATATTTATAAATAATTTAAGATCAACTCACTTTCAAACCCTCTTACAGATTCGTTTTGAAAATCTTTAATTATCCTCAGCACGAGCTGCTCTACAAGAGAACAAAAAGAAAAACGTCAAGAATATGCCATTTGAAGAGATGCTAATTAATTTGTAAGTAGTATAATAGTGACTTTGATCGAAGGAAAAAAACAGATTTAATTTAATGCGAGGGATATAATAAATATTCTCAACGCGCCCGCATTTACTGTCGAAGAAAAAGCAAGATTACTTCGTCGCTAAACGAACGCAAGTTACTATTGAAATTTACCTGAATTTGCGTTCCGATCCGAACTTAGGAAAGTTTCGCCGTTCAGATCTTGCAAATTGAACTGTATCTCGTCGGAATTCAACGATGCGATAGGATCTTGTTGATATTCCTTTCCAATCTCGTGTTCGTGGCTCGAATTGGGCGACTCCGCAGTGATTAGCGGTTGCAAATTGGCGTCGTTGTACCTATTGACTACCGAATACTTGTTCTCGGTGGCGAAAATCTCGCAGTTGACATAAGAATCGCGCTGTTGCTCATCGTTAGGATTCGTCGGTACGTACAACGCGTCGTTAGACCTCTTCTTGCTGTGCATCGTCGAAAGATCCTCGTCGCTACAGATTCTCTTCAATGTACACCGATTGTGTGTTTCGATTCCCTGTGAAACGACAGTGCTGTCGCTCGCGCTATCGTCGAAGTATTGCCGCGCCGGTTCTTGCTTTTGTTCGAACATCTCGATCCCGCGTTCCAGTTTGATCTTGCTTTCTTGCAGAGCGTCTGGTGACATTATATTGCGCTGTTCTATCCTCTTCTGCGCGTTCAAACCGTTCGTATTTTGAGACACACTTCGACGATTCGTATTAGGATTGCGATTGCTCGCAAGAATGTTTGATTGTACAGATATATCGGTACTCTGGACGTTATTATGATTACTATGCGCGCCATTCATCAAGTCGAGCATCAGAGGCTTGCTGGACGAGTTGACGCTGTCCGAATCTGATATCGGGCTTTGCTCCGCACTACTGGAATATTTTCCAATCGTATATTCCTCCTTGGGTTCCTGCTTCGGAGTTTGATTGCCCTTGTCTTTGATAACAATGTAATGGTCGATCTTATTGATGCCAACTTTATTCGCTTGCGTAATGGCTGGTGGCATACGAGAAGAGAATATGGCGGCCTTTACATATTGCGTGTGTTGCATCGGCGAGGGTGAGAAACGCTCTTCCGACACGGCCGGTGAAGGCATATCGTTAATCAGCTGGTTGATGGCGTCCTCGAGCTGTAGCGGATCTTCAAGGCATCGTGTATTCGATACTTGGGAGCTCGAATCCTAATATTTAAAACCAAGTCAAACGATCTTTTTAGCTACAAGTTTCCTGTATAAATATAAATGCATAGAATAGAATTTAACTTACCAATTTTATCGATGAATTAACGTCAATATTCTTTATAAGATTTTTACTAACTGTGGATACAGTCGCGGAGAATCTTTCCTTCATCTCCTTTATCAATTGGACACCTTCGTCTTCCCTGTACGCAATAAAGTTTTATATTATTATATATATTGCTCAATATATATATCTCATGTGTAGTTTGATATTCAAAAGATAGAAAGACATAATTCGAGAAATAATTGAATCCGTTCCTTTGTATGTATTTATTGCTTTAACTTCGATGGTGACTCAACTTATTCATTTGCTTTCCTCTAATGTATTTATGAAATGTACTTACGATACCAAGGTGTTGACGCAAACGAAGGATATCACTTGTTTTGTGTCCTTGTCGTATTCTAAATAACCGTGTGTCCGCAGATAGATGAATTCACCCGTTTTCGTGAGTAACCTGTAGCACGACGAGCTGCACGTTTCGGCATGATCGTACACTGCGAATGCATAACAAATCATGAGTAATTACAGGTACAAAATGATAGTTGAACTTTAAGTAGGTCGCTTTACATATACTTGTTGTCATGTTTAAATTGCGTTGGTTATGGAAATGGCATGCAAAATTCGTCGTCATAAAGCTTGAATGTATTAAAATAATGTCGGCATAACATAAATGGCATAATATGTACATAATATAAAATATTATTAATCGAAAATAAATTAAATGTATATAAAAAGAATATAGGAACTACATAGTATTTTTTAAATAACTTGACTATATGATAAAAAATACATATTATTATTTTGATAATTATATTTTATATTATTTTGAAATATAACATTTTATTGAATATTTTAACAGGATACCTACTCAAAAAATTTCCTGAAAATTCCTTGATTTTCCCGATTTGCCTTGATTTTTGTTTAAAATTTCAGGTAAAATAAGAAAATTTGTAGATGCAACTTTTTAAAAGTTTCTCTAATATATATGCTGTTAATGTTTTTTTCTATTCATACAATTGAAAAATTATTAAGAGTGCAATTTTTCTATCCAGCATTTTAATATAGATTTATTAATTATAAAATTAATTTAGATAATAACAAAGTACGATGTATCATTACATATATCTAAACGCTAAAAATATATGCAAGAATATAATATAAAATAAAAATAGAAAAAATTTATTATAAACATCTTAAGAAATATTAATTTATTTAAATTAATTAATTTATTAAATAAATAAGGAGTACTAATTTATTTAAATATTACCTACTAAAAAATGAACATTTTTTATGAAATTTACATAAGATTTTGATATTAAAATAGATCGTCAATAAAAGAATCACGTAAAATTTTCATAAAAACTTAAATATTGCAAAGATATGTTAGACATACGTTTCTTAAGTGCTAAATAAGAATAATTAGGAATGTTTTAAAAAAAATTCCCTAAATTCCAATCAAATTCCATGAGAATTCCCTGATTTTTCCAGGTAAAACAAAATTCCCGGGAATACCAGGTTTTCAAGGCTTTACATCCTGTTTAATTGAAACTGTGCAAAAAAAAAAGCAAAATACTGATGATATGAGATTGTCACATATGCATACATATGCACTGCGCGCAAATATTTATCAACGCAAGAATGTTAATGTTTTAATTACATTTAAAACTTACTTTGTCGTAGGCCGATCATTGTCCATCTGAAATCATCCTTGTGCATAAAGGCAAACGCATTCAAACCAGACACCTCCTCCGACATGTAACCGGCAACGACGGACACCCTATGATCGCAAAAGATGATACGTCCGTCGATGAGATGCCGCGTCACATATTCGTCTTTATTGGCGTCCATTATTGACAATTCGTTGATGGGCCGTCTCCTCGGATAGGTCGCTACTCCAGCGAAAACGATGTCGTTGTTAGTAGTCACTACATCTGTAAGAATTAGCAAACAATTAGACGCAATCGTGCGTGGTAAAAAATAAAGCTGCAAAAGTAAAATGTATTATTCTCTCAGAAGAGGATTAAATCATCGTACGATCTAAAAAGTGTTTAAAGATTTTCTAGATCTCCAATAATGCTTATAAAAGAATTTCTGTATCTTTCGATTATAAATATATTAAATAAAAGACAAAGAATTTTCAATTCTGATATTCTATTTCGAGGCATCGATAACTTTCGGACTCTCTCTATAAGCTATTGGAAGTTGAGATATTTTTACGCAAACAAAGCTTAAATGCAAATACGTAAATCATATTTTACTCGCCTCAAGCAAGCTTTATCCCAACAAAAATGTAATTTTAAACCGGATTACTGAGATGCTCAATGTTGGAAAGTGAAAAGTTACGACGGTGGTTGTTGGCTTTCCATTAAATATCCACTAAGGAAAGATCGATTCGAGATACATTAAAGAATTCGTAATTAAAAGGTAAAAGGCACTGGACAATCTTGGCGTAATTAAACCGGTTAGATTCACCTGTCCGCTTTTTAACCGGTGCTTTTTAACCTGGTATCTTTAAACGGTGCAACGTACACGTGCTTACCGCGACGTTCAGTTCTGATCTAATAAGCGAGTCTCAAAGAATCTAAACGCTCGTGACTGTGCCTAACATCTTCGTCGGCGACGGCGAAGGTCTAAATTTAAATACAGGAGTAGCGTAAATATTTGCGATACTCGTTACGAAACCAGCGTTACGGGTTTCAGTCGCGATAAAACAAGACCATCGATCCACAGAATTTGCGCGAGAAAAGTCCCTTTCGAGTCTCATGTACTTTTGATATGGAATATGTAATGAAGTACGATATTATTAATTTATAATATAAAAGCATGCTCCGTGATTATATATATTGACAGTGATCAGACGGTAGCATTATTCGATTCGCTATGGAAACAATCTGTTAACTGCATTACACGATAAAACATTGTAATTAAAAAGCTTTATCAAATCGATTAAATTGTAATTAAAAATTAAATGTTGTATTAAATGTTATGTTAAATAATACATTTTTTATGTGTTAAAAAGAATTTCGCACTGGATACATAAGAGTTTAACTTTCGATGGAATTGGCTATTTGTTCATATGTGGTAGACTATGTTTTGCTAAATAAAAGATGTAATAATCTCAAACTTATAAATATTCGATAGTTACTAAGTTACAGCCAGCAGTCAAACAACTCGTAGAGCCCAACTTTTTCGTATCCACTTGGCTGTGAATCAGTAACGATCGATTATTTAGCTTTGAGCTTATTACATTTCTGTTCAGCAAATCATAAGTTACATAACATGTAACAAAATCAACTAATTTTCAAAAATCCCGTACTAATTATATAAAATTGAATCTTGGTAAGATCAGCTGGTTTTCTCATATTGTAGTTGATAATCTGCTGAACAAAAAAAAACGTAACAAGCTTGAAGCTAAATAATAAGATCATTACTGATTTACAATCAGTCAAATACATAAAGCTTGGACTCTAACTATCCCACATATATATTTGGTGCTTTTTGTAGATTCTCACCTCGATGTCTCCCTCGATTTCCGTTGGCATCCGTATTCTTGCAAGCTTCCGCGAGTCGGAGGACTCCGGAGATGTCAAAACACGCGTACTGCGTGTTTTCGCGCCTCGAGTTGGCGCGTTGCGCCAACCGGATCTTAAAGTTTCGCCTCTGCTCTTGGAACAGCTTCTTGTCGTTCGTCCTATTGTGATTCGTCGTTGAATCCTCGGAGGAGCTGGAATTGTTGTCGTGCACCAGGTCGTGCACTTGCGCGACTCCGGTAGGCGACGGCGTCATTTGCATCGGTTGCATCCCGTCAGGCGTAAGGTTTCGCGTAAGTTCGACATGATCGTCGCAATAGACGAAATTGTACAGAGATTGACCCAGCAATTCGTTCTGCGCAATTCAAACAATTTCGAAATTTAGAGAGAGAGAGAGGGAGAGAGAGAGACGAGAGTCTAAGTTTTAATCAAATTAATTGCCTCGCACCGTAGGTGTTGATTCTTGTTATTCGTGCGATGTAATACGTCGTTTTACATCAACGTGCAATAATCGTCTTAGTTCTTATCAAAAATTAATTTAAAATCAATTTAAGAAATTAAATCAAATTAATAACACGAATTAGGAGCAATTGATGTTACTTTGGGGCTATCAGTGTCTTTTTATTTTTCATAGATACGATTAAATATTAAATGCATAATTTATTTCCTAACAGCACACATATCCCGAAGACGTTCAGAGAACATCCTGAGGATGTTCGAATGTCCTTTGAATATCCTCTGAATATCTTTCGGATATATTATGCTATTAAGGATAGTTAATTAACTATCTTTCCCTAGCACTAGAGACTTTACCATCGACCTTTGTCATAAAATCCAACAATCCATATGTCTATACTCTATTAATTTCCCACACGCGCACCCTCATTCTCCGAATAGACACACTTCAAAGTTTCGTTCACCAAGTTTCAGACTCCTTCTGCAAAGGGCCATCTACACTTAGCCAAACCCAACAGTGTCTCCGCGATACGTCAACGACGACGACGACGACGACGACGACGACGACGTCGGTGCACCACGTCGGCGACGGAGCTCGTTTTCACGGCAGGCGGTTTCTCCTTGGGAACAATACAGCTTGATTGTGCCTTCTAAAAAAACGAGAGCAAACCCGCACAAACAACTCCCATCCCGCCTGCACATCTTCCTTCTACTCCTCCATCTACGTCTTCTCTTTCCTTTCCTCGCTCTCTACCTTTCTGTCTTTCATTCTCTGTATAAGCCACTCGCATTCTGGCATCTCTTATATGCTAGAAGCCAAAAGAGAAAAGGAGAAGAAGAGGATCCGGTTCGTTACAGCGGAATCGCGAATTATTATCGTTACGCCTGAATCTGGAGCGCCACCGGCGAACGCGAGAGTGGGATCGATAGCGCGGACATTTTTTTACATTTTATCCTCGACGTTGTTACCGCAAGCAACCTCCCTCGTCGTTGGCCGCCTCGCGAAAATACAAAGGAAATTTCAAAGAAAAGAGCGAGAGCGGGAGAGGACGAAGAGGCGATAGAGCACGTTTAAAGATATATAGCGCTCATCTCCTCTCGTTGCAAAGTGTTAATCTCACGAAGCGCAGATAAGAATTTGAAATCTCGCATTGAAATCTCCAAAGGCTTCTTGATCTGGGAACACGCGTGTTTTTTTTCTTTTATCTCTAGATTTTATTTAATTTTATCTTTGTCGCAAAGTACGATTGGCGCCTCGTCGAGCAAATAACTACCGTATATTGTGTCGTAAAAATTTTTCTTCTAATTGTTTTGGGAGCTATATTGTTTTTGTCATCGAAGACAGTTTCCTAGAAGCGATCTTGGATCCCGCAAGCATAAACACGTGCGACCTTGAGCGCAAACAAAGGGCGATAACCCTATACCCGGTTAGGTGTAACGAAAGAAGGATGTACTTTGGATGAAAACATTTCCGAGAAGATTTTTTAAAAATATTGCTCTCTTAAAAATTCTAGATTTTTAGAGGGATAAGTAGCAAATTATTGTAAAAATTGGAGGATGCGGTTTTCATGCGCAACAAATGCATAATAGAAGTATCTCTTTCCTTATATAAATATATAAATATGCAAAGAACCATAGGATATTTCATAAGAAGAAAAGATAAAATTAATAAAGAAAAAAACACGCACAGTATTACGATCGCTTGGTAATAAAATAAAAATTATGACTCGAGTTTTCAATAGTTTTTCGTCAACAAATCTTAATAGTGATTAATAAGAAATAGCTAAATTTCATACTAATGAGAAAAAAGTTGCGCAGTTGCAAAAGCGCAAAAATGCATAACTATGTCATGAAAGAATATGTTTATAGATGTAAAACAAAACTAGACGATCTATTGCGATTTATCGAAAAAATCTAATTGATTATATCTCCATTTGCTCTCCACTTATTTCTAATTTCATAATATCTCGTCTGTCCGAATTGTTATCATATACGCCTACATCTTACATTCAAATGTATTTTCTTTAGCTCGTGAACCATCATCTAATATTCGCTGGGTCTATTGTCCTGAGAACCCTAAGAGAGATTCTTGCGTCATCGGTATTGTAATCTAGACCCACATTTTCTTCACCAAAAACCCCAAAATTAGTCGACTGGTCTAGTCATCGTTAAAACCCGCACGATCTTTAAATGTTGCAAAAAGAATGTTTCGCTAAACGCCGCTCAAAATCTGGCCGTAAGAATTCGGTGATCTTGCGAAATCGAAGCCATGAATAGGAGGAGTTTTCTATATATATATATATATATATATAGACATTTACATTCACAATCGAAATTTTTGGTATTTAAAAAACTTTACATAATAAATTGCAATTCAATTATTTTATGTTCGTACATAAAAAAACCAGTGATGAATCCTTTTTTATGAGATATTCTAAACGTAGAGAATACAAGACATTATTTATTATTAATAATCGACGATGATACATTATTGATCTCCGTTGTTTCTATTTTTGATTTTTTGCGAATTTTATAGACTTGGAATTCGGTCTCCAATTAAATTAGTTATTGACTTGATTCTAAACAAAATATTTAATAGAGACAGTGTGATAATATATTTGCATCATTTTCTGTCAAAAATAATAATTTTTCAAATTCAGTTTTTGATAATAATACAATAATATTGATCCCAAAAATAATAACTGATGTTTGCTTAATAGATAAATTATATTTGAAAAAATAAATAAAATTAATTACCTACCTAAAAGTTCATCCAATTATAAATTTTATTTCAAGATTTTATTACTATTATATTTCAAATTTTTGGTTCGTATTTCGCGGAATTTGCTTGCAACATTTTTAGTTAAAATCGCTTTGGAATGGAATTTGCTTCAGCGTGAATTTGAAATACAATATATCTATAAACATGTATCATTTTTAGCTTTCACATATATAATTTCAGATTCCAAGGTAACAACGTAAAAAAATTCTTTTTATATTGTTTATACTTTTTTCTTCTGTACTTCCTTTTTTTGTACTTATCTATCTTATCTACTTATTTAATTTATTCAATGTTGCGCAGTTCTACATTCGAATAAAAAAATATATTATCTCAGTTTCTTCGACTTCGTCTTTTCAGCGAGACTTCAAGTAGCGACGTCACGTGCATAATTACGAAGTATCTCCGATAGTCCGGTAAGACCGTCACGTCGATCTCGTCAGATGACTATGCGATGTCAGGGACAAAGAAACGCAGTAGGAAGCAAAGCGAGATTCTCATTATGTAACTTAATATCGATCGAGCTAATTATTTTCGTACAATACGTGTTTAATATTTGCAGCAGATAGTTAACCCCGCGGCTTCATTCTATCGCAAGATATAAACGAACATGCGTATTGTTCCCGGAACGTTCATTACGTGATCCTTAAATCTGCTCCCTTGATCATATACGTTTTCCGTTTCATGTAATGAATTCCCGGACCGTTTATTTCATTGCTCCCGATAAAATTCATATTTCTCGATGGACCGGCATTCCGGAATTCCGCATTTTATGATGTTGAATTATTACCTACTCATTTTCTTTGAACACGAACAAAAAAAAAAAAAAAAAAAAAAAAAAACATAAATGGTGTTCATTTAATGATCTATTTAAATCTTCGGATTTTGCAAGTAAAATCACACGCGTATTAATAATAATCGATATTAATAATTTCAATAATGATACCTTAGTGTACATTAAATCGTGATACATTTAAAAATATAATCTGTAACAATTTTCATTTTAAATTTATAATTACCATATCATGTAATTCGAACAAAATTCCTAGTTATAATACATCTGTAGATATTTTTATATATTCTTTTAAAATATTAAAATTTTTAAAATATATTTCTTTTCCGCTATATTTAAATAACATTAAATTCCTCCATCTTTTTTAATTTTATAAAAATCTGTAATTCAACATGTTTTGATTTTTCCGAAAACTCGCATCCATTAGGGTATTCCCATCAGGTTAAACGCGTAAATTTCCGGAAAAAGTCGCACGTGGATCCGGTGGATAATTACGAAGCGAGATCATCGTACGTTTCATTGGCAGCGGACGATTTTTTTTCCATCGAAACGCGCATCTTTTTTCGCGAGCAATCGCGCGGGTAATTCCGGCGTACAAATACGCGAAACGAATACGGATATTGGTAGATATATGTATATGTACGTTTCATAGCGAGCGAAAAGGAGCAGAGAGCACACACAGCGCATGGTTGCCATGGGAGCGTATTTGCGTTGCACGCACTCATTTGATCGATAATTCCTAACTCCGCACGTACTACAGGCAGGTCGGTGTTGCAGCTGCAGTTGCAGCCACGAGAGATCGCACGATCGCTCTCCCCTGTCCTCTCTCTCACCCTTCCGCCCCACATCATCATCCACCTTCTTCTCAGCGCCGGCGCGAAAATATTACGCGGTCGTATATATTTCAATGGCCGCAATATATAAATATGCTGTTAAAAAAAAAAGATTTCTGCGGAGAAAATGGGAACTTTCGCGAAATATTGATATGCAAAGCGAATTGCTTCTTTAAATAGTCATTGGGCGAATATTTAAAGCGTTTTACCACGCCAATGCAAAAGAAGAGTTTGATTTTTATCGTCGAGTTATAAAAAAGTGTATTAATATGTTTCGCTATTGGGCAAATGTATTCTCATATATTGAAAAGTGCCATCAATTCTCTCATTGGTATAATGTGTTTACATTTTTACCTATCGATACTCGCTATTCCTTATCGAGATATCGAGGATGAATATGAAAGAGTTCGCGCTCCGTTGAAGCAAAGATAATCCTGACATATTTGTAATTAATCAAGTTTTTAATTGCTATATATATATATTAAGAGTAAAGATGACTACATTGTTTGCAATAATATACTGTAAACTCAATTATCCGTATTTATAATACCATAATATAGCTTCGTGACAAAGAGTTTACACAATTTCTTTTATAATTAATACAATTTTCCAGATCTCTCTATTTTTCTTTATAAAATGTCAATTATTGCTGTCAGAATTTTGATAAGTTTTTTATATGTCGTAATGATATTTCTCTTTGGAATAAATTAACTTTCATTGATATTTCTATACAGAATATGTCAAAATCATCAATATTTTTCTTCTTTCTATAGATTTGTTTGGCCGATTTAAAATAGATTTTTTTTTCGCGACAAAAGTATCAAAGTATAAAGTTAACTTCAATTAAAAGGAAGATTCTGGCAAAGTAAACTTTAAGAGAAAAAAATAGTTGACAAAATTATTTAATTATACTAATGAAAATAAATTGCTGCATAATGGAGAAAAACTCACCTGAGCATGGCCGAGATGTTGCTCTACTTGTCGACTGACGTAGACGATTTTCCCTTTTGTGGTGATTACGAGGAAGAACCCGCCGCTGTCGACTATGTGCTATTATGATTTAAAAAACGAGTCTACAGTGCTGATCGTCTTGAGGTTTGTATTAGATGTACGTATAAGCGTTGTGTACTTACGTCAACAAAATATTGCTCCAAGTCGAACTCGTTGAATTGCCGAGGAAGAAAATTCGTCGAGCCACGTCCGAGTACTATAAATAATGCACGAAGTACGTGACTGTGAGTAATGCTTTTTTTACATTAATAAAAAAGGTGTCAATATGGACGAAAAATTTAATAATAATCAGATAAACACGCATGCTTCAATTGCTTAAACTTATAAAATTGTCTGTCGCTTATGATTAAATTTGTTTATATAAAAAATATGTATAATATGATAAGTAATTCAACTCCATTTATTATTTAGCATAGTATATAATAAGAACAATTTAGAAATATTAGAATATTAGAATAATAAAAAACAAAATATGATAATTAAAATAAGCTATAACACGACGAGTTTAGTAAGAATAAAAATTTATAAATATTAAAATAATAATAGAAACAGAAGACATTAATGAGCTATAATATAATGAGTTAATATAGAAATATTTTGTAGAAAAAATTTAAATCAAATAAACTTACTGTACTGTGTTCTCAGGAAGGCGGCAGCTAGCCTCAAAATGGATATTTTATCCATTTTTCTTGAACTTCCAGCGACAATCGGGACGAGGGCTGCCATATTCGTGATATTTGTGTTGAGATTGTCGCGGCGTTGCTTTTCTGCCATGTTCCGCGACGCACGTGGGTTGCTGTAACAAGGGAAAAAATAAAAATAAAATTTAGGCGCAATGGTTATTAACATACGAAATATGTGTGCGTTTTTTAGCTTACAATTTATAGAAATGCACTCTTGTATATTAATAATGTAAGCGACGTATGCCTACTTTGTATTTAAATTTACATAAATTAAGTTTCAACAAACTTGTTTTAATGTAATCTTGTATGTTAATAAGATGCGCAATGTATGTCTATCTCGATTTTATATTTCTATAAATTAAAATGCGACAACTTCATTTTATATAGAAATTAATATATTATTTCTCGTATTTTAATAAGTCTATTAATATTTTTCATATAACTGGAGTCAATCTATGAATATATCTTAATCTTATCAAAAAGAGGATGTCATTCACGTGTAAGATAATATAGTGCATAATTTCTTATATAATAGTTTAGCTATTAATTATAATAGTTGCGATATAATTTATACAGTTATAATTAATAACTGTATGTATAAATTATTACTATATTATATTAAAGTAAAACTATATCTCTGTTCTTTTATTTATTATCAATAATATCAAATCTGCTTGATAACTGCTTTAATAATAATGTTTTTTTGCTCATGTAACAAAAAACGGATGAAGAATCAGCCTAATTATTCACACATGGTTTTTCTTGGTTCAATAATTTCCACTCCTGAGGCAAAATGTCTCCAATTATGTACGAATATACCTCACGCAGAGACACGTAGTTTCTTTATTACATCGTACAGCTTCCCGCAGTTATTTAGTCAACACATACATACACCGTCGCGCGATTATGAACAAAAATAAATTCATAGCACAGCCATAATGATAGCTAATATATGGGTGTAGGTGAGAACTTCGATAAACAGTCGCGCGTATATATTTCTGGCGCTGTATTTTCGAAGATTCTGATGCGCGTCTACACACACGTACACAAGGATTTTTTTTATTTAATCAAAGATATTTAAGATATTTAATATTAAAATTATTTTGCAAAAGATATTCACAAACCGAATAGATTAACTATCGTTATGGCTGTGCTATGAATTTATTTTAAAGAAACTACGTGTCTCTGCGTGAGGTGTATTCGTACATAATTTGAGACATTTTTCCTTAGGAGTGGAGATTATTGAGCCAAGAAAATCATGTGTAAATAATTAGGCTGATTCTTCATCCCTTTTTTATTATATGAGCATAAAAAAATATTCACAAACCGAATAGTCTATTTTCGAAATCTTAGTTTGTATATACACATGGCACATTTAACAATAGTCATAACAATTATGATTTTTTTACGTTTGGTTTGTTTATGGGTCTTTGCACTTGCAACAGCGTTGTGGGCTTTATCGGTCATAATTTTTGTCAGAAGTCACCGCTATTTACATTTTACTTCTCACATGATATTTTACGGAAGTGACATCCGTCATTCCCTGAGAAAAAAATTCATTTTTATAGAAATCATTTCGAGAGGGTTATTTCTTGCTAAAATGGCAAGTGCTAAGTGTAAAACGTGAGGTAGAATCGAATTACACCAATTAACGCGAGATGTTGGCTCGTCGTACAGCGTTACAGAGATATTAGACGTAAATTAAAATGTCCTCGAAGACGTGATACTGATGCTTTGGATATAAAAATTTTCAATGATAATCTCAATCGCGTATATACAGAAATTCAAGGATTAAGAAGGTTATATTTAAAATTTTTCTTTATTTCCTAACATTTCCAATGTAATAATTACTTTATTATATAATAAATATAATACATGATAATTTTAATTAAGTAACAAAAATTATTTGAAATTAAAACCAAGAAAACTCAAATTTAATTTAGAACATTGTTTATACACATTTCTTGTATATATAATATATACTTTATACTATACTTCAGAAATATATTTCTTTAAGCTAATAATATTTGTTTCGCTGATGTTTATATGTATTTTTAATCGAGACACGATCAAAAGAAAAACTAGTTAATTGCATATATTTTATTTCTACTCTTGCGAGTTGTTTATAAGTATAGATACAAAGACACAACAATTGTATAAAAATATTTCTTTCCAATTACATCACAGTATGTTTGCAGGAAATTCTTAATATCCAGATCAATTATATATCCAGTTTTTACAAGATAACGACAATATAAGTGTGCACGGATGGATAAGTCTTTGTGATCAGCCTTGAGACAGACAGGCATTCCAGTATTTAAATTAAATAATTTGATCGATGAGAGTATGTATGGTATATTGGCAAATAAATACAATCATTTTTAAATATATAATTTTCACTAATTCAGCAACTAATGTGTTTGCATCCTTATAGATAAATTAAAAGGAAATTGCAAAAAAATTATATATTTAAAAAAAAAATATGTAAAATGCAAAATCTCATATATTGCAGTGTGCCTTCTTACAAAGCCACATAAACAACGCGAAATTGACGTGATGAAAACATAAATATAAGAAATATTCAGTTCATCATTTGTCACAACTAACTAAAATTCAATATTCCGCATTTTTAATTTGCATTAAAGTTTATTAAATTTTAGATTAAATGGAGAATAATATTTCACTGTTGTTTGTCTGCATCTCAGAAATTTAATTTACTAAAGTGGTTTCTACTTAATGCCTCCCTATTTTTTCTTTTCTTCTTGAAACATTCTATAACAATAAAAATCAACACACTAAATTTCACGGGAAATAAAATATATATGTCAACTCATTGCCAATTTGTAGTTGTTTCTGCAAAAAGTTGAGATTTTAATTAAAATTCTCATTATTATTATTATTTAATAAAAATATTATTATTATTTAGAAGCATTGTGTAAAAATATTTCGCTATAGTAATATATAATTTACATAATTTTAATTTTTGAAATATAATTTGTATATATTGTATGTATATATATATATATATATATATATATATATATATATAATGTGTAAAATGTCGGTTACAAATCACAAGAGAGATTAATAATTTATTTAAATTATTCAAACTATTAATTTTCCATTGATAGGTTGACATTGTGATGGATTACTGCAACTTAGTACTAATACTTTGTGAACGTATATGCTGACATTGTAAGATTACATAATCGAATATTCAAGAAACAACGATATGACATTTATTTTTCTCCGCTAATTAACATACTATATTTAGGTACACGATACAATGTACATATGGTATATCTACATACTGCAGATATACGTACTATATTTAACGTATTTTGCTAATTATTACGCTCGTCAATGTATTAATCGATTAAAATTTGTATCTATTAAATTCGATATAACATCACAGTACATTAATTCCTAGTTTATTCAGAAATTCGGGAAAGTCACTGATTTACGCGTTGCATATTTCTCACAAATGTTTGGAAATGTCTGACGACCTGTTGCTCGTCCTATACGCGTATAATATATAGTATAAAATAAGCAAACATGCGTTTATAATACCTTGACAACACGTGCATTTATGACTTTAATCTTTTTTCATTCGAATCGGTTATATAATAGGATGAGAGCTATAACAGCCTGACCCTCTAATAAACCTCTTATGTTATGACTAAAATCATAAAAAAACTATAAATAAATTTATACATAACTATACAAAAACTCCATCGCGCGCGCATTCGAGTTAGTTAAAAGCTTCATCTTAAATTGTATATTAATCGATCGCTTTTTTCGATACGGTGCGCCTCGCTATAGATCGGCTATGCGTATTTCTGTCGTAAATAGAAAGATCATCATTGGTTACAATGTGTTGTTTAAAAAGCATCAAGCGCATTACCGGGATGCCACTCGGGATTCTTGAACACAAGTCAGTTATAGATCAAGGCTAGCGGCGTGATTTCACCAATTTACGATCCGCACGCGCGGTTTGTGCTTTTCTCAAGAATCGTGTCCACATACACAAACACAATTTACTGAAATCTCCGTTAATTTCGGTAAATCATTCTGCATCGTTCTCTCTTGCATAAGTCGGACTAATTGGTTTTAATGCGCCCATTGAATTAATTCGCCATCCGAAATATTTATCTCTCGCAAGAGAGAGATACACTTTTCTCGCGACACGTCAGCAGCAATAAACAATAGACGCTTTGGCATGATGTCTGTTATCTGCTGCGTATCTGGCCGAGAGCCTATCTGGCGAACTCTGACTATCTCGTGTCGATAGAACAGAGTAACGCTATAACGTTAACGAACGAGATAACTCGAGGGAGCGGATGAGAAAGCGGGAGCGCACAGCGACGCAATTATTCAGCACAAATAAAACGTCCGCGATCTACCGCAAACGTTAATCCGCGAAGATAAAAAGCGGAAGAATTAGAGATACGCTCGTTGATTATCGTAAGAAAGTTAAATTAATTTTAACAGCTTAAACGTTCATGATTGCAGATTCTACATTATCAATAAAAATTTACTTTTTCAAAATAACAAATTTTTATAACTAATGAAATAATATTGTAAAACTTGTAAATCTCTTTCTTTGATTAAATGAAGAGAATGCACGCCATTGTACATTTAATTGATTGAATCTATGTAAAGGTACTTTGCTTTTAAGAAATTAAATTTTCAATATATGTATTAAAAAAAAAATGATAAAATATTTCATTTATCATTTTGTATTAGGTAATAATTTCGTTTGTAGTCGAAGCTAATGCTATAACTTTTATTACAAATAATTACAAATAATTATGTAAATGAACATATCAGCAAAATTTTTTTTATATATCGTAAAGTTTGATGAGTCATTTCTCGATATTATTTTATGACTTCCACTACATGTGAAATAATATCATTTTCTATATTGAAAATTTAATTTATTAAAAATAGAATATTGAGTTCACATAGATGTTGCCGCATACATCAATGAGCCATTACATTGAAATGAAATATCATTCAATATATATGTATATATATACATATATATAGTATGACCTATTTTAATCAATTCACGCGTAATAAATCGTATCAAAAAATATTTCCAATTTAACCT